CTAGCTGATTTGCCTCACGCATCTAAGATATCGAGGAACCTCATCTGCCAGACCTAAGCAAACATAGTATTTTTGTCATCAGACTAATTACGTCTGCTGATAAATCGGGCCTTTGCAGTCCGACACTCACAGCTTTTCTTATAGCATTTATATTTCGTAACAACTCTTATAAGATAATATTCTTTACGCATCCTGTTGAACCTTATCCAAAATCAAATACATAAAAAGGCTACTCTTTTTGCACAACTACAACTGCCACAGTGTTGAGTATTATGTTGACATAGCAATTGATGTGTTTACAGACTTTTTAAAACTGGTAGTGGTCTATTTTTCGCAAACGCTTTTCTTGGTTATTTTTATGTTTAAACAAAGAGAAAAAGAATATAGCATTTTTTATTTTTAATGCTTTTAAAAAAAACAACGTATAACAAAGAAATTACATAATCATACATTAGGACTACGTAAGCAATCATTCACCTACTTCGTAGGTGTTTCTATTCACGTGACCGGGAATACAATACTGATAGTTTTAGCAACTTAGCTCATCCTCTGGATATCGAACACAACAGAATACGTGAGGGAACAGATATTCTTTTTACGGGGAGTTATAAGACAGACTTGCACTCTAGGGAATGGTTTAAAGCAGCTCATCTGCTGACAAAGATCACCATACCGCACACAAACTAGGTTACGATTCCAACGATCCGATCAGGCATAGTAGCTTCTAACCTGATTTTTGTTAGAGTATCTTAATTCACTAGTTTGACCTGCACGGTCTCAATCTGCACGTTGATCTAGTGCTAAAAATTCGGTGTACTCGTACTAAACGTTTTATTAACTACACCTCAACTATTTTAAGGTGAAGAAAAAGAAAATAAAAATTCTTACATAATCATATGTTCACTTTATAATTGAGTATCAATACAATCAGCAAATTGACATTGAAGTTCTTTTGCCGAGTCCCAATATTTTGCGCTTTGACACTCCTCAAGGATTTGAGCTCGTAGCATATGCTTGCTTAACCGAAGAAGTATGTCCTCGACTAAAATATCCTCAACTGGTGAGCCAATTGGAAGGACAAATGGGTTGGGTACTGGAAGTACTGATTTGCCGGCAGATCAATTTTCGATCAGCATGGGCGTAGAAGCAACTGACGAAATTAGAGGAGTTACAAAGTCGATGGGTAGTGATACATCTCCAGGGTTGAATGACGATTTAGTTAGTTTTGGTCATGATCATAATGGGTCGCAGTCGTTTGCAAGTTGGAGAGCGGAATATCATCATCAGCGTTCTGCTTCCTCTTTATCATCCTTTGCTCAAAAGCACGAGTCTTCAATACTACTAGGTGTGAATACGTTATCCGAATCAAGTATATCTCCATTAGGCAAAAATTCGATTTTTGAGCTTGTTCAAAATATAAACTACAATAAGCGAGCCACAAGTTCTGGGCAGCTTCTTCTTGGCAGTGCTCAAGCTCTGGTGAACTTGAAGGGTCCTACCAATAGAGATATACCGAGTACTCAGTTAGCCAAAATTGAGAAGATTAAGTCTCCTGAATTAAGGAATCACTCAGAGTCTCTCGAAAACGATTATTTTAAGTTCAAACAAAATAAAACACTCACAGCGTCAACCCTCGAGGCTTTAATATGCAGATTAGACCAGCAAGAAACCATAAATTCAGAAAATGATATACATCTCAAATTCAACTATGATGATTTCGAAAGACAGAAGGCTGACCTTGATCAGAATTCATTGTCCTGCATTCCAGAAGTTTATTTTGACAGTGACTTCAGACTTGATGACCCAAAAATCTTTTCTCAGATTCTCAAGAATAAAACGATCTTGGATGATACGACTGATTTCAATCCAGACGGTACTAAGAAACTTAAACTAGAAAGTGATGAACTACAGGAGAATTTGTCATCTTATTTGGACATAGTTGAAGTCCAGTTGATTAGGGAAATCTCTAAATCCTCGGGCTCTTTCTTTAGTGCTCTCGATGACTTGAAGAGTACTACTGCGAAATCGAAGAACCTGGTTACTAGACTTCGAAAATTGGACGCCCGACTTCAGAGAGTGGAGGAAGCTCAGGCAAATAGAGCAATGGAGATACTGGATTTAACAAAGAAACGTGAGAATGTGGAGAAGTTGGAACAGGCTCTGGTTCAAATCTTCACCATTCTACATCAAGCAGATATGGCCGAGTCATCGTATTATAATGCCAACTACAGCAAGGCGCTAGAACTTGCAGATTCAGTTTTTGCCTTGATTCGGGGTAATAATCCTCCACATCCTCTGGTGGACCTAATAGCTGAGAATTGGCCATTTAGATTACTTGATATGAATAGGATTTCAGCTTTGTCTCCTTTGAAAAAACTACTTGTCAACTTGGTCGCTGATACTGGAAAGTCTTATTCAAAGTTGTTCAACGACACATTGATTAATGATCTCAGAGACCATTATGAACACGTTTCACAAATTGAAACTTTGAGAAGATTGGATCAAAATCTGAGCCGCGGTAAAAGCCAGGATACGAACAGTATAAATTTGGATTACGAGCATCTTGATGAACACTTCATTTCTCGATTGAAAGAGTACTTAAACGGTCTTGCAAGATGTGGTGAGCTAAAAGCCTCTTTCAATATGTATCAAGAGAAATTTTTATCAGAACTGAAGGGCATCATTCGGGCCAATTTGCCTTCAGAAAATACTGATAATGTGATAAAAGGCAGCATTTCAGGGCTTTCGGATGGCACTAGAAGCACATCTACACAAAATAATGGTTCAGGAGGGCTGGCCAGTACGGTGAAGACAATGACACCTCGCGAATTTGAAGATCTGTTGGTGAAAACATACACACAGCTTTCAGAAGCCTTACGTCGCTTGACCACTCATAGAAAAATCTTGTTAGGGATGACATTAGATGCAATAGCGGCATTTGACCCTTCGTTCACAGAAAACCAACCAGACATGGCATTGGACTTTGACTTAACTAATGCGATAGCGGAGTCGATTGACATAGTGCAGAGACGCATGGCGAAAATTATCAATGTTCGTGAATCTCAGAACTCTTCTATCACACTGGAGTACTTCATGAGGTTCTTCAGTCTCAATGCCATGTTCCTGGTTGAGTGTGAGCTCATCTCAAGTGGCGCTTCAGAAACCTCAGCTCTGCAAGACGTTATGTCCAGCCAACTTAAAAAGTTCATCATACAGTATCACCGGACGACATCGAGAATAGCATCTCAACTAATAGAGAAAGAAACATGGAAGGAATGCACAATTTCATCCTCTACGCAGATGCTCTTAAATCAAATTTTAGATGCTTCTTCTGGTGACTTCGACGAAAGCCTTTGGCTAGAACCCTATTCTATTTTCAATACCACATATAACCAAGATGCACCACAGGTCAACTCAAGTGAAAGGAAGACAATAATGATTGATGGGAAGTCGATGATCGTACCAGAAGTAACTTCAGATATTCTCAAAATGATAAAAAGTTACTTGCTAATCAAAATAAAATTTGGTGCATCCAACGACAACTACATTATCGAGTTCTTGAGACTTGTCAATTCGAAATGCCATCAGGCTGTTCTAGGAGCCCAGGCTACACGTACAGCAGGTCTGAAGCATATTACTCCTAAATACCTCGCCGTTGCATCCCAGTTCGTGGGCTTTTTGTTTTCTTTAACACCATACCTTCAGCGATTTTTTGGGAAGTATCCGAAGACCGACGCACATATTGAAAAAGAATTTCAAAAGGTTGCAGAACTATTCCATGATCATCAAGTTGAAATATTTGACAAGCTCACCACATTGATGACGGATCGGATCAATGTCCATGCTGTGGAAATAAAATCAATTGATTGGTCCAACCCTCTCCAACATCAACAAGTGCACCAATACATGGAGACAATAGTCAAAGAGACGTTAACAATTGCAAGGGTTCTCCAAAGGTATCTACCGGAGGAGCAGTATGCCCGAGTCCTATCCAGTATCTTCAGAGGATACGAACGCTCCCTTATTGACATTTACACTAAAATTGGACTAAAAGACTCTCTGGAGAAAGCAGTGGTAATGCGAGACATTGATTATTTTAGAGATAGGTTGAATGAGGTCACAGGCTACGAAAATTCAGGTCAGCGGATTTGGGAATGTGTTAATATGTTGTCGACAGAAGAAGAATCTCGCATGGAGGCCATGATGCGAAATAACTCCACTGAAGAAAAATGTATTGAAGAGCAAAGGTTGCAGAACCAAGATGACGATTATTCTTTACGAACCGGAAATCCCTCCTGAAGGCTTACCGGATTAAAGAGTCAACTATGCACTGGTATCTGAATTCTCCCTCATAAGTATCACAAAGTGTCTGTAGGGCGTTTCAACTTGATACTGTTGTCAGCTGATGGCCATGCATTTAACATCCGTTTCAAAAGTCAAGGTATGTATGTACGAAGGCCTGTTAAGAACTTTTTTCTGCAAAGTTAATTTGACTTGCAGACTTGAATGATCGATACGAAGTGGCATAGCGAAAACCAAGTATAAGGTGGAATGAACCAGTTGTGTGCGGGATGCCCCACTGTTAATACACGGTGTACGAATAGTGTACTCCCAGGTATTATTGGCACGAGCAGAATTGTTGGATTGAGCTTGTTAGGTGGGTAATATCGAGGAAACCCACATTTTTTTTACCCTGCTACCATCAAAGAAATTTTAGCATTGTCAAACAGTCCAAAATCATCAAATGTGATATTGATGACCATGCATTCTGTCGTCATTCGAGCTTACCTATTCATTGGGCTATACGAAGTATGTAGTTGAATGTTTGTTAAGGCATATTTGCATGAAAGGTAGTAAGTAAAGTTAATTCAAATCAAAGATGGCTGGCTGGATTTTGTCATACTATATATTTTCGGAAATTTCTGAAGATCTTGTTAGAATAGTGGAATCAATGAATATGCCTAGCAATTTTTTCCGCAGACTAAACTGATTTATTTAACATGCCAATGAATTGCAATGCAATTTATAGCAAGCTTGAGGCTGTCAAATTGAACGTGGAGGGTATAAACGAGAAGATGGCTCAAGAGTATCTTGTAGCGCTATCTAACGTTGCCATGAATGACGATAATTTTGATCGCCTTTCCTTTACTAAAACACTCGCCAAGATTCTTGAATGCGCACCACAGTCTGAAATGCTAGACGAATATCTGACATTGAATTTGTTTGAGGTTCCAATGAAAGTTAACCTAACTGCTGACCAGGACGTGGAGATTATACAGTCACTGGTCACTATTTTCTTGTATTTTCTTTCGGGTCCATTTCACGGGAGAAAATCAACCTTTATTTCAATAATGGTTTACATATTATCGGGTCACTCTATCTTGGAACTCGTTTGTCATAAGCTAGTTGACTCAGATATAACATCTATTTTACTCATCATAGATTTACTTTCGAAATTCCTGCTACGTGTTTTTGAGTTGCAAAATGACGAGCTGCTGATCAAGTTCATGGCTAAGTTAATGAAAGAGAATACATTTTCTAATCTATGCAAAATCCCAACCGTTTATGAGGACGAATTGACGCGAAATCAAAGTTGGAAACATTTTTTGAAGATTACGAAGCTCGTTTACTCATATCTTTCTAACTGCTCGATTGATCCCAATGATAAGACGCACTCAAATCTTATACGTGACGTTCAAATGGCAGTAAATCATTTCAATGAAGGTTTCAACCGCAAGAAAAATGATGAACTACCACATGTCAACGAAGAGATTCTAGATAATGTTTCAAAATTGACACTGTTATCAGCTCTTCATGTCATTTCATTGTTTTCGAATCCAAGTATGGTATTCCGAAAACAGTTTGCTGAGCATCAATTATTCAATAAGCCGATCCCTCCAAATTCTCTATATGAACTAGCTAGAGGCATCGCCTCAGCAATGGATCCAGATAATCTCTCGCATAGCAGGCTTATAAATATGCCCATTCGATTCAGCGAAGAGCTTTTTGAAGTGCTCTTTCTTTGCTCTATAGACTTCTGGGATTCATTTAAAGCTGATGCAGATGACATACGGGTATTGCTACATCACGTGGCTCACCTATTTGACCACTTTGATCACTTGGTGGAACTCAAACAATTTGAAGACGCAATAGACGGTCTCAGAAACATGGATTACACAGCATTCAGACATACCGAGTTGGGAAAGATTAAAAATGATAATCAAGAATGGTGGAACAAAAATTGTGATGAATTCAACAAAATTATGTACGATGAGACAATTGGTTTCGTCAAGGATCAACATCTATTAGCACTCTCAAAAGGCACCTGGGTTTTATCTGTAAATCCAATAGGTCCAAACGGAAGTAATAGAAACTCGCCTTATTACTTTTTGATATTGTCCACCAATCACAGGGCCATACTTTATAAGGAATTTTCCAAGAGGCCTGACAAGAAACCGAATATCGACAAGGATGGTGCGAGAATTGAGTTCAGTCAAATTTCGGAGATTACTTACCAGCCAATGACAAAAAACATCGAGAAGTCAAATCTGATTAGCATTGAAAGCAGGATACAAGTCAATCGGATAGACATAAAACTTAAAAACAAAGGATTATTTTCATTTTATGTCAATACGATAGATGACTTATATATTTGGCTGGATGGCCTTCGAATGCTGTTTTCAAATTCGACAAGACTATCACATGATACGGAGCAACAAATCTTTTGGCTTTCTAGCATAAGAAAACAAGCTCAATTTCTTGAGCTTTCAGTCAAACAAAGTGATCACTTGAATCATTATAACAAGGCCTCTGTGGAAAACGTCAAACCTAGATCATCAGAAGATCTGACCGAGATAAATAGCAGGTTCTATTTCACTTAGACTAAATGAAAGGTTTAACATGTTTATCTTCAGCGCTTGGCACTTTTACCTTTCAGTCTTTTTGAGAGCGACTTTGAATGTAAGCGGTCGTTTTTCGTCTTCTTGTAGACTCGTTCAGAAATCTCTTGGGCTTCCTGTGCTTTGCGTTTTTTGCTGTTCAATCTTTTGCCTTTCTGATTCTCCGGATTCAGCCCGCCTGATTCTTTTTTCTTCTGCTGGGAGGTCATGAACCAGGTTCGTTTGGGTCTTGACTTGATTTCCTGCTCGAAGTTGAGCATGTTTTCACCTTTTTTGATTTCTTGCTCGGCCTTGAGAAGCTCCTTTTCCTGCTTTTCCTCATTCAACACATCTAATATGACAGATTCTTTTTCTTGCAGAATGCGATGAATCTTCTCGACATCTTCCCAATTAACACTTCTTCCAATGGCTTTTCCAGAATTTTCAGTCTCAACCTGTTTAATGGCTTCCTTCACGATATTCCTGTCCTGAGAGCTTTCGCCAACGAAAGATATGGATAATCCTTTTCTACCTGCTCTAGCAGTTCTTCCAACCCTATGTAGATAGATTTCGTATGTCTTTGGCATGTCAAAGTTTATGACAAGTTCAATTTTGGGTATATCAAGGCCTCTTGCTGCTAGATCAGTGCAGATAAGTATTGGAACAGTCAAGTTCTTAAAGTCAACAATGGCTTTTAGTCTTTGCTCCTGCGTTAATGAACCATGAAGCTCAGACACCTTAAGACCCAGAAGACCTAGAGAAATCCGTAACCTATGTGCCATCTCTTTCCTTGAAACGAAAACAATAATTCTACTATGTAGACCGTCCATTTCAGAAAGAATGTTAAACAGCAAAGCAGGTTTTGAGGTTTCACGTTTTCTAATCCTCACGAACTCTTGAACCAATTCAGAAGCGGCGGCTTTTGGTGCTCCTATCATGACTCTAACTGGCTTTTTGAGGGAAAGCTGGATGAGTGATTTGATTTTTGAGTTCATTGTCGCTGAGAAAAGCATTGTTTGACGATTCAAAGGGAGAAGGGAAAGAATTTCAGTAAGTTCCTTCTGGAATCCTTCTTCCAGCATTCTATCGGCTTCATCAAACACCAAAACTTCCACAGATTCAACGTTGAAAGAGACCGAATTTCTGATGTGGTCAATCAACCTTCCTGGGGTTGCGATAACAATATCCGGTCTCTTTTTCAATTCTTGCTCCTGTTGCCTCAAGTTCAAACCACCGACAGCTAAACCAAATGTCAGTCCATTGACAAACTGACCAATTTTCTTACCTACATCTGCCACCTGAATAGCTAGTTCTCTCGTGGGAGCCAAGACAATGACTCTAGTAGAAGGCATCTTGGAAGGCTTGTATAGTAATCTTTCAATAATGGGGATCATGTAAGCTGCCGTTTTACCGGATCCAGTGACTGCGCCTGCAACGATATCTTTACCCAACAATGCGATAGGTATCGAGGCACTTTGAATTGCGGAAGGTTTGCTGTACCCCAATGCTGATAATGCTTTCAAAATTGGTCTCGACAGCTTGAGTGATTGAAAACTTTCATGCTTTGATTGGGGGGAATTGGCATTTTCATCAGAGGCAAAATAGCTAGCTATAGCATCTGGAGAGTCTGCATCTTCGCTCACTATCTCAGTGCCGTCTATATTATTCTTGGAACTAGAGTGAATTTTCAAGTGGGTATCAGATCTCCCCTCAGGGCTGTCAATCGCGTCGGATCCGTTGTCTTTTCCAGCAGGGGAGTCTGTACCGTCATCGCTGTCAGTGTCGCTAAGTTCACTGACTACGTTGTCGGGTGCCCCCATCCCAAAACCATCAAGGGCCAACTCTTCATCGGAACTTTGGTTTTCTTCTTGCACCTCTTGCTGTTCGAGGGAATTGTGTTTTTCAAATTCCAAGATGCTGCCGGAAAGTCCTCCTTTTCTTTTTATTATGTTATCGAGATCTACGTCTTTGTTTGGAGAGCCTTGCTTTTCTTCCAGCTCGAAATTCCATCCATCAAAGGTTTTATCTTCTTGACCATTATTATGCAAAGCAAAAACAAAGCTATCATCAAAGTCTTTCTCATGATGGCGAGCACTTTTACGGCTTCTAGTGGTTTTCAGGTTTGATTTTTCATTACTATCCGAGCTGTCTTCACCACCACTCTCATCTAAGTCTGGAACTTCCTCATCACTATCAGATATGGTTGTAATTTGGTCAATATCAAGAGATGGTTTTCTATGGTTCTTCGAAAACTTAACGTTGGCTTGTGATCTCATATCCTGTACGTGATTTGAAAAACTAAGATTAAATTTTTTTTCCTATGCAACACAGCCAAGTACTGGATTAAAATTCTCGGATAAGCTAATTTGGTGATTATGTCGAAAACAAGATAAGAAGACAGTCGAATTACAAACATGAAATCATCAAGTATCGGAAATCAAGCAGATGATCAAATTTCTACCCGGTTCAAGAAGTTTGCTCATTGAAGCAAGTAATTTGAATAATTTGACTTGAGCTCCGTTCGTACATGAAAAATAACAATTTATTACAGAGTTGCGATTCAAAGAAACACTCAGGCTTCAACTTTCATGGATCTTATCAGATGAACGTACTGATAAAAGAAATTTTAAAACAAAGGTCGGATCACCGAAAGATGAGTCCCGCAAACTAACATTACACTATTTGATGTACTTAGCTACAACAACCATCGGCATACAGCAAGGGTGTTGAAATTGAGAGTGGAATATCAGGCTCTGCATGATGGTCCGATAAGCACAAGGATTCCTGCATATGTTACTAAAGCTGTGGAGACTGGCGATATCCTGGTGATATCCTGGCGATATCCTGTTTTTTGTTTTATTTGGTTATTTTGATATTACCAGTCGAATGATACAAGCTACTGCACTTATGTTTCCTCCCTGGCCCTCATAGGACAACATTATCATGCCACTGGGTAAAGCGACTGCAACAACGTAGATTTCAAGTTGCACACTGCTCATATACCCGTCTGCAACTCGGAACCTAATCCTTCGCCTTCAAAGCCAGATAAAGAGACGGCCGTGATTCTAATCAGGTACATCGTTGCGTAGAGAATGAATTGAACAACTTTCAAAAACTCTCGACGAACTTCTATGTTAAAGAGCTTATCGTATCCAGTTTAGAAATAAATTAAAAAAAAAATTCTAGAATCTTCCATCAACCAAGTTACAAACAAAAGATGATTCTTCACAACTCATCTCTCGGAGGTCAGATGAGCCAAATGTTAGAGGTTTGCGAGTGGCGTATATAAAAAATATTGCCACCAATAATTTAAACTTGTTTTTTACAGTTCACTGCGGGCGCAAAAGATTTTTCCAAAATTTTTGCACAATAACGCCAGCGTGTCACATTTTCATAATGTAAACTTCTATTTCCTGAAAATTCGACACGTAACATATTTGCAGATATATAAAGCTCTTGTAACTCTGTATAATACAATCTTCCAAGGCTCTGAGAAAGATAAGCGGTTTACGTTTTTCAGTGTTTGGAATTTGAAATCACCAGAGCGGTTCCCGTGTTATTACGCTATACGACGATCAATTAGAAAGGTTCAGTTGCATTAAATTCTTTGTTCTCTAAAATTGATCTGCCCTTAAACGACGAGAATGTTAACTTTCAATAAGTCGGTAGTCTCGTGTGCTGCAATCATCTATGCTCTGTTGCTAGTGGTTCTCCCACTAACAACACAGCAGTTTGTCAAGGCAGAGTCAAATGAAAATTACGGAACCGTGATTGGCATAGATCTTGGTACCACATATTCATGTGTTGGTGTTATGAAGGCTGGAAGAGTTGAAATCATTCCTAATGACCAAGGTAATAGAATAACACCATCTTATGTTGCATTTACCGAGGATGAAAGGTTAGTGGGGGATGCCGCCAAGAATCAAATTGCGTCAAACCCGACCAATACTATTTTTGACATCAAAAGATTGATTGGGCACCGGTTTGATGACAAAGTAATTCAGAAAGAGATCAAACATTTGCCATACAAGGTTAAGGATCAAGATGGTAGACCGGTTGTGGAGGCAAAGGTTAACGGGGAACTCAAGACCTTCACCGCGGAAGAAATTTCTGCCATGATTTTGGGCAAAATGAAACAGATTGCAGAAGACTACCTAGGAAAGAAAGTGACCCACGCTGTCGTTACTGTCCCAGCATACTTCAATGATGCGCAAAGACAAGCAACTAAGGATGCAGGAACGATTGCTGGTTTGGAGGTTCTGAGAATTGTTAACGAGCCAACCGCAGCAGCTATTGCATATGGTTTGGATAAGACAGACGAGGAAAAACATATTATAGTCTATGATTTGGGTGGAGGTACTTTTGATGTTTCTCTCCTCACCATTGCTGGAGGAGCATTTGAAGTCTTGGCTACTGCGGGTGATACTCATTTGGGTGGAGAGGACTTTGACTATAGAGTTGTTAGACATTTCATCAAAGTTTTCAAGAAGAAGCATGGAATTGATATTAGTGACAACTCAAAAGCATTAGCAAAATTAAAGAGAGAGGTTGAGAAAGCGAAGAGAACACTGTCCTCTCAAATGTCGACTCGCATAGAGATTGACTCTTTCGTGGACGGAATTGATTTTTCAGAATCTCTATCAAGAGCAAAGTTTGAGGAGCTGAATATGGATTTGTTCAAAAAAACTTTGAAACCAGTGCAGCAGGTTCTTGATGACGCTAAAATGAAGCCAGATGAAATAGATGATGTGGTTTTCGTCGGTGGATCTACTCGAATTCCAAAAGTTCAAGAGTTAATCGAGAATTTCTTCAATGGAAAAAAGATTTCTAAAGGCATCAATCCAGACGAGGCTGTGGCGTTCGGTGCTGCTGTTCAGGGAGGTGTGCTTTCAGGCGAGGAGGGAGTTGAAGACATAGTGTTGATCGATGTCAACCCACTCACTCTTGGTATTGAGACTTCCGGAGGTGTCATGACCACATTGATCAAAAGGAACACTCCTATTCCTACACAAAAGTCCCAGATATTTTCCACTGCCGCTGATAACCAGCCGGTTGTCTTGATCCAAGTCTATGAAGGTGAAAGAGCGATGGCCAAAGATAATAATCTGTTAGGAAAGTTTGAGTTAACAGGTATACCACCTGCGCCAAGAGGCGTCCCTCAAATCGAGGTCACGTTTACTCTTGACTCTAACGGTATTTTGAAAGTTTCTGCTACTGATAAAGGAACAGGAAAGTCCAATTCTATAACAATTACCAATGATAAGGGTCGCCTTTCGAAGGAGGAAATCGAAAAGAAAATCGAGGAAGCAGAGAAGTTTGCGCAACAAGATAAGGAGCTGAGAGAGAAGGTAGAAAGCAGAAACGCACTTGAAAACTACGCCCATTCCCTCAAAAATCAAGCCAATGATGAGAATGGTTTTGGAGCTAAGCTTGAAGAAGATGATAAAGAAACTCTTTTGGATGCTATTAACGAGGCTCTGGAGTTTTTGGAAGACAATTTTGATACAGCAACTAAAGATGAATTTGATGAACAGAAGGAAAAGCTGAGTAAGGTTGCATACCCTATCACCTCTAAATTGTATGACGCGCCTCCAACGAGTGACGAAGAAGATGAGGATGATTGGGATCACGACGAACTGTGAATGACTCATGTAATATACTGATAATAATGAGAATTTGCTTTTTATCGATAAAAGGTTTTTCTAAGTTTTCGAGGTTTGCGACGCTAGCTTCTTGAGTACATACGTACATAGATTGGTTGAAAAAGGATAAATCGTACTTTTTTTTGTTAATTACAGTATCTTTTTATCGTTATACGAGGAGCTTTTTTTCGAGGCAAAGCGTCATAACACGCTTCAGTTGCTGAAATCTAATCCTGTTTTATCAATGGACATAAAGCTCAAGCCCCAGGTACCCACATTTGTGGAATCGGATGAGCCAGCTAAAGAAACTGAGCCCCAAAATGTGAACCGTTCATCAAATACATATAACGAGCCCAATAGCAAAACCGGGAATGAAACCTACTCGATACAAGATATCGAAGTAGAGCAGATTCTTCGTGGGAAAGTGAATCGCTGCAAAAACCTTGAAGACCTTGCGCCCATAGAAGCTTTGGCGATTTTCAATAGATTGATTGATGACCTTGTTCAGCTGAGCAAATTGACATCGGGAGAGTCTAATGTAGACCTAGACTTGCTTTTATTTACACCCACAAAGATTCACGGCGTAGAGTCGAATACCTCTCATCCAGTGATACAAGAACCTGAGCAAGCAGTTGAATCGAAGAGTCAGTTTGCAAGCGATCAAGACATTAAGGAAGATCGAGAAAGGTACGAAGTTCCACTGAAAATCAGTTCCAAATTAAGGTTGAATTTTGGCGACGCTTCAATTCTTTCATATTCTGGAGCCTCGAATTTGAGAAGTGAGGAAGTTTTGGGCTACTGTCGCGATGATATGAAAACGAACGAGCCCAGACTTGACCACTACACCCTTTGTAGGAGATTACCAGATACAGGACCGGCGATAATTAGAAAGTTTTACCTGAAAAAAGCTCCATCACTTCAGATACCGAGATACCTTGAACGAATACACCATTATGCAAACCTATCTACGGCTACACTTTTGACTTCCGCATATTTTTTATTTCATTTGACTTTCAACCTGAAGGCTCCTCTATCGTCGTCACTGCTTCCTTTCGAACAGCCTCAGACACCTGAAGGGTTCGCATGTAAAACTACAATGCTTCAGATAAATGAGTTAAATGCGTTCAGGCTCGTGCTTAGTGTCTTGCGCTTGTCTCTTAAGTTGATCGAAGACAAAAACTACAAGCAAAGTTATTATTGCAAGGTCACTGGACTACAGAGTGTGGAAGAGCTATTCAAACTGGAGCTGAACTTACTTTATCTACTGAATTTCGATCTTTTTGTCAATGAAATCGCCTTGACGAGATTCTTATTTCAGTTTCACCAATTCGATTCAAATTTACAGAACATTTTAAGTTAGCTCTAGATTACAGTTTGTGCAATTAAGTGTAAAGTTGCAAACAGGAACTCTTCATTTCCTCTATAATACTTGTAATAATAATAGGTAGGAAATAATAATTGGAAATCCTAGGCTTTCAAGATTCATGACTTACTTCAGAAGTTGATAGGTTTACCGAAAACCGAACCGGCTGCCTCCTTAAAGGCCTCCGACAAAGTTGGATGGGCATGACAGACTCTAGCGATGTCTTCCGTAGAAGCACCATACTCAAGTGCCAGACCGGCCTCTGCTATCATTTCTCCCGCATTTGGACCAATGATATGACATCCCAAAACCCTTTCGGTGTCGGCATCAGCAATAAATTTGACAAAGCCTTCAGTATCCATGTTAGTTTTGGCCCTGGAGTTTGCAATGAAAGGAAATTTGCCGACCTTATACTTGATGCCTGCCTCCTTCAGTTGTTCCTCCGTTTGCCCAACCCAGGCAACCTCAGGATGAGAGTACATAACTGCAGGAATATTGGCATAGTTGACGTGGCCATGTCCATTCTTAATGTATTCCACAGCAGCAATGCCCTCCTCTTCTGCTTTGTGAGCCAACATTGGGCCGAAAGTGGCATCGCCAATACATCTAATGTGGTCAAACTTGGTCTTGAATTGCGAGTCAATAACAACTCTTCCTTTTTTCTCGATATCGAGGCCAATAGCTTCTGCATTCAAACCCTTGAGGTAGGGTCTCCTACCGACAGCAACAAGTAAAACATCTGCCTCCAAAGACTCAGTTTTTCCAGTTTTGGTGTCTTCATACTCAATTTTAACCAGGTCCCCTTCCCTGACCCCTTTGGTGACTTTTGCACCAAGCTTGAATTTCAAACCTTGCTTCGTCAAGAATTTCTGTGTTGCTTTCGAAACTTCACCGTCCATTCCTGCACCAATAGCATTCTGAAATTCTAGAACAGTGACCTGCGAGCCCAATCTAGACCACACAGAACCCATCTCCAAGCCAATAATGCCTCCTCCAATGATAACCAACCTTTTAGGAATTTCGGACAAAGAAAGACAACCTGTTGAGGAAACTATTCTTTCTTCATCGATTTCAATACCTGGGAATGGCGTGGCCTCGGAACCAGTTGCAATAATGATGTTGTCAGCTTTGACAACGGCCTTCTCACCGTCTTCAATTGGGTCAATATCGACATGGTGCTCATCAACAAACGATGCTGCACCCTTATAATATTTAACACCATACTTTTTGAACAACATTTCAATTCCTCCAGTTAATTGGGCGACAACTTTATCCTTCGCATCCATGAATTTAGGAAGATTAAGACTGACATCGCCCTTTATATCAATCCCTCTTGACTTCGACTCGTGTTGAATTTGATGATAAAGATGCGAGTTGTTCAGCAAGGCTTTAGAGGGGATGCATCCGACATTGAGACACGTTCCGCCAAGTCTACCTCTCTTTTCGACACAGGCTGTGTCAAATCCAAGTTGGGCAGCCTTGATTGCTGCTACATAACCTCCGGGGCCGCCTCCAATGACAAGAATATCATGTTTTTCTTTGTTGGTTAGTTTCTGAGCTGGAGTGAACGATTTTAATACTTACTTTGACTAGCCTCAGCCAGTACTCTGGCCGAAGAGAACAATCTGCGTTGATAAGATCTCAGCATTTTATAGGTTATACTGTTCAAAAGGAAACAAAGCTAAAAAAAAACTCCACGCTGGGATAAATTCGGTAGAATGCTACATTGACTGCTTTAAAATTGTAGCTCGCTTTTTTGGAAAGCTGTAAAATGGAACGCATACTTCCAAATTGGCTGGCAGTATTCTCAATATGGAGACATCATTTAAAGCCAATAATGGCTTTAGATAAAGTACGTTTACAAGGTCTGTCCGTCAAACAAACATGGACTACTAAAACCCGAAGAAGCACTTAGAAGAACGACTCGGGAGCGAAAACTCGCGGTGTAAGGATGCATATATTCAATTTCTTGCCCCGGAGCGGCATCAACGATCTTCAGTAGTCTGTACCCAGTTTGTTACCAATGAAACAAATTCTTTTGGTCTTTCGCTGATCAACCAATGGCCTGCATCAACATCCTTCACAACAAAGTTGGGAAAGAACAACCCCACTGAGGCGAGGTATTCATCAGCTATGTAGGGGCTTTGTTTCCCACGAATGAATAGAGCAGGTCTTGTCCATCTAGATATTTCATAATTGAAAGGCCATCCGGAAATGTTGTCAAGACTTCTTGCCAAAATGTCCAGTGGAACTCTGCTCGTATATTGATTTGCCGACTTTCTCATGTTTGTCAGCAGAAACTGTCTGACAGCTAGATTTGATTCCACCTGTGCCAGAATATTGTCGCATTCTTTAAGATTTTTCAAGGATGGATCGTCTTGTATTTTCTTCAGTTGCTTTATGTAGATTCCAAACTTGCTAAACCCTGTGCCACCTGCCGTAAAATCTACAGGTGCATTGTCAACAGAAATCAACATGGAACACAATTCAGGTCTCCTCAAACATACTGCCATCGCAGTCTTAGCTCCCATGGAATGCCCTATAAGTATAGGATCAATTAAACCATGATCTTCTACAAATCGTTCAACGTCTGCGGCCAGCGAAGGATAATCGTGTCTTTCATTATGAGGCGAATCCCCATGATTTCTTAGATCTAAACAGTAGACGTCTCTATCCAAAGTATTCACTAACTGCTTTGATACTGTCCTGTTATTTGCCTTTGAACCAAATAAACCATGTAAAAAAATGATGGGATTGTTAGCAGTTGGAGATCTTGGCGAATACCTTTCATATGCCAGCTCCACAGTCGGAATTCTTTTATCAAGAGCGCTTCTTCCAAGATCAGAATAGGCTAGCGATTTTGGTGTACCGTCATAATGATATAACGCCTTGTGAAAGTAGTATATGCGGTCACATATTAGCTTGCTTCGATATTTAAACATTTTCATGAATACATACGAGAATTTATATTTTGTTTCAAATTTGTTCATTGTAACCTAGAATGTCCACTTCTGGAAGCGCTATGCTCGCTCAGCTTAAAAATGAGACGAAGGAATTGCAAGACCTTAGTTCAAACAACAAAAACATACTTTCCGCTTACTTAAGTGTCAAAAGACTGATCAGTGTGATGAACACAGTGCGCAGACGGTCTTTTACACTAGAGGGAAAATCTACAAATTCTATATCCGAATACCACAACATGCATAAATCACTTTTGGACATAGAGTTCGAACTGGACTTCAAGATTCGATCACGCAAACTACATTATTTGCCTACGGTCGAAGTGGATGAGGCAAAAGGAGAAAAATCAAGCGATCGAGAACCATTGCAGGCAATTCAAATCATTTCCCCGGAAAATGATGAACCTATTGATTCTCTCAAGCAGCGATTACTATCTACGGGAAATGAGCCCTCACAATTGGATTCGATTCACACAGCTCAGACTCAAAATGAAAAGCACGAGTCGTTCCAAAAAGAAATGATAGACTCTCTACCCTTGATGGTGTCATCATTGAAGAACCAGGCATCAAAATTTCAACAGATGCTTAAAGAAGACGCAATTATACTCAAAGAGGCATCGGATAATTTTGAATCATCTAAAAGCGTATTTGATAGAGTTAACACCACCCTATCAAAGTACCATCGCGAAGGTAGGCTTGGACTATGGTTTTACGTGCGTGTCATTCTGTTTGTCTCCCTCACGTTTGCGTTTTTGATTTTCCTGATTAGACTCATTCCCGCAAGATATTAACTTATTTAATACGAATGTCACAGACTAGTGGGGCGTATCAAAACGGTTTCCTTACTTGAGCCTTTAGCATAAGAATTGCGCATGACCACATGATCAGCTTTCGTCAGACTTTCTAGAGACCAAGAATTCAATTTGAGCAACTGTGCGAACTCTTTCAAGTCGTCATACATTTGGCTCACTTCCGATACATCATAACGCACTACTGGAGAGACCGATGCAAACTCTCTTTTAACCCAATCTGTGTCGAAGTGCGATTGAGCTCCCTCTGTCACCCTTAAAACCCAGATTCTGATCAATACCTCTTTATCATAAGATGAGAGAACGTCTTTGACTAGAGGTATCCGTAACTGGGTGGCAACATCGAGCATAAATGATTCCTTTTTCATGATGTCGCCAATGGTGATGATGCTAGATCGATATTGTTTTAACAGCTCCTTCTCTAAGTTTTTCAGCTTTCGTTTCAGCAGAAGCCACAGGTGGAGCTGAGATTGCCGATAAATGCAGGAATTTTCGTAGCTTGTTTGCAAAGAACTCATCATTTCTTCCGATTCGAAATAGCCAGTGCCTTTTAATGTCGAAGGAAATGTCTGGAACTTATCTAGCTTTTGCTTGAACTTAATATCTAACGCAGATTTTAAGTTACTCAGCCCTTTGAGAAGCGCTTTCAATGTTTTGTGAGTGTCGTCTAAATCTGCGCACCTACTTGCAAAAAGCTCCAGTAGACCATCTGGTAAAATATGACTCCTATTACTCAAGAACACAACACTCGTTGGATTTGACTGATTAGATGTCGACGCTTCATCATCGCATACAGGGTAAGTGTACTCCTTCAGTTGTAGAAGGGGTACTTGCCACATCTGCAAGCATTTCTCGCATACGCCATTGACGTCGATAGTCAGTTGTAGCTGTTCATTCTCGTTATCAACTATCGCAAAACCGTACCCCATTAAAAGCTCTTCATTACCTTTTGGCCCGTAATTATTAAATAGCTCCCCACTGATATCTGCACCACCTTGAAGCCTTAGCTCAAAACCGGCAGATGAAGGTACCCATGTGACCTTAGATCTGGGTTTATGGTTGAAGAGATCAATAATGGGCAAAAGCATGACGGAATCATTCGAAGCTTCAGGATCAATGAGCTTGTAAGGGAAACTACGAGAGGTTACAATCAAATGTGCCCATAAAAACCATGCAAATGAAGGGGGGTATTGACATTTGTTGGAAGTCTCTTCCATTATTGTTTTAAAGAACTGGGCTTGATCATAGTCCTCGTATTTTGTGGGGTTCTTGACTTTTAAATAGCTTAGTGCTTTTCTGTACTCAGCTATCAGTTGTTTTCTTTTTAAAAGAACTCCATGATACATATTAGTACCAGACAAAAAGGTAAGTTCCTCTGAGCTGAAGGCCAGAGGAGAGCCTATGTTTCTCAGTAAAGGAAGACACGCAATGTAGGGGCCAAATTGATGTTCTCGACCTGATTTCCATCGACAAAGCAGAAGTTTCAATGCGATGACAGGGTTTGCAGACTCACCGAGCTCTAGTTCACAATATGCAATACGCGGAGATATAATCATAGATGTGGGGACGAAAACAGAAGGTTCCGATGGCAGTTCCGGATTTTTTAGAAAGGCAGAAACGCCATTTGCTGACAAACGAAACTCAATATTTTCCGAAATCTTACACCCATTCGATTGTGACCAGACTATCAAATCGCTCACTTCTCTCTGGTTCATGCTTTTGATGAACCCATAATTGTCGTGATTTCGAAAATCGCACATTTTTTTATTTTAAAAAAACCTATTCCTATACAAAATCGATAGATCAAAAAAAAAAAAAATCAAATGGATGGAAATGGATGGATGAATACATGAAAATAGATAGGAGAAACACTCAACACCCTCGATATTTAATTTTTAGAAATTTAGTTTCTCAGCATCAATCAGCAAGAAAATCACCTCCATAGTTGATATATACCATTTACTCAAATTTAGCCTTTAGCACGTTGAGCAAGGTAACACAGTCAGCAGAGAACTTTCTGATACCTTCGGAAAGCTTTTCAGTGGCCATGGCATCTTCGTTAAGAAGGAATCTGAATTTGGCTTCATCATCAATGTATGATACTTTTTCCTCGCTGCATGACTGAGCGGCAGAGGCATCCAAAACCTTTGGAACTGGCTGTTTGGAGTTCATCAATTCTTCCAAGAGCTTTGGAGCGATCGTCAAGTAGTCACATCCTGCCAGCGCAGTGATCTCCCCAACGTTTCTGAAAGAGGCTCCCATGACAATCGTCTTGTAACCATACTTCTTGTAGTAATTGTATATCCTAGTAACAGATTGAACACCTGGATCTTCCTTTCCTTCGTATGTCTTACCCGTCTTGGCCTTGTACCAATCCATGATTCTGCCAACAAAAGGTGAGATCAGAGTGACCTTAGCTTCGGCACATGCGACAGCTTGGACGAAAGAGAAAAGAAGAGTCAAATTGCAGTGAACACCGTATTTTTCTTCCAGTTCTCTTGCAGCAAGAATGCCCTCGTAGGTTGAAGCAATCTTGATCAAGATCTTTTCTTTGTCAATGCCAAGGGATTTGTAGAGCTCAATGATTTCAAGGGCTTTCTTGATTGTTGCTTCCTTATCAAATGAAAGTCTGGCATCCACCTCAGTAGACACTCTTCCTGGAACAATTTTCAAGATCTCTTTACCGAACTCAACGAGAAGTCTGTCGAGGGCAATGTTGGCTTTCTCTTCGGCGGATGATCCCTTGTCCTTAGCATAGTCGACTGCCACATCAATTAACTTGGCATATTGTGGCTTTTCAGAAGCAGCCAAAATAAGAGATGGATTGGTAGTAGCATCCTGAGGAGTATACTTAGCGATCGCTTAATTATTAGTGGTCAAGAAGCAACAGTAATACTTACATTCAAACTCGCCCGTATCAGTGACGACAACGGTTCCAGCGGCTTTAAGTTGTTCAAGTGAGCTCATTGCAATTGTTGAATTTATAATTTGATGGAAATCAATCGAAACGTATATAATTCAAGTTCTGGTTGCGGAGGAATACCCGAGCTTATTTATATTCATCACCCAGTTTGCGTTGAATAAATCTTACCTAATCAATAACCTACAAATAAATGCTATCTTCGTAAACAAATTCGTCTTCGGAGACAAGTTTACGTAACCTTGTCAACCAATCAATGTGAGTGTATCCTTGAAGTCCACCCTAGGAGCCATTACTTTGCCACATGCATTTCCATTTTAGGAGCCAGCTGGGTGACAATGTTCCGTGAATCTTAAAGAAAACAACATCCGAAAAAGTACGTGTGGCTGATGACAAATAAACGTGGCTAGAACGCAAGTTCTTTAGCGATATGGATTCTACTTGAGTCAAAACATACTTTTAATCTTACTTTATGTCAGGATGTGCTTATAAGATACTTCACACGTGAAACATTATGATCGCTGCACCCACCTTCATAGTGTTACACCCCTCATCTCAGGTAAGCACAGATGTTACGGGACAATTCAAAGTCTTCAAAGTTCTCCGAAAATCAGATTAGAAATTGCGAACAAAAGTCCGTTTTTAATAATTGGCTTCTGTCTGAATAATCCATATTTCATTATCCACCCAGAGGCTCGCGCACCAATAATCAAGATTTGTGACTGAAGTGGAATTTTGAAACCCACTGGACGATAAAGTACGCTCGATCTACTATGATTATCAAACTCCTATATTTTCCTATAAGAGATATTTCACTCCAGCCTTTCTCATCAGAAAAACGATTGACCCTAACAGCCTGCTTCATTGATGTCATAATTTAGAATCTCTGAGCCTTTGCTGAATTCTTGATTTCAGAAGATCCAATAAACTTTCAGTGTCGCTTGCGAATTTCCTTATTCCCTCAGATAGCTTTTCAGTTGCCATCTGGTTTTCATTCAAGTTGAACCTAAACATTGGCTCATTATCAATAAAGCTAGATTGATCCAATTTGCAACGCTGAGAACTTCTTGCCGAATCAAGCACTTTTTCGATCCTTGTATTCGATTTGACCATCGCTTCCAACAAATTTGGTGAAATCGTGAGATAATCGCAGCCTGCTAGCTCCTCAATCTGGTCTACATTTCGAAATGATGCCCCCATAACAATTGTACGATACCCAAATTTCTTGTAATAATCAAAAATTTCTTTCACCGATAAAACTCCTGGGTCTTCATTCTTTGCATACTGCCTAGCTTCCCTAGCTTTGTACCAATCCAATATCCTACCTACAAAAGGCGAAATCAAAGTCACTTCTGCCTCGGCGCAAGCTACCGCTTGAGTAAAAGAAAACACCAGAGTGAGGTTGCAATGAACTCCATAAGTGGATTCTAATTCTCTTGCTGCAAGAATTCCTTCGTAAGTGGCAGCAATTTTAATGAGGACTCGCTCCTTCGATATCCCTCTAGCTTCATACAAGGACACTAAATCTAGAGCTTTCCGAACAGTTGCCTTTCGGTCAAATGATAGTCGAGCGTCAACTTCTGTGGACACTCTCCCAGGAATCAGTTCCAATATTCTAGATCCAAATTCAACCAGCAGTCTGTCGGAAGCGATCAGAGCTTTGTTTTCAATGTCCAAACTTTTCTGGTTTTCAAGCACGTAATCCACGCAATTATCAATTAATTGTTGGTATTCAGTTTTCTTGGCAGCTGCCAAAATCAGCGAGGGATTAGTAGTAGCATCTTGTGGCTTATATTCTTTGATAGTTTCAAATTCTCCCGTATCTATTACGACAGTTGTGCCACATTGTTTCAAGTATTCAAGTGAATTCATTCGTTGGTTTTGTTGTCCGCCAGCTCGTAGGATGGTCTATTACGTGACTTATATATTTTTTCCGTATTTATTTAAACTGTCGCTTAAATAGCCTACAATCTTCCAGGCACGCTTTTTACCGCTCTCGCAGTAAAGTACTCCTTTCCAGGAGCCTGTACCATTCCCCTAACGATTTGAATTCGCTCTCTATGTAAGTATACCATTTGTCTTTACTTTCTTCTTGACCGTTTAGTTTACAACAAAACTTTTGTTGTGCCCAAAGGTTATGAGCACGTGTGATGCTCTCTCCTGCTGAAAAGGACAGAATGATAAATTAATTATGAAACCGGAGGAAAGATAATTCAGATTAATCAACACAATCTAGATTATATACTCACCAATATTTTCGCCTTCTTGGACTCTTTAATATTTGCCGTGATCATTTGAGACAATCTTTTAAGTCAATTGTGTCCAGAGAAAAATATGGCGAGCATCAATACACCGGCCGTCGTAATGGGTATGTTGAGTTACATATTATTAAATGTCCTACTAACAGTTAGATAATGGAACCGGTTTAACCAAACTTGGTTTTGCTGGAAATGATTCTCCATCATGGGTTTTTCCTACTGCAATAGCAACTAGACTTTCCGGTTCATCCAGTAAACCCCCTGCCCCTTCAAAACCCTCATTTTTAACCTCGTCTACAAGCTCTTCTTCTGGAAAGAGCTCAGGAGGGAATCTTTCATTGAAAAGGGACATGGAGGATCTTGATTTTTTCATAGGTGATGAGGCTTTGCAGGCTGCCAAGGGTCCATCTTATGCACTTAATTATCCAATAAGACATGGTCAAATCGAAAATTGGGATCAAATGGAGAGATTCTGGGAAAACTCTATTTTCAAGTACCTAAAATGCGAACCTGAGGACCATTACTTTCTTCTCACAGAGCCACCATTAAATCCGCCAGAGAATAGGGAAAACACGGCTGAAATCATGTTTGAATCATTCAATTGTGCCGGGCTTTATATCGCTGTGCAGGCAGTTTTGGCTCTCGCCGCTTCATGGACCTCTTCCAAGGTGGTTGACAGATCATTGACAGGTACAGTTATAGATTCAGGAGATGGAGTGACCCATGTGATTCCTGTCGCAGAAGGTTATGTTATTGGGTCTGCGATAAAAAATATTCCAATTGCAGGAAGAGATATTACAAGCTTTATTCAGACTCTTCTGAGAGAAAGGGGCGAAAAGGATACATCACTGAAAACTGCTGAGCAAATTAAACAGCAGTTTTGCTACGTTTGTCCAGATATCGTGAAGGAGTTTAACAAGTTTGATTCACATCCTGATATGTTTGCCAAATACATTGTCGAAACTGTCAATAGATCTAAAATTGAGGTTGATGTGGGATATGAGAGATTTCTTGCACCAGAAATATTTTTCAATCCCGAGATAGCATCTTCAGATTTCCTAACTCCACTTCCAACAATCGTGGACCAGGTTATTCAGTCTTCCCCAATAGATGTTCGTAAGAACCTTTACAAAAATATTGTTTTGAGCGGTGGTTCTACTATGTTCAAAGATTTCGGAAGACGACTGCAAAGAGATTTGAAATCGCTGGTCAATGAAAGAGTCGCCCAGAGTGAGCGTCTTAGTGGTTCCAAATCAAGTGGTGTCACTGTACAAGTGATTTCACACAAAAGACAAAAGAACGCTGTGTGGTTTGGAGGCTCGTTGTTGGCCCAGACAGCAGAATTTAAAAGCTACTGTCATACCAAACGAGATTACGAAGAGTATGGGCCAAACATTGTTCGAAACTTTTCTCTATTCAGCGTTCCATGAAGTTGCCTTACTCGTTCAGTTTACTTGGACAAATACTGATGTATCAGTTGTCGTATATTGGTCATTAAAAAATTTATCGATCTCATTACTCGTTAAGTCACTCAAAACCGGCTTTGCAAATCCAATTTAGACTCGCAAAATGCCATCCATTTCCTGATTATTGGATGATTTCGCTCATCCAACATGTTTAACTTAGTATCAAAAAAGTCTGTTTGTAGTACTTTTTTTATGTTCAATTCATGGAATGCAGAATCATAGTCTTCAGCTGAGATTTTTGATGACTTCAAAAGACTTCTCATTTGAGCCAATATCTCACCAACCCGCGCTCCAATCCTGGCTCCTATAGGATATCCCTCGTCAAAACCTTGCTGCAAGCTTTCTTCTTTGGCCTTCGAAATCCCATCTAAATATCCTTGTCTAGCATGCTTTCTTTTCAAAGACAACAAATCAACATGAACAGGACCATTATCATCCCGACCATAGGTTTCGGTGGCAGCCGGTTTGTATTCTTCATCATCTGAAAGCCATATATCATCAAAAGTCATTTTTCATCAATGCACAGTGTTTTTACCCGGTCCACGTAATTATAAAGAAAAGGCAAAAAAACATTTTACTTACTATTGTGCCAAGAAAGCTATATTCTTAAGAGCACTTTTAAATTGGTATACCTATCAAAAGGCCCAGATAATTGCCTGGAGTGACAACAATTTGTCTTTTCAAGCTTTGTGGAAAGTGGTTGGAACCAAGATTCAAAACAAGGTGAAGAATCTTCAAAACTTATATTATGGCTCACAATCTTATCACTCAGGTCCAGCAACATGAGGAAACTCCGGTTTCACAAGTGCCAACAGATATAGATGATTACAATACGGAAATCAAAATGAATCTTCGAGGGCAATTGTTTAGCATTACAAAAGATGATTTAATGGCTTTGCCTGAAAGTATCTTGCTTTGTTTGTTCCCTAATGGGGTGTTCGTTGATATGAATGGAAACATAATTACCAACCTAACGGAGGACGACATTGTATTTGTCAACTTTTCTCCAGATTGTTTTCAGTATATCTGCCAAGTCTTCGATACCGCTGTGCATGATTTACAACTGAGCGAACAAGCGGGCCAACATCAGCAGATTTACGATATCAACGATCCAAATATTCTCAATGACAAACCCTCGATAATTGTCTTACGTGAGGATTTGGACTATTATTGTATTCCTCCCGTCGCTGGCCTCGATGCGGACGCAATGAAAAAGATAAAGCTTTTTGTTGGCGAGGAGTTGGTGAAAAACACTAAGATATTTGATGGGCTAGGCTATGAACCAGGTAGACAACTGAAGCCCGCTGAGCAACACTTGCTGGACATGCTTTGCTCCTCGGGTTTCAAAATTGACGGCGAATGGGGACATCGTTCTCTCGAACCTGGTAAAACGGTTGTTTTCTCGCTGGCGCTGGTTCGCTTGGCTACTGAAAGCTCAGAGGCTCCCTCTGTGGAGGGATCACCATCTTTAAAGCCAATGTCGTCTGTCAGTTCGTTATCAAGTCAACCAGAGAAACGAAAGTCTCGCTTAAGTACTCTTGCTCATGCTGTTTCGAGGTCAGGGTCTCGTGGAAGGAAAGAGAAAAATTCAACGGCTACAAAGCTACTTTTGTTTTGGAGGAAACCAGCAAGAAAATGTTGGTGGTCTGATTCAGTGCTCGATATTGATATCTCCAGCCTGCGAATCAAGAATGCGAACGGGCAACCTTTGAGCCACTCAACGATTAAGATCCATATACGACGGGTGTGGACTTTGGAGCTTTCTGTGGTTGGCATTCAGTAGGGTTTGTATGATAAAGTCAAATGTCAGATATCATGACGATTAGATTATCTCTAAAAAAATGCGCTCAACAATTAGCATATGCATCGATATCTGTATCTTTTGATAAGATTTATTTCATTTTTTTTTCCTTTTATGCAATCAAACGATGTTGACACTGTCACACATGTCACAGCTTCTCGGCTGGCTTTACTTTTCTTGCTGGTCCTTGTCGTTCTACCCAACTATTCTTTCCAACATGAGATTAAAATCAGTACAAGGAATATCAATTGACTTCATGTTTTTTAACACAGCAGGTTTTACTCTATATTCCCTTTACACGGGATTTCTGTGTTACAGTACTAAAATCCAATATGAATTTTATCTTCGTCATGATAAGTATCCATTGATCAAATCTAACGATTTCTTTTTTGGAATTCATGGCCTTCTCCTTAATTTACTCCTTATCAGTCAGGCGTATTTTTGGAGATTCAAGAAAAATGATAATCAAGTCATCTCCAGCATATGCAAGCTTGTATATGCTACCTTGGTTTTGTTTTCCGCAGGGTATGGGTTAATAATTCATTTCACTTACGGGAAACGGTATTGGATTGATCTTCTCACGTCGCTCGGTATGGCCAAGATTTTTATGAGTGTGTGCAAGAACATTCCACAGGCTATTTACAATTACAACCGGAAGTCAACACATGGCTGGCCAATTCAAATGGTCTGGCTTGATTTTGCTGGTGCAGTGTTCTCTTTTTCGCAGCTTTTCTTGGATGCGTATGTCGCCGGCGACATAAGAAGCATCTTCAACAACTTGCCAAAGTTCTTGTTGAGTATAGAAGTTGCCCTGGCTGATCTGGTATTTTTTACCCAGCACTATTTTTTATACTATCAGACGGACAACGAACGTTTTGGTCTATCGAAATCCTTTCATTCGTATAGCGCGATTTTGGAGGAGGATCAAAATTTTTTGCGAGAACATCAACACGATCACGATCATGAGCCTTTCCACAACATTCGATGCACTGTAAGTCCAATTGATAAGGACGAACTACAACGTCTTTTACCTTAAGGGGGCAAGTATATAAATGACGTAATCAAATCACATGACTTGTCACAATAAAACTATGCACCATCTCTGACTATTGAAATTTCTTCGAATAACCATGTTCAAACGTCTACTTAGCAGCACCAAGGGGGCAATGGAATCTTACAATGCTTCTTTTGATCCCTTGCTTGCAAGCAAGGGATTAACTAGTGCCGTAGGAAATACTCCTTTGGTAAAGCTTAACCGGATTAGTGACGAGATTGGCCGCAATATATATGGGAAAGCAGAGTGGATGAATCCCGGAGGATCTGTTAAAGACCGTGCAGCTTTGTTTTTCATTGAGGAGGCGGAGAAACGTGGTTTGATCAAACCAGGTGGCACTATAGTGGAAGGAACTGCCGGGAATACTGGTATCGGTCTTGCCCACGTTGCTCGCTCAAAAGGATACAATGTCGTAATCTACATGCCTAATACCCAAGCCCCTTCAAAAATTCAAACACTGAAACTGCTAGGATGTGAAGTCTATCCGGTTCCTGTCGTGCCATTTGACAATCCTGAAAATTTCAATCATCAAGCTAGAAGGCATGCTGAAAGATTGGAAAATGCGTATTGGACTAACCAGTTTGATAACCTTGACAATAGAATGGCTCACATTAAGATGACTGGGCCAGAAATATACAAACAACTTGAAGGTAAAGTTCATGCGTTTACGTGTAGTTTGGGAACAGGAGGCACGTGGTGCGGAACTTCAAGATATCTGAAGACTCAAAATCCAGAAATTAAATGTTATGTTGCAGAGCCGCCTGGGTCATGTGTTTATTCATATGTCAAGACTGGTGGCAAAAGTCTAGAAAGATCAGGGTCCTCGTTCACTGAGGGCATTGGTCAAGGTCGCATTACGAACAACGTCGCGCAGGATATCGAGTTGGCAGATGATGCTTTCTTGATCCCGGACGAAGAAACTATTGCCATGCTCTACAGACTTCTGGACGAGGAAGGAATTTATGTTGGAGGCACTTCAGCTCTAAATGTGGTGGCTGCCGTAAGGGCAGCCAAGCTTCTTCCGGAACAATCGAATATTGTCACCATATTGGCCGATTCTGCACACAAATACTGTGATAGAATATTCAGCAAAAGCTGGTTACAGAGCAAAAACTTGTATGAAGCTATTCCTGACAAGCTGAGAAAATATGCAATTCTTGAATAGTGTATAGGAAAAATATGACTCTCGAAGTTGGGCCGGATTAACTGGTCTGGTCATCTCAAACCAAATCCCTCGCTATACCATATAGCTTTGTACAATTTCGATTCAAATATTTCCTTTGAAGGATAAACGTAAAGACAGAGCTCGTTGAAACATGTATGGGCGATTGGTAAGCGGTTTGGGTTTGAATCAACAAGCTTCGTAATTTTAAAAGTTAGGGATGGCAGTCCAGTCGCCGGCAATCTATCCGATCCTGTAATGAAAAGTAGTATTCTGCGCTGATCAGCAGCACTTTTGCGCTCGAAATAATCCCAGAACCAATTGACAACAGTGTCAGTTTCAAAGAAACCACTATACTTAGTCACAGACTTCAAAATCTCGATATCAATTTTTTGATTTCGATAGTCTTCCCCAATCAATATCAATTCGATTTCCTCAGGAGTAAACAAGGATAAAGCATTTCCGCCAATGACGTGTTGAAAGCCGTTCAAAAACGATTTGAAGGGCGCTTTCACCTTGTCATTGAGAAAAAATGAGCAATATCTTTCCACGTATTCATACTTGTTTTCATTCGTTACCCTGATGGATGATCCCCCTCTAACAAGGTCTTCGTGATGCATCACTCCAAATATATCTGCATAAGAAACTGTAAAGAACAACTCAAGGTCACTAACATCCTCCAGTTTCAATAATCTTTTGAAATTGTGCCCGACGTCTGGATTCAATTGGATAAAGTCGTTCAAAGTAACCTTTTGCCCCATCAATTTTTTGTAAAGTGCCTTCGGCAATCGAAGGTCAAGGATCGTAGAGTTGTATATTGCCAACCCAAGCACAACACCAACTAGATAATAGAGCTCGTCATTGTCTAAATTGGAAATTGAAAACCAACATAATCCAGATGTTTCATCATAAGAAAATAATCCCTTGTCCGCATTGAATAAGTCTTTAGTGAGCAACAAAAACCACTCCTTTTTTAACCCACCTGCATCAATTCCAGGTTCATCAACAAATTCTACCCTCAAAAGTTTCTTGAAATCTGTTTGATGGGATTTAATGCACCGTAGTGAATCAGGGGTGATGAAGTTTCTCCTCACGCGGACCTTGAAATAAACATCAAAAGGCATTTTTTTGTTAAGAGACTGGATAAACGCTTCCTCTGCCTTTCGCTCCATCATTCGTTTCGCCTCATGCTCAAGAATTGATATTTTAGCCGCTAAAGATAGAAGGAAGGGAAATTGACAAAATGTGAATGAAGACTTCTTCAAAGTCCCATTGGCACTAGAAAGTCCTAAATAGCTGGCCTTTGTTTCAGCTTGCAAGTAGTCAACCACTAGCTGCAGAGAGTCTTTGTTTGTTGTGCTTTGTTCGTGCTTTATGGTCGAAGCGTGGAATTGCCAAGCATCAAAATCTTGCTTCACATTCACATAGTCAACAAGATTATTGTAGAACAATGCATCACTGACTTTCTTATTTTTTTTGTTTGCAATAAACAGGAACGATGCTAATCTGCCCGCAGTACGCAAATGCCAATCATCACCGTATTGTTGTAATCTGATCTTTACTTCATGTTCTTTTGACTCTTTCTTACCCGACCAGAACGATGAACTTGAAGAAATACCTGTACGTCTTCCTCCCGAGGAGATATAAAGAGGTAGACCAATGAACAAGCCAAAATCAGAGCTTTTAGAGGTGGGGCGGATAAAATGGGCATTAAGGTTTTCTTTAAAGTTGATGTCATCGCTCATGGAAACATTTAAATAAGACCCAGGCTGTATAATCGAGTTGTACAGCTCATAATTAATACACCTTGTGAGCTGAAAAGTAATGTAGAGGTTGATGAAGTCAATCTTTTTCACGAACTCATCGTGTGGCAATCTAGACCACCAATAAGTAAGGCGGCTCGTGATTTTCTTTTCTGAGTAAGAAAGCAATCCAATGACCCGCTTAAGGATATCATAACAAGATGTCTTCAGGTCGGGCGCAAGACCGTCTGTACAGGAATCGATTCCACTTATCAAACAGTCAGGTAAAATGGGAATTTCCAGCAAAATCAGTAGCCAGTTAATATCAGCAGGCTCCTTCATGGAAGGTGGATGTTTGAGTAAATAAAGGGCACCTAGTAGAAGCTTGTAGAGCGGACGTTTCGTGGGCAGACTCAACAGTAACGCAAATGATTTTTTTGCTTCGTTGAAGTTTAAGTTTGGGGAACGGTAATTCGGTGGGGTCAAATCTGACAGTCTAAATGAGCTATTGAGTATGGAAAAAGTAGAAAATGCTTCATAGAGCATGTCCTCCAAGGGTTTGAATATTTCGTGTGGATTGTAATTATCTCCAGCGGATTTTCTTTTGGTGGAGCATTGGTTGATGAACTGTTTCAAAAAAGAATAAGATAGTGCTCTAGCAACTGTATTTGGTGACAGTTCAGAAACTTCTCTAGTTTCTTCAATGACAGTCATATGCGTTTGACAAACCAAGCAACGGACCTTGTTAATATCTGCTGGGTACTTTAGCATTGTTCCGCAACACCTGCAAGAGTCAACAACAATACTGGGTGATATTCTCTGTGATTGCGATGTTGCTGATTTCGAAGGCGGTCTAACTTGGGAGGCATCACTGTTCAGATTGGATATCAACGTGTTAGAATCTAAGCCATCCTGTGAAATCTCAGTTGACTCGTCGAAAGGGGCTGAAGTTTGTGCTTGGACAGAAGGATTAAAAAAAGAAGCCTGTCTGTTCCACATTTTTGATATCCAGGACTGTTTCACATTTGACGATGGAGGAGAAGGCATCTTCAAAAAAGATAGATCAACCTACCGGTAACACACGCCGCTTCAACTTAATGCTTAGTTGCTTTTGAATGAGCACTAAAGAACACAGACAATATCTTCCCGTATTTCTTCAGATGCTAGTTCGCCAACTAAGATGATATACAATGATAAGTTGAGCACGACTATCGGTCAGGCTTTCATTTATAACAAGGGGAATATTTAGGTTTATTTGTCTGGTACAAAAATAGCACAGCCAAAGTGCATTAGCGATATTTAAAGTTATAAGGCCGTATGTATGTGTGTGTGTATTCCAAAAATTTAGAGAAAACGAATTAGGGCTGTAAGAAAATCTATGACAATTCATCGATTGTATGATTTATCTCCGGTGATCCACCTGTTCACCATATCAAGAGCAGCTTCTGGTTGGTCATGAGGAACCATGTGGCCCGCATCGTAAACCCGGGCAAATGTCAGTTGTCCATTGGTCTTAATCTCTCCCGCAGGAAGGCCCTCGATTTCCGTGTACCAGTTCTTGAATTCTGCCTTCTGGTAAGAGGCACTATTTTTCCATTCCAATACTTCCGTCCAGGCCAAGTTTCCCAGCCAGTTGCAAATATAGTCTTTGTCTCCTGCGTAAATAAGAACTGGGAGACCAGCATCTAGAACTTTTGCCACGTACTGCTGAAATGGCTTTGTTTCGTCTCCTGTCAAGATGAATTGTCGAAAAACTTCATCATCACAGTCACTGTAGATATCAACTTCTGCTCCCAGTGCCTCTTTAACGTCAGGAAGATTCATGTACTGGTCGATGTAGTTTATTCCGAGGTAGCAGTTTCCATCTTGAGTTTCACAAGGGCCACGAATATCATAAACATTAAGGCCTGTCTGCTCAAATGGTTCCAATATACGTTCACAGTAAAGATTTGCCGGCAGGCAAGTAACGGCAGATAGAGTTCTATAGCATGCACTAATCAATCGTTTGCAGCGGGAGTACATGTCGTCGATTTTCATGCAGTCACTGTCGGAGAGGATTTGTTTGTAACCCGATAACGATGCATTGCAGGCCATAGGGCCATACCAGCCATATTGGATCAATGGATCTGTAATTCCATTACCAATTAAAATAGAGGTGAGTTCAAAAGACTTGTTCTTGTGATCAAGAATTTCACTTGCAATATTAGGAATGTAGTGACCAGCGTAAGATTCGCCAGCGATATGAAAGTCATTATTCGAAAATCGCGCGAATTTTGTGAAGAATAGCTCCAAGAACGCATAAACATCTTTAGCTGCGACCTTAGTGCTTGAAACAGAGGACCTTGTGCTGTACGAGTAGCCAACACCAACAGGCTGTTCAAGAAAGATGACCGACGCATTATTGTTCCAAGAATAGGGATTGTGGATTGGGGTAAGTGTGGTTCCGTTAAGTGAAGCTGGACCAAGCTCAAATAAGCAGCCCGTCACTGAGCTGCAGCCAGGACCTCCATTTAACCAAAGAATCACAGGGTCGGTCGCGGGATCGTTTCTGCTCTCGAAAAACCAATAAAATAGGTGCTTATCATCATCATTGATATCAAAATATCCTGTATATTGTTTGACAGTATCCACACCGAGACTCAGTGGGTTACTCCGTTTTTTCGTATGCAATCTCAGTTGATAACCTGGCAGGCTTTCAACGCTAATAGTCTCCACATTGTCAGGGTCGCTCTTGATATCAATTGGGAATGAGCTGCTTATAGGACAAACGCTAGATTCATAATCTTTGATGGCTTTTTTGAGCCCCTGTGTACCAAGGAGTTGCTCCAAAGAGCTCCATACAAACCTGACATCGTCCTGGAGAGCACTATCAAGCCATTCAAGGGAATAACGGTATTCAGAATCAACAGAAAGGACCTTCTCACCAATTACTGCGCACTTGACAGCAGTTACCAAAGCGAGGCCAATAAACAGCAATAAAAACAAAAAAGAAGGGAGCCTCATTTGAATGAATTAGAGGGTTGTTTGGGGAATTAATTACTACAAATTTATATGGCTGTGCAGGCTGACACAGTTATTGGTTTCAATTGACATATCGGTTTCTTAAAAGATTCCCATCGATCGGGGATAGCAGGCTCATTTCAGTATTTGAGTTCCCTGGGGCTGTAAGGGATTTATTGGATAAGATGTCCCGCAAAAGTCACATTGTCTTTCTTGCTACCAACATTAAAATTCTCATAACCACTCCTCACGCCACAGAATTTTCTACTCCCTTTCGCACAGAAATTCATTAAAAACCATCTTATCAGACAAGACATCTAGCTTGACCTGTATTGTATCGGCAACTGTTTTGATTTTTACTTACAGTAGCAATGGGCCTTAACAATCCAATTCCGAGATCGCTGAAAACCGAGTCTAAGTAAGTGTTATCAAAAATTCCATCAGGAGTTCGGGAAGTTTCAAACTAACAACTCAGGAAAGCAGCTAAAATTCTAGCTTCCTTCATTAAACCAAACCAGTTGTTTGGGGCAGATGAAGTCATTCCTCGAGAAGTTCTTCTCAATGCCAAGGGATTGGCAGTGATCACTATTCTGAAAGCCGGATTTCTTTTTTCTGGCAGAGCCGGCTCGGGTGTCGTGGTCGCTAGGTTGCCGGACGGCTCATGGTCCGCCCCTTCTGCTATAGTCACCGCAGGTGCAGGTGTTGGTGGACAAGTTGGAGCCGAAGTTACCGATTTTGTTTTCATCCTCAATACCGAGGCTGCAGTTGAATCCTTCGCTCAATTCGGTTCGGTGACTTTGGGTGGTAATATTTCCGTTGCAGCAGGTCCTTTGGGAAGAAATGCGGAAGTCGCAGGCTCTGCCTCTTTCAGAAACGTCGCTCCTGTGTTTGCTTACTCCAAAACAAAAGGTCTTTTCGCCGGTGTCTCGGTGGAAGGCTCTGTCCTTGTCGAAAGAAGAGAGGCTAACAGAAAATTCTATGGTGACATGTGTAAGGCCAGTCAAATCTTGGGAGGTCGTGTGAGACCTCCTCCAGCATGCGAGCCTCTCATGAGAGTGCTCAATAGCAGAGCTTTCACAAGAGCAAGTGCCAATGGTGAGTATTATTCTGACGACGAAGACTATTATAACGATATTCCTTCGGAATTCAGCTCAGAGGCGTCCTCCACCAGATATACCTCTCGCAGATCTTACGGTTCAGATGATGAGGAGTATTCGGATGACGATTCGCCTCGTTCATATTACCATCGCTCTACTCCTGGAACCACGCCTTCGCATTCGAGAAAGCCAACTTCTTGGGAAGATGACGTTTACGATAGATATGATAGAAACAGATCATCCAAATCCGAAGCAAGATCTGCAGGCTACAGGCCAAGGTCAGAAAAACCAGATTTTGGCTATGGGTCCGCTCGCGGAAGCTCAGGATCATCAGGGTCCAAGAAAGCTATCGCTCTCTACACATTTGCGGGAGAGCAACAGGGAGATCTCGGGTTCAAAAAAGGAGACGTGATAACTATTATTCAAAAATCAGATTCAACGGATGATTGGTGGACAGGCAGAATCGGCACCCGGGAAGGCATTTTCCCGGCTAATTATGTTGAGCTAGTGTAACAATAAACTTTCGTTGATTTTTTTGGTTCCATTTTTATATTCTTGAAAATGCTGTTTGCAGGGTCATTCCCCAGTCATATATATAGGTCATATAAAGCTAAATCGTTTTAAGACCCTCATTTCTAGCATTTGGGCACAATACCCAAGTACATCGCACTCTGCACAATTTGAGTTCTAAGCAGGGGGTGCAAAGGTTGGTCTTTCTTGTAGTTGGATTCTAAAAATTTAAAGAATGAATCAACCCTATTAGACCAAAAGAACTTGATGATGTGCTCAGACAATGAATGCACTTTGTGTAGATAAATGCATCCGGTGTTGTTGGAGATCAATGTATCTTCGCCTAAAATTTCAACAGCACAAATGCCTATGATTTGTTCAATCTTGCTGCGAAGATCGACGCTCAATCGCTCTGCATTGCTCTTTTCCTTGGTTTGAACCGTTTCAGCCAATTTTTCCTGTTCGACAGATTTTGCAAAAGCGGCTAGGTGAAATAATTTCGAGGGATCTACATAGGATCTCATCCCAGTAATGTTGGATTGTTCGGGTAGTGGGCCAAAATGATAGCGATGCATGTCGGTAATAACTGTCTCCTTATCTTGGATCTCCACTTTGACCTTGAAGCAGCGAACACCCAGTAGCTTGAGATTATCAATCAAAACGTCAGCATCGGCTTCATTTATCATTTCCACATATCCATAAGCTGTGTAGCCCTTCTTGTTTTCTTGGGGGTATGTTCCATAAAGCTCCACAGACTTTATTGACCCAAAGGTTAAGCACCAATCTTGGAACTTGTCTTTATGCGTGTTGACATTCAACCCCGTGATCAGTATTTTAAGCTTGTATCTTGGTTGAATATCTTGTTTTCGACAATAACTTTTTTCTTCTTTTGGAATTGCACGAGTAACAAATAGCTGCTGCTTATTGATTTCAACCATGTTTAGATGAGACACCGCTTTATCAACGGATTCCTGGTTACTTAGAGTCACCAGAGCCCAGCACCCATTTTTTTTTGGGACCTTCCTTGCTAAGACAGCTAAAACTGGTCCATACGGTTCAACCAGACTCTTGATAACATGTTCCTCAATATTCAAAGGCAAATTTCTCACAAAAATGGAATAATGTGTGCTTATGTCGTTCTTTTGTTTCGTGTTCTGGAATGTGGGCGAAAAAGTAGGGATCTGTGAGATATCCCTTTTTTCTGTCAGCTTGCTGCTCGCGCTCGCAGTTGCTCCAAATAGTTCTCTGTCTTTCTTGAGAATATGTAGACCCACATAGATGAGTCTACCATCTAAGGTAGTATGATTATAACTCTTGACGACTTCATATGCCACCTCCTTAGATTCGAAGTGTATGAATGCTTGCTGTTTGGATGGATCGTACTTACACGACAAAACGTTTCCATGCTTTCTGAACCTATCATAAAGTTGTCTGGTAGTGAGATTTGATGAGAGATTGGAAAGAAAGACATTGGCGCCTATGCGTTCTCTCTGACTTTTATCTCTTAAAGATGGCATGATTCTGATTTCTGAGGAACCGATCGTAGTATAATTGAGAGATTCCATGGCGAGATTTGCTTGATCCTCAGTGGTGTAGTTGACGTATCCATAACCTAACGAGTCTCCGGTTTGACAGTCCGCTGGTATCTTGACCGAAAGAAGACCAGGATACTTATTGAAAACATTTTTAAGGTCGAGCTCACTCAGAGATTTATCCAAGTCACCAACAAAAAGTGAGGTTACCTGTTTTGGTTGGCTAAAGAGGCTGGAAGGGGCGAGATTAGGCAGTACCCAAGAGTTATCCTCTATTGAGTGTTTGGGCAAAGTCACAATTTCGGCACTGGAATCAGATTCTATTGATTCTTTCTTTAAATTGCGTGGATGCGTCCCTTTAACCTCTACGCAAGTTTCTGATTTGGTAGCTATCTCTGTTTCCAATTGTTTCTCCTCCTCGATCTTTGTAGTCGCCGTTTGGATCTCTGGTTTGTGGTCTGTGAATATGTTAGATTTTGTGGGGTTCGTGACGTCATCTTCATTCATGCCAATGCTAATCTTGTCAAATTGTTCCATCCCATAGTCCAAAAAATCTGAATCTGTATTGACGCAGTTGATGCGAGGAGCGCTCTCTGGCCCAGGTTGGTTTTCTTCGGTTGGAAATTCGACACTAGAATTTGTCTTTTCCTTGTACATTCTGAGGTTAAATAAGCTATGGCGCCTTTTTTCCTCCGAGTCCAATGGCTTTCTTTTCAAGCTCAGAGAATCATTTTCTTTCGTACTGGTCATGAATGAGGATTCTCTAGATACACATGCTATTTTCAAATTCTCCTCTTGCTTGTTGTCTCTATTTGAAAGCCGCGACTTAAGATATCTTAAGCCCATGGAAAAGCTATGTGACTCATCCATCGAGAACAGCGATTAAAAATGTGCGTCAAGCATGCTTTTTATATTATCGTTAGCGCCAAATTATCATGAAAAAAGGGCACTAATTAACCTAGTTATTCCCTGCTTATGTAAAACAATGTACAGGAATCTATATTTCTAAACAGTCAAGATATCCCTACCAAAAATACCTCTGTTCAACCAATCCATGAATAGCAGCACACGGGTTCTAAAACTGACACTTTGGGCGAAGTAAATACTTCTCCACAGGTAGACAGCAATGATATCTCCAACGAACGAATATCCTGGTGCAAAATCGAAAACAGCTGAGTTTCCAATGTATGCCAAAGAGCCGAGATGTCTATATTTGAAAGGACGGGCAATGGCGTTATCAATATCACCATCCACGATATCGTTGATTGACAAAGTGGTGGACGATTTGCGTAATTTTGAGAGCTTTTTGCCCATATATTTGCCCTGCTGGTTGGCCCGCTGAGCAGTGGCTGGCAGAGAGGTGACTTTGGAATCGACTTCCTTCATGAGCAGCTTGACTTGGTCAAAATTGAGTTTTCTCCGGCCTTCTGGATCATATTTTGGAACGAGCTCTTCAACAAGGGAGAGCGCTTCTGCAGCAAGCGGGTTCATCTGGGAAATTTGTGTGCAGAGTTGTTTCAGCTCATTGTAAGTGAGGTCGACGTGTTTAATATCGTCATCGGTGATAATGTGGTGAGAACGAATGAATTTGTGAGATTGAGAGCCAATAATGTATTTTCTGACGTAGTCGGAACAGTGCTCTGCCAGCTCGGTACGCACAGTGGCACAGTCTCCAATTGCATAGACGTCACCAAGAGGGGCACCAATTACCCGCAACTGTGCATCGGTCTCGATGGCACGTTTGTTCTTTTGCGAGCCCGCTAAGTCCTTAACAACTTGCTGGGCTAATGGATTCTGTGCGACACCTGTGGACCATAGACACAGTCCAAACGGCACGCTCTTGGTCTCTATCTCACCGCTGGCTGTCTTTTGGTCGAAAATGACCTGGTCAGGCAATATTTCTCTAACTCTGGAATTGGTTAGAAGATCGATTTGATCATGCTCAAACCGCTTCATGGCATATTCGGAGATGGCCTTGTCGTAAGTGTTCAAAATGTGCGATCTAGATTGAATAATGTGGATCGAGATTTCTTGTCTCAAAATTTTAGGGAAGCTTCTGGTCAGATCTTCATTCAATAAGTCGAAGATTTCTGCTGCAACTTCAACACCGGTAGGGCCGGCACCGCAAATGACAAACGAAAGTAGCTTTTTTCTTTCTTCGTCCGTGGTAGTTGGCAGGCATGCTTTTTCGAGGTTGGTCACGATCTTACGTCGAATTTCGACTGCATCCTCTGCCGTTTTCAGTTGGTTGCTGTATTGCAATCCTTTGACACCGTGAGTGTTAGATGTGGATCCAACTGCAATGACAAGCTTGTCGTAAGGAACATAAAAGCGCTGTTCAGTTCCTGGGACCTTGACTTTGATAAGTTTTTCACTGAACAGGATCTTTTCTGCTGAGGCCTCCAGATAATGACCGTTGACTCTGCGGACAATGTGCCTAATACTTTCCATCAAGGACTTGAGCTCTAGAGTGCCGACGGCAGCACAGGGGAGCATAGGAGTGAACAGAAAGTAATTGATCGGAGAGATAACGGTGACATCATAATCGTTCTTGTCCAGATTTCCGAGCAATCCAACTGATCCCCAGCCGGAACCCAGAATAACCAAGTGCGGTTTTCTTCGCAATTCCTCCTTTGCTGGGCTGTCAAATGAGTCCAGGTGATCAGTCAAAATTGGCAAGTTCTCTGGCCCGCCGATTGGAGGATTCAGGGCACTCTCGGGAACTAGGAGATTCTCTATAATTTCTGGTGGAGTGTAAGTCGTGTAATCATAAACAAAGAATGCAGACAGAAGAAGAACAATTGTTCCGCTAACAACACCTGATGTGAGGAAAAACAGCTTCAGCACTCTTCCGACAGCGGTATTCGTCCAAAAACTTGATTTCGGCCGCTTGACAGGCGGTAACGAACCGACCTCGTTCAAACGAGGAAAACCCGTTTGGAATTGTCTAGAGAGAAAGGCAGTCGCCAGCAGTGGTTTTTTCAAATAGATTGGAGCAGAGCTGGCCACCGGCTTGGGGCAACCCCAGATACTTGGTTTAGGCCGCAAAGCCAGTCCAAGAGTCGTTTTTGGCAGGCCAACCTTTATTATTGATGGGAACATACTAAAGGTGCTCTTCTAAGAAAAGTGTAGGCGGCCAAATTACAACCAAATTTAATAGCCAAACACAATTGAATAAAAACAAACTGTGTGTTTGACCTATAGGGATTTTATAATGCCAAGTGTAAGGAACAGACCTGACCGAAAAGTGCCAATGAAAAAAAGATTTTAGATGTTTTCAACCACCAATATCCGATCGGAGTTGTTGGCAATAGGGGGTGCACGTTTGCTTTTTTCATAGATCCATAGTTACCGTGCAACCAACCTGATCCATTGCGTTCCGGCCGGCATTAAACGGTGGGCGCCCTTTCTAGGAATCCGACGTGCATATTACATATTTGAGGGGGTGCAAAGTTCATAACTCACATCTGTGCACCAAAGTTATGGCCCGTCTCGGTCGACCCTGTTTACTCACCTCTGCACCGCGTAGAATTTTATGGAAATCCACATCGCACAATCAGTTATTGTCTTGCGACAATCTCTTATCTCTGCGTCGTGTGGATTATAAAAGACCCTGTAAATTCCCTAGCCCGCCATGGAATCTAAGAACTGTCATCTTGTTGTTCTTTGTCACGGTCTTTGGGGAGTGTCTGAGCACTTCGCCTATATTGAGGCCCAGCTGAAAAATCATGCTTCTCTAAGCTCTAGCAAAGACCAGCTAATAGTCTATACTACAAAGACCAACGAGAGGTTCAAAACCTACGACGGTATCGACCTCTGCGGTACTCGCGTCGCAGAGGAGATTCTTGCTGAAGCCCTAAGATTGCAGGAACAGGGATTGACTGTTAGTAAATTTTCTGTTGTTGGCTATTCTTTAGGAGGTTTAATTGCACGGTATGCCATCGGTGTTCTGCACTATCGCGGTTTTTTCTGCAATATCGAGCCTGTTAATTTCACTAGCTTCTGTTCGCCGCATGTTGGAGTCCTCACTCCCGGCCAGAGCGTCAGTATCAAGATTTTCAACTGGTTGGTGCCTGTGCTACTGGGCAAAAGCGGCCACCAGCTTTTTCTCAAAGACTCGTCTACAGTGCCTCTTTTGAAACTGATGTCGCTTCCCCATACCGTATTCTACCGCGGCCTCGCAAAGTTCAAAAACATCTCGCTGTATTCGAACATCCGCTCCGACATCCGGACATCCTGGTGGTGTTCTGGAATCAGTTACATCAATCCTTTTGACATCTTGGACAAGAATCCTAACGTCAAAATTGACCAGGACGGATATATTCACTTTGAGAACGGCTCCAAGTTTAGCCTGAAGTTCATTGAAGACTACAAACCGGTCGTTCTGGATGCGGATAAGCCAATCACGTTCACAGGCCTAGTCGACGTCTCGTCCAAAGCAAAACTCAACCAAATGGTTCAGGAGGACCTCCCAGCCGACAACGACGTCCCGGCACAGTCGAAAACTGCCAATTTCTTCCAGAGAAAATTCAAGTGGGTCATCATGCTGTTTCGGTTCGGTGTATACCTGCCAATGTGGGTCACGTGGTTTGTGCTGCACAACTGGTTGCAAGTCTTTAATTCCACTCTGCGAGTGATCAAGGAGTCGTCGAAACTGGCCGAATTTCTGGAGCTTTGCGAGGAGCCTGAGCCTGCACGGCCGCCGCTCACCAAACGGCTCAGCGAAGCCAGCATTGACCTGCACCGCCTGGAGCATGGGCTGCATGACCAAGGAGATGAGTTCATCGACTCTGTCTTTGATGCCATCACCTCGACGAACGACATCAACCGCAGCATTTTTGAGGCACGTGAAAACGGCCCGCTCTCGCTCACCACCACAATCAACAAGATCGGCGAGTTCGACCTTTCTGCAGAGCCAGATACACCGGATGCACTCCGGTACCGGCAGATTCTGAGTCCTTTTAAATTGGACCTTTCCGACCATCAAAAGGACATTATCAGTCATCTCAATAAGCTACCATGGCGCAAATTTCCGATCTACATCACCAAGACAAACGCCACGCACGCGGCCGCCATTGTCCGACACGACGATCCTGCTTTTGAGGAGGGTAAGGTCGTGGTGAAGCATTTCGTTGAGGAAGTGTTCCAGCAATAGACGCATTCAGCATTTATAGAGAGTAAATCTATCAGCAACTCCTTGAATGAAAATTCTTCAATGCTCAATTCGCCTCGCTCAGCTCGGCAATGATGGCCTCCAACACACCGCCAAATCTGCCGACCAGCCCGACAAAACTGTCTACCAACACGTTTTTGTCGCCCGACTCCAGCACACCAGGCGCTAATTCCAACGCAAGACCGTCTATCCTGCTCGCCAGGCTCATTTTTTCATGCTCCTCTGTATCTCTGGCCCGCTCCTCGAAAGACCCCTGCGGCCGCGCCAATTCTGCCGCGTCTCTCTCCGGCGTGGCCCCCAGCTCCATGTTACCCTTCTCGGTGACCGGAGTCATCGCCAGCGGCGCCGTCGAAGCGAGGTTGATGTTCACACCAAACTGATTGAGCGTGTCTGGCGACGCTGCCGCCGTCTTGTCGTCCATCAACTGTGAGTGCAACATCGGCACAGGCATCTGGAGCCGCATCTGCGAGCGCGCACGCGACAACGACCCCGGCTCGGACTTCATCTCCTGGTACTCGTTGTTGCTCAGCGCGGGAGCAGTCTGTGGGCCAGGAGGAACATTCTGCGACGGTATCTTACTGTTGATCGGCTGCAGCAGCGGCTGCTGCGAGGCCGACGAGGGAAGCGGCTTCATGTGTGGCAGCCGTTGCGGTGATGGCACGAGGCCGGCCTCCTTTAGCCGCTGCGGCGAGGGCGTCCTGTTGCCCAGACTGGATAGTCCTGTGCTGGAAGCTCCTATGCGCCGAACGGCAGGCTCCTCAGCCTGCACGGGGGTTGACGGCGACTCCTGACGCGACACGGTTGACGCCCTTGGCCGTTTTTCCTGTGCAGCCGTCTCTGGAAGCGTGTCCAGACTGGGGATCTCTATAGGCACATTGGGGACCGCGGACACCTCTGCGACGGGCGACGACGGCGTCTCATCGGACTCGTCCTGCTCAAACAGCTTTAGCAGCGATTTTGGGGCGGTGGTGCTAGTCGCGGCGGCCGAGTTAGCTGTGTTTCGCAGCGTCGTTGCCGCCGTCGACTGCGTCGCAACACGCATCGTCGTCTGCATCGTTCCTACTCGGAACGTCGGGTTGATCGTGTAGTCATCTGTGTCCTGTGGCACGAACGAGTACGGCGACGGGGCCTCGACCGGTGGCACATTTTCCTCACTGATATCGTTCTCTATCATGTATTCTGCGCTTTTCAAGGAATTAAAGTCCCATTTAACTTCACTCTCCTCGCCGATGCTTTCAGCATCCTCGTAATAAACCGACTCTCGCGAGGGCCGAAAGTCGCGCCACAGAAGATACCTGCTGATCACCTCCTTAAGAGACGAGGTCGGCACCGCCCTGTAAGCCTTAACCAGCTTTGATTTCTGTAATTCCTCGGCCGATGGCCGCAGTTCCGGCTTTTCTTCCAAACAGATTGCCACCTGGTCCTTTAAATTCGCCGAGAACTGTCTTCCCTCGAGTCTCGGCGGCTCATGCTGTGTCAGTAGTTGCATCGCGCGCATCGCGTCCTTGTCGCTATATGGCGGGTTTCCCGTCGCCATTTCGTAGATAGTGATTCCCAAAGACCATATATCTGCCTTCTCGTTGTAGTCGGCACCCTCCATTATCACCTCTGGCGCCATCCAGTATGGCGTTCCAACCATAGTCGTTCTTTTCATTGCCGAGGTGGTTAGCTGGCCAGCGACTCCGAAGTCGCACAGCTGCACCTTACCATCCTTCTGGATCAAGATATTAGCTGCCTTGATGTCTCTGTGGATCACTCCGTGTTGATGGATAAACTGCAGCGCAAGCAACACTTCTCGCACAATGACACTGATATATCTCTCCTCCAGAGGCCCCGGACGAAGTAAAGTCCTCACCGATCCCCCCGCACAGTAGTCCATAACAACCCACAGCTTGTGACCGTGTAAATACGAGCCGTAGTATCGCGTCACATTGGGAACAGACTTGAGCTGCGACAGGAACTGGATCTCTTGTTGCACGTCCTTCACCTCCTCCTCGGGCGTGTCGAGATTGAGGATCTTAATTGCAACAAGCTCCTTGGTGTCGAGCCGCAAACCCTTGTAGACCGTGCCAAACTTGCCACGCCCTATGACCTCTAGCTTCTTGAACTGCGAGGTGGTGTCGGACATTACAAACAAAATAGAATCAGATTTCCTTTTTAGACGCGTCGATGGGAGGCCACGGGGCAGGGCTTCAAACTCGTCTCGAAGACTAAAAATGGAGGAAAAAATAAATTAATTCACCAAATGTCCGACCTAGCACGGCTCTTCCGTACAACCAGGATCGCACAGCTGCCCAGACAGCTTGGCGAGCTGGGTGCCGACAGATCGGCCACGTTTCCGACGCACCAGGTGATTGAATCTCCGCCATCGTCGTTCGCCAGAAGAGATTTTGGTCTCAAGATGAGAATCCCAACGAAAATTAAGTCCAAGTATATTGTCGTCAACAATCTCGACAACAAGTACGGCTTGCCGGACTTTGAACCGCTTGGGGGCTTTGCATTTAAGAAGAAGAAATTTCAAGAGTTCGGGATCCCTATTTCTGTGAGAAACCCTACGATGACCACCAAATCCAGCTCCAATCCGCTCTTTCCTGGCCACGATCCGTGGGAAGGCCACAGCTCAGTCTCTGTGGCCCTGGGAATGAAGGTCCAACGTCCATCTTCGCTAGAATTTGCAACCAACAAAAAGTATCTTAGAACGTTGAGAAAACCGTTCATGGAGTGGCTGGCCCTCAAGTATCCAGAGAAAATCGCCCAGGCCGATCTTTCAAACGAGATTGTGGAGTTTTTGGAGACCAGAAAAGTCGACGAGGCCAAACTGAACAGGAAAAAATACCAATTTCCGACCCTCTACCGCGAACAGCTCTCGGGAACTGCTGGACTCTCGTACAACTTGAAGGGCAGACTTTTCCAGACACCAAACGGTCCGCAGTCTGCAAGGGTTCTTCCTGGAAGATACATCAGCGCGCGGTCTACCGGCAGTCGGTTTGCATTAGGAGGATTCATTGGAAATTCCGTCACCTCTGGTCTCCATGTGAAATATCTTAACAAGCTTGCCGATGTTCGCAGGCCGTTGGACGCAGAGGGCAGATACGCAAGAGAGTTCACTATTCCATTAATTCCAAAGGCTGCACACTTGAATTTGGTGAAGAAAAGATTCGATTTCGAGGTCGAGCCGGTCAAGGACCAGGACACATCTAAAAAGGGCGGGTTCAGCACCGTCAAACGCTTCTCTCCAAGGTCCCCGATCGGAGGACCCGACAAGAGTCAGCTGGTGCTGTCGTCGCTGCTGGGTCTTCTTGAGACCGTTGGGAAGAAGTAACTGTATATAATGCAATACTAAGACTATTTACATGATTAAAATTTTGAGAGCAATAGTGCCGTGGCGACGCTGGCATTCAACGAATCCACAGATTCATCCAAATCTGCTCTGCCACTATTCAGCGACACCAGAAAATCGCTGCGTTGCAACAACGATGTTCTGATGCCCTGACCTTCAGACCCGACAACCAGCATGCAGGGCCCTTTCTGTAGCTGTCCTTTCAAAGTGTCGGCGTCAATCTGTTTGCTGCTCGTCCCACCAGATTCGCTTGGCGCCACAGATGAGATGATAGTCCACCCGTTGGCGCGCGACTCCTCGAAAAATCGGAGTGGTTTTTGGGACGAGTAGATCGGCAGGAATTCGAGAGCTCCAGACGAGGTTTTCGACACCACAGGCGACAGCGGAGCACAGTTGCGCTCCGAGACAACAACGCAATCCACCCCCAGAAAATAGGCGGATCTGAGAATCGCGCCCATGTTGTGCGGGTCGGATATTTCGTCAATGTAAAGTGCCAACGGGTATCGTTCGGCAGTAGTGGACAAAACGCTGCTCTCGGTCGCTCCCACGTGTTCTTTGGTAACTGTGAATTTTCCAAGTCCGCAGGCCTCCAAGCAACGTAGCTGCTCCACTTCGATTGGTTTGGTTTCAACAACTATCCCGTTGTGGACGCCGTTATTCGTCATGAGGTTTAAATCATGCTTCCCATACTCGCTTTTCACCGGAAGCTCCATTTCACGGGCCAGTGCCAAAATCTCCGCCAGCTTAGGAGTGGACTTGGGGTTGTGGAGATACAAAGTACCAAAACTCTCACGCTGTTGCGCTTTAAGGGCGGCGAGAACAGGATTAGTGCCGTACAGATACTCCACCAGTGGGTTCAGCTTCAGTTGCGAGATCGTTTTTCTGAGGGTCTGCGAACGTGTGAAGTCAGGTTTTTCATCGCTTTGGTGCTCGCGCTTTTTCTGCTTCGCATGGTGATGGGCGTGCTTGCGCTTGAACCACGATTCTTTATCCTCTCCGTCTCTTTCCCACGCCTTCACTCTTCTGTGCACGGGGAAATTTCTATCAAATGTAACGGCTCCCTTGTTGTGGGCCTTATCAGACTTGAAAGGAGCAACAGGGCCATTCAGCGACCTCAAACTCGCGCCAAAAAATCGGACATTCGACACTCTCATTTAAAATTTAATTCACTTTCGTGCAATTTTTTTTTTAGACTTATCTCAAATCTCAATTAAATCCATATTTATGCCATGAGCCAATTTGTGCCCGGTCGTGGCATATATGCGGATATCAAAACACGACTAATTCCGTACTATGTCTCAGACATTACTGATGGGTTCACATACCGCGTTATTCCGGCCGCAGTGTACATCTTTTTCACCAATATTTTACCAGCCATGGCCTTCGCACAGGACATGTATGACCACGCAAATAAGTCGTACGGCACCAACGAGGTGCTGCTTTCCTCCGCAATGGCTGGCATAATTTTTGGCCTTTTTTCAGGCACTCCTCTATGCATTGTTGGAGTGACTGGCCCGATATCCATCTTCAACTACACAGTCTACAACCTGATGGAGCCTCGAGGGACGCCTTATTTCCAGTTCATGTGTTGGATCTGTCTATGGAGCATGGTTTTACATTTCTTGGTGGCCATCACCAACAGCGTTAATTTCATGCGCTATGTCACCAAATACAGCTGTATCTCTTTCGGTCTGTTCATTAATATCGTCTATATCCAGAAAGGAATCCAGATTCTGGCACACCAGTTCGCAATCAGAGACGATTCGAGCGGTTTCGCATCGATAGTCGTGGCCCTCGTGATGGCCTTGTTTGGTCTTGCTGCTCACTTTTTTGGCACCAAGTCGCACTACGTTCACCCGCTTTTCCGCAAATTTGTGAAAGATTACGGCACCCCACTTAGCGTAGTGTTTTTCACAGGATTTATCCATTTTGGAGGCCGTCTAAAACACGTCGATTTCGCCAGGTTGCCAATCACTCGCTCGTTTCGTCCTACGTCGCCAGACCGTCCTGAGAGTTGGTACATTCCCTTCTGGCAAGATATATCCGTTGGTGATGTGTTTCTGGCACTGCCTTTTGGCATTTTGCTCACCATATTGTTCTACTTCGATCATAATGTTTCTTCTCTGATGTGTCAATCAGACGAATTTCCTTTGAAAAAACCAAGCTCATTCCACTACGACTTCATGTTGCTGGGGATCACCACAGGAATTTCTGGAATCTTGGGAATACCAGCCCCGAACGGCCTCATTCCTCAGGCTCCCTTGCACACAGAGGCGCTCTGTGTCCATGAGCACGATTATGCTACCGGCAAAGACAGGGTGGTTCGAGTGGTCGAACAACGGCTCAGCAACATAATACAGGGCCTCCTGACACTGGTATTGATGACCAGACCCTTTCTGGTGGTTTTAGGCCAGATCCCCCAGGCAGTTCTCGCCGGATTGTTCTTCATCATGGCGATTGGAGCCTTGAATGAGAACGAGGTTGTGCAAAAACTCCGGTTTCTTTTCACAGATCCTCTCTCAAGGGAAAACATGGGTTTTCCCCGCCACTACTTTCTGCTCCAGAGGAAATGGTTTCTGATTTTTCTAGCTTTGCAACTGACAGCCTTTGGCTTCGAGTTCGGCATCACGTGCACAAAGGGCGCCATAGGGTTCCCTGGCGTCCTGATGTTCTTCATGATTCTTGCAATTTACTTTCCGACCTTTATTCCGCAGGACCAGATGAGAATGCTTGATTCGCAAGCTGCGGACGACTTAATTTTGAAAAGCCTCAAGTTCGAAAAAAATGAGTAAGAAATACGGTTTCTGTTAATTTTTTAATTCATGATAATTCTCATATACCTATTATTATTGTCGCCGGTGAGGGCTTCCTTGGGTGATGACTTGCTTGAGTTCCAAACGTGTGTGAAAAAGTGTGATATTACCACTTGCAATGGCATCTCAAAATACTCTGATGTCTCAGAGAAGGAGCTCCTGCGTTGGAAGTCTCAACAGCAAAAGTACCACATGTTCCAAGAACTGCCGCTCTCGTGGGACTTACGACTTATCGGCTGGGACTGCTTCTCTAATTGCGACTACCAATGCCAGCGAATCGTAACCAAGGACCGACAAAGCAAGAATCTCGAGGTCTACCAGTTTCATGGAAAATGGCCGTTTGTTCGTGTCTTTGGAATCCAGGAGTTTTTCAGCACCATATTCAGTATTGGGAACTGGTTTCCTCACTATTGGGGAGCCAAGATGATATGGAACCAATGTAGGAAGGAGATTAGAGCTGGAAACACGCAATTCGTCAAGCTATACACGGCATACATGGTCGTAGCTGTCGTGGCAATGTGCGCTTGGTTTTTTTCTACATTGTTCCATCTGAGAGACACATGGAACCGAGAGAGACTGGACTATTTTTTTGCCGGAGCCACCGTGCTGTCCGGCTTCTACGCTGTCGTCGTTCGTGTGTTCAAACTCTATCTTCCAAAAAATGATTTCAAACGTCAAGTTCTCGCAGCCGGAACGCTCCTTGCATACTTCCTCCATGTTGGCAGGCTTTTGAGTGACTGGTCTTACACTTACAACATGCAAGCTAACGTGGCCTGTGGACTACTTCAGAATGTGTTGTGGATTTATCATTCCATCAACTGTTTCAACAGATCCAGACGCTCTATGTCGCTCAAAAGCGACCTCCTGAATAAAGAGATCAACTGGACGCTCACACCGCTGGTTCTGGTTGTGAGCGTGAGTGCAGGCATGTCTTTTGAACTCTTTGATTTTCCCCCTCTCTTCGATCTTCTCGATGCACATGCTCTGTGGCATTTTAGCACTATTTGGCCAGCCCTGTACTGGTACACCTATATGATCAAGGATGTGGAAGAGGGCCTGAAAGACAGGAAGTACGAATGATGTACATTATATCACTTAATTAAGACTCTTTAAGTGCAACTAATTTATTTGTCGTAAATTATGCTATTCTTAATTAAATTCCATATATTTTAATTTCATTATTTTCACCCATGTCTTCATTTAATCAGATCGATCCATCAGCACAATATTCTCTGCGATGTCCGTTCTGCCTCTGTAAAATCATCTCTTCAACACCTGCAAAGCCCCAGTACTCTTCTATATTGCCAATATCAACGGAATTCGCATTTGTCGACCTTTCTCCTTCATTGGAGATCAGCTCTCATAAAGCCGACCACAACGATGTTTTCTTCCATGTCGGCTCGATGTGGGACTTTGATAACATCGGAGTGAGTAGGCCGTCATCGGAGTTAGCCGTTGAAATGGAGAATCTGGCGAATAAGGATAAGATGGTTCTGCAAATAGCACGATTTTTAACGTGTGCAGACTGCGATAAAGGACCGCTGGGCTTTGCAGCACGGCATAAATCTGCACCACCAGACAAACCAGAAAACGGAGAAAATCTGATCTACTTCCTTCGCGGACGATCGTGTCTCTACGATACTCAATAATACGAGAATAAGTATTTTCACACAATCAATATAATGAATAGGTAATAAATAAACTTGTGAAACCAAACAGCTAAGCTCTGCCGAAACTTACCACCCTTCTATTAAGTAAACGTCACCAGCTTCGACAGCATTCGATTTCAGTCCTTATTTTCTGGAAGCACCCATTTTGTTCAGAGCAGAACCGTACTTGAACCACTCGATTTGCTCTTCATTATAAGTGTGGGACAATGGAGTAGACCAGGCCTCACCTTCCTTAGGGTGGACAACCATGGTCACGTGCTTACCTGGGGCCAACTCGGTCAGTCCAACAAGATCAATCTCATCATCTGGATTGATTCTGTCGTAAGCCTCTGGCTCCACAAAGTTCAATGGCAAAAGACCTTGCTTCTTCAAGTTGGTCTCGTGAATTCTAGCAAAGGACTTGGTGATGATAGCAAATCCACCGAGGAATCTTGGCTCCAATGCAGCGTGCTCTCTGGAAGAACCCTCACCAAAGTTCTCGCCACCAATAACAACCCACTTGATGCCATGGTCTCTGTAGTAGGCAGCGGTCTCTGGAACACCGTGGTACTCACCAGTGTAGTGGTTCTTGACAGAGTTGGCCTTACCGTTCTCAGCGTTGATGGCACCAATCATGTAGTTTTGAGAAATGTTCTCCAAGTGTCCACGGTACTTCAACCAAGGACCTGCCATCGAGATGTGGTCAGTGGTGGTCTTACCGAGAGACTTGATCAGAATTGGCATTCTGTAAGCATCCTTGCCATCCCAAGGCTTGAATGGTTGCAGCCTTTGCAATCTGTCGGAAGTTGGCGAGATGTTAACTTCAACAGAAGATCTCTCCTCTGGTGGAGCCTGGTAGGTGTTTTCACCAGGGTCGTATCCCTTTGGTGGAAGACCAACACCAACAGGTGGCTTCAACATGAACTCATTTCCGTCAGCGTCCTTCAGCTTATCGGTCAATGGGTTGAATCTCAAATCACCAGCAATGGCGTAGGCGACAACCATCTCTGGAGAAGCAACAAAAGCGTGGGTAGCTGGGTTACCATCGTTTCTAGAGGTGAAGTTTCTGTTGAAGGAAGACACAATGGTGTTCTTGTCACCCTTCTTGATGTCTTGTCTGTCCCATTGACCAATACATGGACCACAGGCGTTTGCCAACACCTTACCACCAAAGTCGTGGAAGACCTTCAATTGACCGTCTCTTGCAATGGTGGCTCTGACTTGCTCGGAACCTGGAGTGACAGTGAAGATGGACTTGGCCTTGAGTCCGTGGGACTCAGCATCCTGGATGATGGAGGCAGCTCTAGACATGTCTTCGTAGGAGGAGTTGGTACAGGATCCAATCAGACCAACCTTGACCTCCAATGGCCAGTCATTGGCAACGGCAACTTCCTTCATCTTCGACACTGGGGTAGCGAGATCAGGAGTGAATGGACCGTTGACGTGTGGCTCCAGGGTGTTGAGGTCGATCTCAATCACTTGGTCATACTCACAGCCCTTATCAGCAGACAGGTAATCCTTTTGGTAAAGCTTGGCGAACTCAGCAATTTGAGATCTTCCGGTGGCATTCAAATAGTCAACCATAGACTGGTTGAATGGGAAAACGGAGGTGGTGGCACCGATCTCGGCACCCATGTTACAGATGGTTGCCATACCGGTACAAGAGAAGGTATCAACACCGTCACCGAAGTACTCGACAATAGAACCAGTTCCACCTTTGACGGTAGTAATACCAGCCAATTTCAAAATGATATCCTTAGGAGAAGTCCATCCAGACATCTTACCGGTAAGCTTGACACCAATGATTTTTGGTGCCTTCAGCTCCCATGGCAAGCCGGCCATAACATCGACAGCGTCAGCACCACCAACACCAATAGCCAACTGACCCAGACCACCAGCGTTAGGGGTGTGGGAGTCGGTACCAATCAGCAACTCACCTGGGAAGGCGTAGTTCTCAAGAACGATCTGGTGGATGATACCGGAACCTGGTTTCCAGAAACCAATGTTGTACTTGGCACATGCAGATGCAAGGAAATCGTACACCTCCTTGTTCAGGCTGATGGCTCTAGCCAAGTCAGCCGGACCCTCCTTCTGAGCCTGAATCAGGTGATCACAGTGCACAGTGGTTGGGGTGGCAACCGATGGCATACCAGCAGACATGAATTGCAGGATGGCCATTTGGGCGGTGGCATCCTGACAAGCAACTCTGTCTGGTCTGAGTTTGAGGTATGAGACACCTCTTTGGATGTCCTGTCCGTGCGGGTCATCCAAGTGAGCGTAAAGCAATTTCTCAGCGTACGTCATAGGTCTGTTGAGTCTGCTTTTGACAATCTCCAGAACCTCCAATTGCTTCTTGTAGTTGATGTAGTTTCCCTTCTCCAACAAGTTCTGAGGCACCTTGGAGTCCTTGGTGATGTCAGACACAGTAGCCATGGAACGCGAAATGCGTCTTGTAGCCGATCTGGCTGTTCTCGATGAAACCGACAACATGTTTGGTTGAAAACAAAAGTGGTGTCGATGGTGTATTTATAAATTATGCGTGCAGGAGGAAAATAAAACTTGCCAGCCGGAAGTCCACCAGGGAAAATCTGGGGGCTGCCCGGTGGTCCACCAGGCGGGCCTGGTGGAAAGTACGTCACGCAGGCAGTTGTCCTGCATTGTAGTCATTAGAAAAGTCGGCCCCGGCACGACAAAAGCCGCATAGCTGCGTGCAGGGCTCCGTTAGTCCAGGTACGCTGAGCCAATGAGAGCCCGAGGATTTGTAAAATACAGGGTGAAAGGGCGGCTTGAAAATGGTGGCAAAAAAGCAGTTCAAGTTGCTGGACATGGCTGTAGAAGGTGCTACAAACATCCACGAGACAGGACGGGCTTTTTGTGGTGGCAAAGGCGTCAATCTTTATCTACAAAAAAGCAAAGCCGAGATCGGCTTTGCACCGCCATGTTTTGTAATGATCACGGACGGCCATTTTTGAAAGTCCGACTAGGGAGAGAAAAAATTTTTGGGAGGCTCACAGACTTTTTTTTGCCACCAGCCACTTCCATGCACCAGGAAGGCCATATTACATAAGCATCCTCAGGCCAAGTTATGCAGACCAGACACCAGCAACCACCCAGACACACCAGATATTGCTAGAAGTTTCTGTGCGGCTCTAGATCACCAGACCATCACAAGCGTCTCATGTCTGTACGCTGTATAAATTGCTTTCCCTACAACTGCAATTTTGCTAATCATGGATCAATCACAATTTACCGACAGAGCTTTAAACATTGTGACCACAGCTCAGAAGCTGTGTCAGCAAAACAATCATGCCCAAATAGTTCCTCTCCATTTCCTTGCTGCTATGACTCCTATGTCTACGGACGGGGAGGCTATATATCTGAAGACGTTGATAGAGAGAGGACGTTTTGATTGGCAGGCTTTCGAGCGCACAGTCAACAAGCACTTGGTGAGACTGCCAAGTGTTGAAGGTAGTAATACCGAGCCATCGTTCTCGGCATCTGCTGCCAACATTATTACGAACGCTAATAAAATCAAGGGCCAGCAAAAGGATTCCTACATCGGCCAGGACCACATTTTGCTGGCATTGCTCGAGGATTCCACAATTAAGAGCATTTTGAAGGAGGTCAATATCAAGGTTGATGCTCTTAAAGCACAGATTCAGGAATTAAGAGGAAACCAGAGAATCGATTCCAGGCAGGCCGACTCGTCGCAACAGTTCGAATTTTTGTCCAAGTACGCCATTGACTTAACCGAGAGAGCGCTACAGGGTAAAATTGACCCGGTCATTGGCAGAGAAGAGGAGATCAGACGGACGATCCGGGTGTTGGCCAGAAGAGCCAAGTCGAACCCATGTCTGATTGGTGACCCTGGTGTTGGTAAGACGAGTATAGTTGAAGGAGTTGCGCAGAGAATAGTCGACAACGACGTTCCAACTGTTTTGCAGGGTTGCAAGCTGTACTCGCTTGACTTGGGTGCTTTGAAAGCCGGAGCAAAATACCAGGGCGAATTTGAAGAGAGACTCAAGGGAGTTTTGAGCGACATTGAAAAATCCCAGGCCATGGTCATCCTGTTCATCGACGAGATCCACATGTTGATGGGCGACGGAAAGTCTGATGCTGCCAATCTGCTGAAGCCAGCTCTGGCTAGAGGCGACTTCCACTGTATTGGTGCCACGACCGTCACTGAGTACCGTAAATACATTGAGAAGGACGGTGCTTTCGAGAGACGGTTCCAAAGAATTGACGTGAGAGAGCCTACAATCCAAGAAACAGTCGCCATCTTGAGAGGTTTGCAGCCAAGATACGAAATCCACCACGGTGTGCGTATTTTGGACAGTGCTTTGGTGACAGCTGCTCAGCTCGCTTCCAGATACCTCACCTACAGAAAATTACCAGACTCTGCTGTCGACTTAATTGATGAGACGGCAGCCGGTGTTGCAGTTGCCAGAGACTCGAAGCCGGAGGAGCTGGATTCGAAAGAGAGACAATTAGAGTTGATTGACGTTGAAATCAGCGCTCTGGAGAGAGACCAGGATGCCGACAGCTCTACAAAGGAAAGACTGGAGGCTGCCAGACAGCGTAAGCAAAACCTCGAGGAGGAGCTTGCGCCACTTAGAGAGAAGTACGACCAGGAGCGCGCGGGCCACGAGGAACTGACTGCTGCCAAGCGGAAGCTGGACGAGCTGGAAGTCAAGGCCCAGGACGCAGAGAGACGGCACGACTCGCAGACCATTGCCGACCTGAGAATGTTTGCCATTCCAGACGTGAAGAGACGTATCGAGGAGCTCGAGGCCAAGGTGATGGAGGAAGAGGCCAAGAGCGAGGAGTTCCTGGTGAAGAACGTTGTTGGCTCCGAGCAGGTTGCCGAGACCGCTGCTCGTTTGACGGGCATTCCGGTCAGCAAGCTTACGCAGGCAGAGAATGCCAAGCTCATCACGATGGAGAAGGAGCTGTCTTCTGCCGTGGTCGGCCAGGGCGAGGCCGTCAAGGCTGTGTCAAACGCTATCAGATTGTCGCGGTCTGGTCTGGCCAACCCTCACCAGCCAGCCTCATTCCTGTTCCTTGGTCTTTCTGGATCGGGTAAGACTGAGCTGGCCAAGAAGCTAGCAGGATTCCTATTTTCAGACGAAAGGGCAATGATCCGGATCGATTGCTCCGAGCTGATGGAGAAATACTCCGTTTCTAAGCTTATCGGTACCACTGCCGGCTATATTGGCTACGAGGAGGGTGGTATGCTCACCAACCAGCTTCTGAGAAAACCATACTCGGTGGTGCTTTTCGATGAGGTTGAGAAGGCCGCTCCTGAGGTGCTGAATGTGCTTCTGCAGATGCTCGACGACGGCAGAATCACGGCTGCCAACGGCACGCTCGTCAACTGCTCGAACTGTATCGTGATCATGACGTCGAACCTTGGTGCAGAGTACATCAACGCCTCGAAGGGAAGCAAGATTGACGAGGAGACCAAGAACCTGGTGATGTCTGCTGTGCGTGCTCACTTCAGACCAGAGTTCTTGAACAGAATCTCTGCCACAGTGGTGTTCAACAGACTCTCGAGACACGCCATTGCCAAGATCGTCAAGCTGAGATTGAAGGAGATTGAGAACAGGTTCGAGCTTAACGGCAAGTCGCTGAGATTGGATGTGGACGACGGCGCCCTGGAGTACCTGTGCAAGAAGGGATATTCGGCAGATCTGGGTGCTAGACCTCTAAACAGACTCATCCAGAACGAGATTCTGAATCATCTCGCCATAATGGTGCTTAACGGACAGGTTCAGGACAAGGAGGTGGTGAAGATCACCACGAACGAGAAAGGCATTGTTGTGGTGCCTAACCACGAGGTCCAGGACGCGATGGACGTCGACGACTGGACCGACGACGCTGACGACGACTCTGGATATAGCACTCCAGATTTGGACTGAACGACCAACTAACGTGACCGAAATAAGACCGATATGTAGACAGACGAATTAGATATGGATAATACGATTAGAAATTAACTAGTAGCTACTGATGCAGAGATGTATATGTCTAATAATTTTTCAGAATTTTTTAATCGTTTTAAAAAATTTTAAGAATGGCGACTAGAACACAGTTTGAGAACTCTAACGAGGTCGGCGTCTTCGCCAAGCTCACCAACTCGTATTGCCTGGTGGCTGTCGGAGGCTCCGAGAATTTTTATTCTGCCTTTGAGGCCGAGCTGGGTGACGTGATCCCTATTGTGCACACAACCATTGCAGGTACCAGAATCGTGGGCCGTATGACTGCAGGCAACAGAAGAGGCCTGCTCGTCCCTACACAGACAACAGATCAAGAACTCATGCATTTGAGAAACAGTCTTCCGGACTCTGTGAAGATCCAGCGTGTTGAAGAGCGTCTTTCAGCACTGGGAAACGTGATTTGTTGCAACGACTACGTTGCTCTTGTGCATCCAGATATTGAGAGAGAAACCGAGGAACTGATAGCCGACGTCCTAGGAGTGGAGGTGTTCAGACAGACCATTGCGGGAAACGTTCTTGTTGGATCTTATTGCGCTCTATCGAACCAGGGCGGTCTGGTTCACCCTCAAACCCCGATCCAGGACCAAGAGGAGCTCTCGTCGCTGCTCCAGGTGCCCTTGGTTGCCGGTACGGTGAATCGCGGTTCCGCTGTTGTGGGAGCAGGCATGGTGGTCAACGACTGGCTGGCAGTCTCTGGACTCGACACCACGGCTCCAGAGCTCAGTGTGGTTGAGAGTATATTCAGATTGCAGGATGCACAACCAGACGCCATCTCTGGCAACCTCAGAGACACCTTGATTGAGACCTACACATAGACAGACGCGAATTCCTTCGAAATAAATGCTTATGTAATAATCACCAAAAAGCTAAACCACCAGCATTTCTGTGTTTTTTTCCAAGTCGCAGTAAACTTGAATTATCGTTCATTAATGTCTTTCTACGGGTATGCTTTTTAATCTTTTTGCGACTAACAACAGTGTTTCAAAAGGCTCAATTAGAGCAAGAGCACTGGAGAAGCTGGCCTCGCTCTCTGTGCGGGAGGTGGACGACACAAGCCAGCTCGAACAGAGTGTCCCTGACACATTGAAGCGGCTGCTGGGGGGCACCAGGAGCCTTTCAGACATGCAGTTGGGCAGCAAAAATATCCGCCATTCGGAGTTCGAGGTTCTTCTTGCTCTCTGCAGAAGTTGCGAGCATATCAAGAGCAAGATTCAAGCGGAGATTCTGCTCTCTAGATTTGGGCTCTACTTAGCGGAATTGGGCACCGACAAATTCTCCTCCAAAAGGACACTGAAGACGTACTTTCCCACACCATGGACAAAGCTGTCGTACGAACTGGTTGTTGCGATTTCGACTTTGGGCTTAACTTTGCCAAAATTGAGGCCTAAGTGCCAGGATTTGATTTTCCAGTTTATTGACAGCTTACATTCGGACTCAGCAGACCTGAGGACTCTATTTTGCTACGTGGGGCTTCTGCAGGGGCTGACCAAAAACATTGCGTTTGTCAGCTCCGATCTTCTGCGTCGGGTGGTGATGGTTTTCGACGAAGCGTTTTTCCCCCAAGTCGAGTCCTGTATCGGCTCGATCGACGAGCACGTTTATGTGGAGATGGTGAACAACTTTGAGGACTATGGTTTTGAGTTTTCATCACTGTTTTTCATGTTTTTGGTGCAGAAGCTTGCGGTAGAGTTCCTCAAGTGCCAGCTAGGGTGCAAGTCTGAGAAATCGCTGGCTTTCCACGTCTTGCAGAGCGACACCAAGGAGCTCCAGAAAAAGTTGGACACATCGCTGCTTAAGGAGCTTGCGCTGACGGCTATTGCCAACAACAAATACGTCAACAACGGCTCAGACAGGCTGGTGACATCTACGTTTGGCCGCAGAAACGCAGGCTACTCCATCAAGGCGTCCACAATAGAGATACTGGCGTTGGGCTCGTCACTTTCCGTAGTGGACCTGAACTTTGCCACCGCGCTGATGGACGACTATCTTGAGCAGCTGTACAAGATAGACGGTAACTGCACGAGCGAGGTGGTGGAGATGATCAACTCTGAGCTGCTCACAAGTATATTTGCGAGCGCAGCTCTCCTTTCGGCTAAAAAAAGCTTTATTGGTCTCCGTCTCAGCAAGTGTCTTCCTACGATTTTGTCGCTGCCAGTTCTGAACAGTGAGACCGTCAGTGAGCTCGCACAGTCGCTGTCGTTCTGCCTGAAAAACCTGACCGAGGACGACGTTGTCTCGTGCGTGTACAGTCTCACAAACATCCTGACCGATGCTACAAAGCCCAACAGCGGCACTATGAGCGGTACGATAGAGCTCAGACCCTCGCTCTCGTCGACGACCGGGCGGCCTCCATCGACGTTGACCGAGGATGGCTCGTACTCGCTCGAGGTAATGCCGCTCGTGTACCGAAACGTGATTGCGGCAGTTTTGGAGATCGCCAAGGCGTTCAGAGACGAATCTATCAACATTCTGGCCGTGACAATTCTTTTCCAGAAAGTGCGCAGAGCGCCAACCGAGCTGAACTGTCTGTTGCTGCGCGGGCTGACAGGTTTTGTAGACGTGATGGAGGAGCGGGAGTTTCTGATTTTAGTGAGACACTTTTTCGACATCTCGATCATTTCCACCAAGGACAAGGCCTCGTTCTCCCGGATCAGCTCTGTGTGGATCGAATTTTCCGAGATTATGGCCAAAAGAGCAAATACCAGCCTCTACACTGTATATTTGCACGAGATGCTGTCGGCCATAATTTCCAAGGGCGATATTGACGACCTGGAGCACCACCGATCCAACAACGAGGTGTCGATCTCTGCTTCGGAGATTTCTCTATATTTGAAACCACTGGCTTATCTTTTGCCCCCCATCGACCAGGAGCCACTCATTCCGACCGAAAAAGAGACTGTCGCGTTGTTCAAGGACATGTGGTTCAACCTGTGCATCCACGGCTACGCGCACAGCTCCGAGCTTCTGGCTGCCAACCACGACAGCCTCTTGCGTGTTGCGCACAACTCGCCGGCCCTGGCGTCGGAGTCATCGTGGAACCGCACAGAGACATCGATCGACATGAACACGGTGCTTCGCAGAGGCACCTCGAAACACACCGAGAAGCTGCACAAGGACGTGCTGAGCTCGATTATCACGTCGAAGTCGATCGACGCGAAAGTTTTCGAGACGCAAATCTCGCGGCCCAAGCTGATGTTCCTGGCCTCAAACCTGCTGCTTGAGAGTCTGCGTGCCGAGTGCGGCAACTGCTCCATGTCGCTGGAGTACCTGTCGGACCCAACCATCTCGATCTCTAACTTGCAGGACTTTTCCGGCTCTATTGCGTTCTACGTCACGTCGCAGTATTTCCGCCGCGTCCAGAGAGGCGGTTCCTCGTCGTTCACCACAGCAAAGATCACACGCCAGCTCCAGCAATTGTTCATCTACTGCTGCCACAGAGACTTTGCTCTCCAGAACGCAGCGCTGCAGTGCACCGAGCTCCTAATTGTGCGTGCTCCTGTGCTGCTCTGCTACGAGGTATCACTCTTTTCGCTGCTCGACATTTTGAGTCTGCTCTACGAGAGCGTCATCGACGCAGACGCCAACGAGTACGAGCCGCGCATCGAGTTTACCGCACCGGTGTCCGGCGTGAAACTGCTGCTTTCTGACTCGTACAAATGGAGACATAAGACGCTCGACCTGCTGACCAGCTCTGCCCGCAAATGGATCCCGCTGTGTCTGCTCAAATGTCCGCAAGACACCAAGTCGCTGCTTCAATCGTACGTCTCAAAGGTCGATGGCGCGTCCAGGAAAGGGGTCAACTACGGTGTCACGTTAGCCTTGGAAATGGCGGGCAAGGTGATGCCTGCGGATCGCGATCTGTCGACCGTTGACGGGCTGTCTGGCCGCCACGTCAACACCACGTCAGCGTTCCTGTCGCAAGTCCCCTGGAAAGCCGGTGGCTACGACCCGCTGCTTCGGCTCACCGACCACGAGGCCGCTGGTCTGCGTGCTCTACACATGCACACAGTGAGGAAAATGGCCGATTTACAAGCAACTGTGTCTGCACACCTGCCTGTGGCTCCCAAATCGCTCAGACTCGCTCTCCAGGCGGCCGCGTCGCTGATCATCCGCTCCTCGGACGGCATGGGAGACTTGCTGCGGGAGGTGGTGGCAATTCCGTTTGCTATTTTCGACGCCGACTCAATTGAGCTCGGTGTTGGTGTGTGGCTAAGCATCATGAAGGTGCGCTCGGACCTGGCCCCGGTCGTGCTCTCTGAGATATGCCAGCGTCTGGAAGTGTCCATCAAGCTGCAGAAAGGTCTTTACAACAAACAGTTTGATATTCAGAACTCCAAGTACAACAAAATGGAGTATCTGCCAACAAGCAAGGAGCAGATAGACTACAACGGCCGCAGCGCGTCAAAAAACATAAAGCCACACCTATTGCTATTTAGACTGCTAGCGTCGCATTTTGAAGCCACACGGTACCAGAGCAGCCATATTTTGAAGATGTTTACGCGGACAGTGTTAATTGCGCTACTAGGACTTTCTTTTGCCAGTACGCATCCGTTTGCTCGCACAGCGCGTTTCGAACTCATCAATTTTGCCCTGAGCGTGCTCAAGGTGCACCGTGGTCTCGGAACCAGAGACGTCCCCGGGCTCACTTCTGCGATTTTAGACGGTGCGCTCTCGTGGTTTGTTACCAGACACCGTCCTCCGTATGGGAACAACAAAATGAAGATCCGAGGCGACTTTGCCATCCTTAACATGACTGCTAAGCTTTTCATGGACGCGCGGTACCCAGAAAACCCAGAGTTTGAGCGCAAACGCGTGTTTTTGCTGCTTTTCCTTGACCACGAGATCAGTTTCTTGGCTACATGGCTACATCCGCTGCACCCAGTGGATACCACCGGCTCTTACAGCAGCGTGAAGGTCACGGACCGTGTTCTGGCGGATGCGTACGCTCTGGACGGCCGTCTAGCCTTGAATCTGGTCGAGCGGTACCGGACGCTCTCGCTGGAGAGACCAATCAGACATCTGATCCAGAACGACCCGCTCAAGGTTATCGACGATCCGACTGCGCTGCGGCTGTTGCTGGGCAGCGACAATGTCAAGGTGCCGTCGCTAATGGTGCTGTCCACGGCTGCGTCGCCGTCGGACTCAATCAACCTGTTTCTGCCGCCATTCAACAGCGACCCGATCATTTTGCAGTACACGATGCGTTCTCTTGAAAGTTTTGATACTCACTTGACGTTTTTCTACGTGCCACAGATTGTGCAAGCACTGCGGTTTGACATGAGACTGGGCTACGTTCGCCGGTTTATTTTGGAGACGGCCAAGGTGTCCCAGCTATTTGCGCACCAGATCATCTGGAACATGGCAGCAAACTCGTACAAGGACGAGGACTCGACGGTGCCGGACGACATCAAGCCCGTGCTGGACGAGATCCGGTCCACGATGGTGGCCGAATTCACGCCTCAAGACAGGGCGTACTACGAGAAGGAGTTTAAATTTTTCGAGGAGGTGACTGGCATTTCTGGTAAACTGAAGCCATACATCAAAAGCAGCAAGCCGGAGAAAAAAGCGCAGATCGACAAGCACATGGCGGCCATCAAGGTCGAGGAAGGCGTCTACCTGCCCAGCAACCCGCAGGGCGTGGTGGTGGACATCAACCGGCAGTCTGGAAAGCCGCTGCAGTCGCACGCTAAGGCCCCGTTCATGGCCACGTTCAAGATCCGCAAGGAAGTCAGCTCCCTCGACGGCGAGAAGACGCAGCGCATCGAGGACCTCAGCGCTATTTTCAAGGTCGGCGACGACTGCAGACAGGATTTGCTTGCGTTGCAACTGATGTCGTTGTTCCGGACGATCTGGATGGACGCCGGCCTGGACGTGTTTGTTTTCCCGTATCGGGTGACCGCGACGGCGCCCGGCTGCGGTATTATCGACGTGCTACCGAACTCCATCTCGCGTGACATGCTCGGCAGAGAGGCCGTCAACGGGCTGTACGAGTACTTTATCAGTCAGCACGGGCCAGAAACCTCGATCGAGTTTCAAAAGGCTCGCAACAACTTTGTGAAATCGCTTGCCGCATACTCCATCATCACGTATTTGCTGGAAATCAAGGACAGACACAACGGAAACATCATGTACGACGACCAGGGCCACGTCTTGCACGTCGACTTTGGCTTCTGTTTCGACATCGTGCCCGGCGGCGTCAAGTTCGAGCAGTCGCCGTTCAAGCTGACGCGCGAGATGGTGCGTGTGATGGGTGGCTCCACAGACACACAGGCGTACAAGTGGTTCGAGGAGCTGTGTGTCAAGTCGTTCTTGGTTTGTCGACCATACATGGACGCGATCGTCAACATGGTGGTGCCGATGCTGAGCTCGGGGCTGCCGTGCTTCAAGCCTGCTACCATCAAACATTTAACGGCACGGTTCGTGCCGAAAAAAAGCGACAAGGAAGCGGCCAAGTACATCCGCGGGCTGATTAGAAAATCGTTCGAGTCGCTGGCCACCAAGGGCTACGACGAGTTCCAAAGACTCACGAACGGCATTCCGTACTGAGTCGACGTCGCTTATCATTAATATTAATACATACTATACACCCCGGCCAAACTCGTAGTCGTCAACGCTGAAGGAGAACTCGGGTTCCAGGCTGCTTGCGAAATCACCTGCCTCGTAGTAGAACGAGTCCTTGAACGGCTCCTTGAAGCTCATGTCCAGCGGTTGCCCAACGCCCATGTCCGGCGAGATCGACGGGCTTGTGTCCATGTACGGCTGGAACTGCGGCGTATCGAGGTCCTGCAGCAGCCTCTGTTCGGTCTTCTCGTCGACTTTGCGCGGACGGCCTCGTTTAGCGTTTGGCACAGCACCTGCCGCAGGCCCTTGTTTCTTCTTGAACACGCCCTTCTCGTCTGGCAGCGCGCCAATGCATATATTTCTGATCCGGTGACGCTTTAGAGCGTCCTGTCGTGGGAACTTCTTGCCACACGGACAAACGTGCTTGAATTCTTCGTGGCCCTTGTAGTGTCGTCTGAGATCGTGATTTCGCACAAACGCCTTACCGCACTTGTCGCACATGAACGGCCGGTCAGAGAGATGCGTCTGGATGTGTGCTCTAATATTGGAAACTCTCGTAAACAGCTTGCCGCAGTCGTTGTATATGCATTTGAACATGTCGTTCTCGTCGGGCCCGACGAAATGCACGTCGAGCGCACCACGCTCGAGCGTCGAGGTGATGGTTGGTTTTTTCTTTTTCGTTGGAGACCTGCGCTGTTCCTGGATGATCTGTTCGGAAACGGAGTCTTTTTTAGTGATGAGCGTCGGCGTCCAACTGAAATGCGCGGGCTGTTTCTGTGGCGTCGGCGTTTTAATGTCCACAAACGTGTGTTTTACCTTAATCGGCGTAAACTGACTATTTGCAGACTTGCTTTCCTTTTGCTCTTGTAGCTGTCTCAAAGTCATGAGCTCTTGGGCAGAATAGCTGCTAGTGGCACGAAGCGGCGTGTACCCAGAGACAGCATCTGCCGAGTCCTGGGGTTTGATTGGGGTCTCCTGCCTGCTTTCTGGCTTTGGAGGGGGGAACTTGTAGCCGTCGTGCTGACCAGTCACAAAGTAATCTGGCGCAGGTTTGGGTGCTGTCTGTGAAGAAACACTGCTTGTAATGTATGTGCTATCAATGTATCGTTCTATGGGCTGGTACAACGGTTTTTTATTCTTAATGTCCACCACGGGGAGCCCAGGAATAGCCAGCTGCGTATCGTCGCCAGAGCCCACGTAGCCAAAAATGCCGGAGCCACTGGTCTGTCTCGAGTGCTTCTTCTCAAACTTGGTCTGCTGCTGGCTGTATCCTTCGGAAATGCCAAGGTCATATAGAATTGAGTCGAGGTCTTCATTTTCTCCGTACACCTCAGGGTCAAAGCCAAAATTGTCATCTGGAAGAGGAATCGTCTTGAAGTTGGCCGGCAACCCTTGCTGCGAGCCCACAAACGGGTTGTTCATCTCCCAGGCCATTGCTCTAGAATCAAAGGTGAAAAGCAACTGATTAAACTTATCCGGGACATGAAATAATATCTTAATGAATTTCCGCTTTAGGAATGAGGTAAACATGGGTTGCAATTTTTTTAGGGCTGTGTTCAAGGATCAGAGATCTTCCCACAGCTCGCCCTTGTCCAGCGAACAAACCAGCCGCGAGCTTTCAAACTGCAGTTCCTGAATCTCCTCACGCGTGAGTTCCACCTTGACGTCGCTAATCAGGTCCAGACCCAGTCGATCAGGGAACGTTTTTAGCAGCTCCGTCTTAGGCTTGAGTAGCACGTTGTTCAGATAGCTCAGCTCGTACATGCCAAAAGGGAAGTTGTTGGTCGCCGGCTGCTGTAGCGCGTTCATCCCAAGGGACACGTGCAAACTGTCAAGCTTCTGCATTGGCGATCCGGGCAGCTCGCCGTTCACGTAGCCAATGTCATCCTGGGAAAACCTAATGTCGCAGAATGTGTCGCAAATTGGCTCGATGAGCTTCACTGTGGGCTCGTCAAGCGAAAGAGCCAAAAAAAATCGCTGGTAATCGATTCTGGTAAACATTTTCACCTTGCCGTCCAAGTTGATGGGCAGACAAGAGAATTTACCCGAGTCTCTGAGCTGTTTGCTTCTTCTTTGGTATTCGCGTTTGTAGTGGATGATCGACGCGTCGGATTCGTACATCACAATCGGCGAGATCGAGACATGGACGTGGTATGTCGACAGGTCGCTGTACAGAAAGTCGTTGAAAAATAGATTCGGCCACTTAGTTTTGAGGTTCAGCATCTGGGGTTCTATAAGTCTGTTTCGTAACACTTTTTCGTCTTGGCCTCTCACAAGGCCGCCGTACGGTAGTTCGTAGGGATATATTGGTTGCTGCTCAACATCAAACGGAATGGCGACGTCGTCAAAGTAGCCCTTTCGCAGATCGCTGATCCGCGCTCGCAGAGCATTGTTGAGGTCCACTAGGTGTCTGTGCAGTATTACTCGTTGCCGCTCTAGTGGCTTTAAAGAAAGCAGAACGCTTGCATAATGCTTCGCGTGTTTTATGGTGTCGCTGGCAACAAGCATAAAGAGTAATATTTTATATATATTTTATTTTAATTTTTACAAAGGATAAACCATCTCTCAACAGTCAGTTGGCACTTGAGTTGCAAGTGCGTAGAATAATTTAGTATTTATAAAATCACACCAAGAGCATTTTTCTTGGGTCCTCGATCAACTCTTTCACGGTCTTGAGGAAAGTGACAGCTTCTCTACCGTCTAACATACGGTGATCGTACGTCAGAGCAAGGTACATCATTGGACGGATCTCGACCTTGCCATTGACGGCAACAGGACGTTCCTTGATTCCGTGAAGACCCAGAACGGCGGTCTGTGGCATGTTGATGATAGGAGTACCGTACAGAGAGCCAAAAACACCTCCGTTAGAAATAGTGAATGTTCCACCGGCCATGTCCTCCAAAGTCAGTTTTCCGTCTCTGGCCCGGGCACCTAGGTTGGCAATGGCCTCCTCGATCTCCAAAACAGATAGACTCTCGGCATTTCTCACGATTGGAGTCACCAGACCCTTAGGAGTGGCAACAGCAATAGAAATATCAACGTAATCTCTAAAGACCATGGTGTCGTTGTTCTCAATAGCAGCGTTAACGGCTGGAATTGACTTCATGGCCAGAGTGCTGGCCTTCGAGAATGCTCCCATGAATCCAAATTTGATACCAGTCTTCTTGAGAATCTCGTCTTTGTACAATTTTCTCATTTCCATCAAGGCAGACATGTCGACCTCGTTGAATGTAGTCAACGAAGCGGCAGTGTTCTGCGACTCCTTCAGTCTTTCGGCAATTCTCAGTCTCATTCGATTCATCTTGACTCTCTCCTCGGTTCTGGAAAACTTGCCAACAGACTGAGTCTTTTCTGGGGCAGCGGCCTTAGGGGCTTCCTTCTTAGATTCTTCCTTCTTTGGAGCCTCCTTAGGTGCCTCCTTCTTAGGTTCTTCCTTAGGTGCCTCTTTCTTTGGCTCTTCCTTCTTTGGCTCCTCTTTCTTTGGCTCCGCCTTCACGGCGTCAGCCGGGACTTCTCCAGGCTCTATTTTCAGCAAGTCCTGGCCAACCTCGACAGTGTCATCAACATTCACCAGCAATTCGGTGACTTTTCCCGAGATAGGAGCGTTGACTTCCACATCGATCTTATCTGTCTCGATGGTTGCGATCAGCTCATCCTGCTTGACATAATCGCCCACCTCCTTAGCAAATGAAGCCAAAGTACCTTCCGTGATACTCTCGGCCATTTCAGGGACTTTCACAACCTGGGAGTTGTGTCTTGCAAAAAGCATCGACGTTCTCAAATTTTGAGATCTAAGTGTCAAATTAGAAGCAATAGGGGTTGGTCTAATGGTAGTTTTGAGTCCACGGGCAAAAGCTGCAGACAGACTGGACTTTCTTAACACAGCCTGGCTGCATCTAGCCAAATACTGAACATTGTTTGCACGTCTCGCAACTCCCAACATGTTAAAATATCTAGGAAAAAAACAAGGTGGGTATAAATTTCTTTATATACATGTAGCGGCATATAACTCCGGGAACATGGGGAATTTCGAATTTGGACTAAATTCCTCGGAAAGCCAGCAAAGCAGATCTTCAGCGGATGGCAAAGTATAAGGGGAGGTAGAGTGTTTGATCCCGGGTGCCTTACAAATTATAGGGTCCTCATTGGTTTGCGGAAATTCCGAGCCCGGCACCCTTAATCGTCGCGTCAATAGACGTCAGATAGAGACAGCATGAGACAGGCCCATTGTTGGGGTGAATTAGGTTGTATAGTGTAGTGGTTATCACTTTCGGTTTTGATCCGAACAACCCCGGTTCGAATCCGGGTACGACCTCGTTTTTTTGACTACAATTTTTTCTCTCTCCCAGCCAAGATCTCTGTGCCTGCTAAATTTTACGAAGATTTTTTTTTTTGATTGTGCTGCCAATTGTTCAACGTGGTTAAAATTAGGGACTTTTTAATGTCATCTTTTTTTCTTGTTTTGTTTCTCTACTCACTACTTTGGTTGTATTCTGATAATTTTAATTCTATGCTTGGGCATCGTATTTCTCCTACGTCTCACCATAATAGACCTCATAGCATATGCCAATGTGTGATAAAGAACTAGAGCTTGGGAACAAAGATTTTCCTCCCTCTGTGGAGAAGGACAAACGACATCAAGATGAAATAAAAAGCTCAAACATGGCCGGCCGTAAAGCAGCAAAGTCTCTCAGACTGTTCCGTGGGTCGGAATCGTCAGATAATTTACCAAAAATGCACAAAGATTCAAAGATTGCCTCTTCTCTTGACGGTGATCCCCATACAGACAGGAGTGAACCTCAAAGCTCCACTCGCCACAATTCATTTACCATCACATCAGTGGATTTGGAGCGACACAATTTGCATCCTTCCTTCTACCCTAGCATGCCTCCCTTGGAGCCCGTGTCGTCGGCAACTTACATTCCTCATACACCCGTGGATTCGCAATACAAGGCTGTACCTGAACATCTTACTGCTGCCGCTGAATTTGACCATGAAGTGGACAACCCCGAAATACTAAGCGAAATTGAAGAAATAGAAGAGGCCATTGAAAAGGAAAGCCGGGATGTGCACAGTACGGACACCTCAAGATCAGCATCGCCATTTTCCGACTCGATAGATCACACACAGAATAAATATAAGCAACTCTCGGGGGGAAAGTTTCCTTTGGCTGTGGAGTTGCAGCCTTTCAAGAACAAGGTGGGAGGCCATACGGCAATCTTCAAGTTCAGCCACAGAGCTGTTTGCAAGGCACTGGTCAACAGGGAAAATACCTGGTACGAGAACATCGAACTTGCACATCCTGAACTGTTGAAATTCATGCCTCGGTACATTGGGGTTTTGAATGTGCGATACAGCAGTTTGGCGGATGACGCTTATGAACCCGCATCTTACGACAACGATCATTCATTGGAAACCAGTCACAAGGCAGACGAACTTCCTCCTGAAGTGGTTCTAGACGACAATAAACACATATTCCCGGAGTCGCTTTGGAACCATTACTCTGCCAACTCGCCATTTGAGGACGATTCCAAAGCCAATTCTTTGAGTGATTCTGGTAGCTTTTCGGCATCTCCACAAACTCGAGTCGGTAAAGGGACGCATGATGTCTGGGGAGCTACTAAGGTCAACACTAAACTACAGGAACTAGTTTTGACAGAGGTGTTTGCGCCCATTAAAGAGTACACCAGAAGAGCACAAAGTAAAACAGCTCACGCGGGACACCACAAAAGCTGTAGCTTCACAGGGGCTCGTGCCACAAGATCTCATAGACATTCTACCAGCGGGACAGGAAGTTCATTCAAAAAAGGGTTACCTGCGCCATTCGAGGAAGGTGTTTCCAGTGCTCAGACCTTACCCCAAATGCCAACTAGGAAGGACCATTTAAGTGGGCACTCAAACTCCTTGCTTGACCTCAAAAAGCTAGCGCATGCTGATGGATGTAATTTCCCAGATAGAGAGACTCTAATAAACAAGATCAAGACATTGCCGCCCAAGGATGATGGAGGGGGCATATTTGATATGGACAAAGACACGACCAGCGAGCACGCGATTATTGACGATGACGAAGAGAGTTTGTCTTCTCCACCGCTGATGAGCTCACCCTCTTTCGTTTCCAAACGCAAACATACCCGGCTCGAACGTTTCATTCTTCTCGAAGATTTGACCTCTGGTATGAAACATCCATGCGTTTTGGATTTGAAAATGGGAACTCGTCAGTACGGTGTAGAGGCTACCGAAAAGAAGCGGTACTCGCAGCGGAGAAAATGTCAACAGACGACTTCATGTCGTCTGGGAACAAGAATCTGTGGAATGCAAGTTTGGGATCTAAAGCGGAACTGTTTCATAAACAGGGATAAATATTTTGGGCGCAAGCTCAACGTTGGCTTTGAATTTGTGAGATCGCTTGCTAGGTTCCTTTACGATGGCCTTTCTATTTTCTCGGTGGTGAAGCATTTGCCGAATCTGATTGAGAATTTGAATGAGCTGCAAAAGATTTTCAAGGAGTTACCTGGCTACAGGCTTTATGGTTCATCTATATTGTTGATGTATGATTCCGATGCTGACCACTCCAAATCGCAGTCGACGTTGATTGTTCGTCTTATTGATTTCGCGCAATGTGTCATTGCAAACGAGCCTCTTCCTCCGAACACCACTTATCCTCCAGCGCATATGGACTCACCGGATCTGGGATATTTGAAAGGTCTCCAGTCTTTGATTTTCTACTTTAAGCTAATGTTTCGGGAATTCACGGGACTACAATACACCAACTACGACGAGTCTCTTGTGGTAATGAAGAAACTTCAGTTCTCCGTTCTTTCCCGCAGTTGCGAATGGCTCGACAACTTCGAAAACGAGCAACCGTGTCCATTCGATTTCGGCCAAGTTCCGCAATACTCTGGTTCCATCTTTGACAACGCATCGGAATAGGCCCTATGTATATTAATGTGTACTAATAGTCATTAAGCTAAGGCTCAATGTATGGACAGTTGTAGAGTCGAAAGGCCAATGGAAATGACGCACGACTGAACTTAAAATGTCCACCTTCGTTCTCCCAGTTCTACTGAGACCAATTAGAAGTAGGGCTTCACAATGGTCAATGTTAGCTGGTTTAGCGTAAAGAAAAAATCCAGAAGAAAATGTTAATTTTATACCGAAAGGTCGTGTCCACAACAACTAAAAATACTAGATGCTGGCATTGGAAGCTGAAGAGTTCTCTGCCTTGGTTTCTCTCGAAACAGTCTTGGCAACAGGAAGCAATGGAGCCTTTTTACTTCCAATTTTCTTCCACGCAAAGACAAGAGCTCCCAAAATCAGGAAGACACCAATGGTGACTCCAGCTCCAATCCCCCCAGCTCCAGCGTTGGACAGCTTATTAAGATGGTAAGACCCGTCGGCAACCATCTCCAGATCAATACCCTTTTCCTCTGCCTCCGAAGCCTGCTCGTAGGTAGAAGAATATCTGGTGCACTGAGAGGAGGTGCTTGAGCATTTTCCGCACCAGTCCTCGAGATTGGTAATCGAAATCGCTTCTGTTTTTGCAACGAAGTCGTCCCAGGAGAGCACAGTGGAGTTCAATCCGAAAAGCGGATAAGCCACAAGCTCATCGTCGTCATCAGTACCGTTTTTGAAAGAAAATTGCACAAAGTAGTTTTCGGACGTGTCTTTCAACAGGTCCCACACCAACGTAGCTCCGTAGCCAGGCATACCGGTGAAATTATCAGAGACCTTGTTCAGCTCCAAAAGACCGAAAATCTGGTACATCGTGTTGTACGAGCCAGTAAGGAGGTTGATGTAAGGTGTACCTTTCTCCTTGGTGGCATTCAAATAAGTGAGAGATGCTCCCAGAAGTGATTGTCCTCCAATTGTGAAGTTATTTAGTTTGTTGGAAGCATCGTACGAAATACCCCATTGAGCAGCGTCTGCAAGAGTGGCGATTCGGTAACGAAGTGAAGAGTTCCACTTGGTAGCCCAGTCCTCGTCGTGGATGCTTTCGACGAAAACGAAGTCGTTAATGCTCATTGCATTACCAAAATTGAGCTTAGACTTAGGGAATTTGGTCGATGGAAGAACTCCAGCCAGTGACTGGTAGAAATCGAATGTAGACGAATTGAGCTCTTTAAACGCATCCGTTTCATACCAGGCATCAATGGCAGCATCCGATGAAGGACAATTCTCGTCTCCCTTAATCCAGAAATAATTGTCAGACGTTTCCGACTGCACGTCCATAAAGACGTACTGGTATCCACCCAAAGGAGCCTCAATAGAGGTACCGTTGCTCAATTCGGAGTCCTGGGTCTCTGCGAGAGTCTCGTTTGTGTTCACGGCAGTGGAAGGAGGGTACAGGCCCTGCAGAAAAGACATTTGGGAGTACTCTATGACTGTCGAAGCTGGACATTGAGCATAAGTGTCTCCGTAGACAAAGTAGCCCTGTGGGTCTAGTCCTTGGATAACAAAGTCCGATTCCACAGAATTCCCGTCTTCGTCCAAACCAAAGTATCTCTTTCTATAGAAAGTACCCGACTCGACCTGTTCAACGGCTCCCAGAGTGGTGAGGTAGTTTGCCGGCTTGGCGACTCTATCATTGTGGCGACCAAAGATGAAGGTACCCACACACGAATATTTTCCATCTAGGGATTGGGAGTCCACTGCCAGAGCGAATGGCAACAAAAAGAGAAGTGAAAACATTACAAAGTTGGGGATACTGAGGATCTGCATGCAATTTATTTCGGCTCAATTTTTTTTTTTAGATAAGAGTGCGGCAGCGGATAATATTTTGCGCTTAAAGTCATAATGATCATACCTAATATTGGAAAACGACTAGATAGTGAGTAATACAATTTTTATTGCTTTTGCGTACCTTGCACTTGCTTAACGGCACACTGTCTTAGAGAGTCCAATTGGTCCAAACACTTGGCCGAGTCTCCTCCGCGTAGACACTCTTCGTATTGGGATATCGCGGACGAACAATTGTGCTGGATTTTTTGAAATGACGGCACGTCATTCTTGACGCACTGTTGCAGCGCCAGTTGCATTGGAACGCAGTCGATAGGCTTCTTATTTGGTGACTGGATACATTGGTGGTAGTTGACAAACTGTTCTGGACAGTACTTGGCAACGTCTTGGAGGATGATCTCGTCTAGAAAGGACATGAGAACAAAAGTGAAAAAATATGGAAAATAATATTATTTCGAGGAAATTGGATTTTGACACTCTGCTGGTGAAATACCCGCAATTGGCCCCCTATTTCAAGGGGGGAAAGTACGATTTCCGCAACAATGACGCGGTGATTGCGATCACCGAGGTCTTGTTAAAAGAATGGGGTCTCAAGGTACACATACATAGCGACAGATTATGTCCGCGAATATTCAATCGTCTCGACTACCTCGAATTCATGCGCAGATTACTGGGTTCCTGGACAAAACATGTGGGGCTCGACGTTGGGACCGGCCATCTGGCGATATATGCGCTGCTGGGAGCCAAACTGTTCGATCTGCAGTTTGTAGGCACAGATATCGACCAAGAGTCGTTGGAGCTGGCTCGGGATATTGTGGAGCAAAATCACTTGCAGGAAAAAATCCAGTTGGTGCTAACCAGACCCCAGGAGCCGCTGTTCAGCCGTTTTGTTGAGTTACTGGGCTCTCGAAACGGGTTTGTCGTTTGTAACCCGCCTTTTTATTCTTCTTTTGACGAGATGGAAAGAAGAGCAGAAATCAAGTCCGGCCCCCGGTTCCCCACTGCCGCAGCTAACGAGCTCGTGGTCGAGGGCGGGGAGGTGGCGTTTGTGCATCGGATGATTTTGGAGAGTGAGACCGTGAAAGCTTCTTCTATACGCTGGTTTTCCAGTCTTATTGGAAAATATGACTCTCTCAAGCCCCTGATCTCGCTTCTGCGCGCGCGCAAAATCGACAATTTTGGCGTGCATGAGTTCCGCAGCAGCCAGGCACTGGCAGGAACACGACGATGGATTCTGTTTTGGTCTTTTCAGCCGGAGCGGCCTGATGCAGACCTGTTCAACAGTATCGTGCATCAGAAAACGCGTCGCGAGCTCCAGTGCACTCCCGAGAAGCTGCTTGAGCGGATCGATGGGCTGGAAAATGTGGACAAGACCAGAAACTCGGGCTCAGTCGTTTTAGAGCTGCCGGGCGATGTGTGGTCGCGAGCTTACCGCCGTCAAAAACGGTTCCTGCAAGATCGGGCTCAGGTAGAGGTGCTGCTCGGAAACCCAATCAAGCTCATCTGGAAGAGCGGTCATAACTACCAGCTTTTCGAAAGCTTCTATAACTGGTGTAAGAGAATAGAGCAGTCCTAGAGTTTTTTGAGATACCCCTGCTGGATGAGTCTCTCGACGTCTGCCTGGCGAACGAAAAATTGCGAGTCCTTAGTCAGGTTGAAAACTCCGTACTCAGTCTGGATCTCACCGGCGTCTTTTAACACTCTCACATCGATGAACACGTCTTCCGGCGGCTCCAGTGTCCCTCCAAGGTCAATTTTCTCCAATGGCCCTTTAAACTCGCTCACCAGGTCGTTATATTTTTTCAGGTACTCCTGCTCCTGCGGCGAGAGGTTGTCCATCTGCTCCTTTGAAATCTCGTTATTGGCCCACACCAATTCATCCAGACGCTCTGCTCGCAAGCGCTGGTAGGCCAGAAGACACCGTTTGTTGCGCCGCATGCACAGATGGCAGACAAACAGCTGTGCTTGATTGACGCGATCGTCGTCCTGGCTTGCCTGTTCTGTCAGCACGTCGGCCTCTTTCTGCAGGTCCCGTATCTCCCTTACTATGGCTCTCACCAGAGTATCCTGGTAGAGTGGCAATTTATCCAGCGACTGAGTCCTTTTGGCCTCCAGTGCCAATTTGTGTGCAAGATCTCCATACATGGGAAATTAAATTCAAGAAAAATAATTTAGATCAGCTTTTCAAATGTACGGTAGAAGGAAAAAGGCGTTTTGTTCGCCCGCGCTAGGCAAATTCCCCGAGTGTGACGTTTCGGCAAAGACCACCTCAACTGGAACTTCTTCCGTGTTTGAATTCACCGAGAACCCTGTGGAATTACAAAAAACTGTCAGATCTCCGCGAAAACGCATGCTCCAGAACGCGTCGATCCCGAAGATTCGCAACTTCAACACAGAAGAATACTTCAGAGAGGCTCCAGAGGAGAAACGACCGCGATGGGTGCCAGAAAAACAGCCTCAACGCGCACAATCGCCGTATCCTACGCCTAAGAAACAAAAACCTGGAAGCCCCAAGCTGGAACTAGTGGAGCTGTCTAAAGGGAAATACACGCCACCACACAAGATTTCAGTTCCCGACAATCTATCTGATCTGTTTGAAGTCATCCCGCAGAGTCCGCGAAAATCCACCTTGAACATCAATACATTGACTAATATAACCTCGCAGGAACCAGTGTCTCAGATCCCAAAATTCGCACTGGAGCTTCCTTCCATTCCAGTGGCGAAGATCGACCACCAGCCGGTTCCTATCTCTTCAAAATCACAGAATGCTTGCAAACACTACGGGATTTCACGAAGCTACCGTGCGGAGCACACTTCAGACAGCGAGAGCGACGGGCTCGACGCAGAGCCTATCTGCTCGAATCTACAGCCTACCCTTGATCTCAGGGTATCAGGATTGAACAGCAGATACGACCAAGAGATTGAATTTATGGCGAAGACCGTCAGCTCTGCCAAAGCTCAATTGTCAACGAAAAGAACTGCGCTTCTTGAGGCGGCTCGCAAAGGCGCAGAAGATGCCAAGATGATGGACCGTCTTGCACGCAGGGGCGTGGAGGATTTAGCTGTTGGCATTGAAGCTGCTGGAAACGACTTCATCCTCGTTTCGACATGGATATACTTGGCCACGCCGATGAAGAAGCAGCCACCGATGGATTTCACCAGAAAAGCACTCGAACTCCTCTTGCCTATATCAGAGAATTTGCGAGTATACATTGAGAAAAAAGGAAACTTGCCCAAGATTGACCAGATGGCTTTGGAAGATTTTCTTGAGCATATTCCAACAGCGTCTCCCAGAGAATTGGCTTTTGATTATTTATTACAGCGAGACCACCACGTTTTGTTGGAACTATGCACACAAAAACTACTGAAATTGGTGATCCAGGCCGCCCAGCTGGAGGATGGGAAAAGCATGTTGCTGGTTGAGATGCTCGTGGACAAAGTGCGTCCGCTGGCAGGGTTTGACAAAATAGAGCATCTGGTGAAATCTGCAATCATTGAAAGGCCAGAATGTTTGCCGACTTGTTTGCGCCTGGCAATCGTTTTGGCAACTGAGAAGAAAAGCACGCTAAATGACCCAGTTCTTGTTGTGCCACTGTTAGAATTGGTCCGCCGGTCGTACATCCTTTCTGGAAACATAGCTTTGAGCCAGGACCAAGAAAACGGACTTTTTGCTCTGGGATTACTTTTCAACCTCCAGGAGCACGTCTCCTGGCCGTCAGAGGCTAAAACTCTCTTTACAGAGCTGCTACAGTCGGTAGAAATCGAGAAAAATCCGCAAAATGCAATAAGAATTCATGCTATAGGTTATTTCTGTCTGCTAGTGGACACAGCAACAGAAACAGTAAGGAGAGGTCTTGAAACATTCCACGACGCAGTGGGGCACAGCAACCAGTCCATTAAAGCCAGGATCGAAGCAAAACTCAGCCAAATGTGTTGAACTCGTCCGTTTGTGCCTGCAGGTGCATCTTAGCCATGCGCAGCATCTTGGACTTACCATCTTCCTTCTTTTTACGTTCTCCTCCACTGGCAAGCTTCTTTGGCGTTTCTCTTAGCCCAAAAGATTTGGCCAGATGACCCAAATGGATCTTTTTCACATTGAAACACTCTCTTTCAGAGGCCAAGTGCGTGGCATACGCTTTGATGTGGCTGATGAAACCGTTGGCTGCTATTTCCTTGGCTCGTGGCTCTTCCAACAGCCATCTCTCCAAATCTAAATGGAACGTCGTTGCTTGTGTGTCCCAACTACCGCCCTTTTCGCCTGGTTTCTCGAATGCCTCCTTCAGCACCGATTCGTATTTTTGGAAATGAATACCCGATGGATGCAATGGCTCAATCATCTTCAAATAATTTTCCTCGTCTCCTGGAAGCAGGAAAAGCACAGATTTTCCAAGAGAACCGGCTCTTGCGGTTCTGCCAACTCTATGAAGATGGTCGTCCAAAGCAAAAGGCGGGTCGAACTCGACGACGTTGTTGATATGCGGCAAATCGAGTCCTCTCGACGCGACATCCGTACAGAGAAGGATCGCATTATTTGGACTCTCGGCAAACTGTTTGAGGGTGAGAGTTCTGGTCTGTTGCGAAAGCGAGCCGTGTAGTTTGAAAATGTTAGATCCAAAAAGCGAGCCAGAAGTATCTTCGGAGGCAGCTTTCCTGGTAAGCGCGATAAAGTGGAAGTCGACCGATCCAGAGCACGAGAAAAAAACAATTGTTCTGGAAGCTGTTTGGTCCTTGATCAGGTTTTTGAGAGTTCCGGCTAGAGTGACAAACCTCAGCTTCGGAGGAATCACTACCACCTGCTGTACCAGCTGATCGGGCACCTTTGTGATCTGCTCACTTGTGGTCACCAATTCGGCTTTTTCTAGTGACAGCTCGCCTAATTTCTTCACAGTGGACTTAATGGTGGCCGAACAAAGAATGCTGATTCTTTTGGCCGGCAGAGAGGGATACTGGAGAGGTACAGCAGTCGAAGAGATGCTATGTAAAATCTTTGTGATGCTCTCCTCGAATCCAAGCTCCATCAGCCGGTCACCCTCGTCCAACACAAGGTACCGAATCTTTGATAGATCTAATTTTTGCGTGTGCTCAATATGGTCCACAAGTCTTCCCGGAGTGGCTACAAGTATGTTGACACCCTTGCGGAGTCGAGCCTTTTCGGACTTTTTTTTCTCTCCACCAATAACATTTCCGGCGACAATCCTGTGGTGGCAGCGACTAAGAGACTCAAAAACAGAGTGAATTTGGGTCGCAAGCTCTCTTGTGGGAGCCAGAATCAATGCGAAAAGACCAGAAGTCCGATTAATGTTCGGAATCTCCATTAGCTTTTGGAATATGGGCAGCGCAAAAGCCAAGGTCTTACCAGATCCTGTTTGAGCCTGCACAAAAAGATCATTATTTCCTGCGAGCAGACGTGGAATTACCTGTTGCTGAATCTTTGTGGGGTTCTCTATACGCTGACCAAGAAGATGAGCGTTAATTCTATCGTTGAGTCCAAGTCCAGAAAAAGAAGAGGTATCAAGAGGAGCGTTTGAAGGAGAGAGAACATCTATCTCAGCAATAGGTCTCTCCTGGATCTCTGGGTTCGCTGTGAACAGTGACGAAACGTATGTATTATTTTTGCCACCCTCTCCACGCCGCTCAGGAAATGCGCTTTTAGACGGTCTTTCTTCATCCTCGGCCGCTGCCAAATCCTTGGTTCTATTACCAAGTTTTGTCTGATTTACTCCCAGCTTCTCTTTTTTCTCATTGCGACCTCGGCCTTCGCTCGCAAGCTGCGATTTCCGCCTGTCCTTCCATCTGCCGCCCGTCACCTTCACCTTTTGCTTTTTGGCGGGCGGTTCGCTAGCAAAATTCAATAATAAGTCATCATCCATAGATAAATAATTTTCCAAAAAAAGTTCAAAAAAAAAAAAAAAAAAAAAAACCTGAATTTTTTTTGAATTTATTTTATTTTATGTCTGATCCCGTTATCAAGGAAATTCCTATCCGCATTAACGGGCCGCCCCTTCTGATGGTCCAACAACCAACAGTCCAAAAATACAGCACAATATCACAAACACGACTTAAGCCCGCTAGCGGTGTCCTGGAAATGGACATACCAACTGACACCTCACGTTTTTACGATGAGAGCAAAGCTTCCAAATGGGGAGGCACTAACTACCAAACGCTAAAGGGAGTGCTAGTGGACGGAAACGGATATTATGTAGGGCGTGTGTCTGAAGGAGAACTCCATCTCAGCCCTGTTACGAAGACATGCCAGCTGAGACCCTCGTTCAAGTACATTGACGAAATGAAGGCTCGCAAACAGCAGAAAGAAAAAGAATTGAATAAACAGTTGGACGAACATATGATGTCGGAGGACAAGAAGAAGGCGCACGTGGTGCAGATGACAGCAAAATCTACAAACGAAAATGCTCTCAGACTCGGAGGCGCTTTGGTGAGCAAAAAGCTGGAAGACGAGGAAGATTGGGTGGTGTATGAGTATAAAAGAAGTGTACAGTAATTTAAGAATCAATTCATAGCTAGCTGTTTATTTTCCCAACTCAACAACCTTCTCAGCGGCCTCGTCAAGGTCCTCGAACAAGTACAACTTCAAGCCGGACTCGCTGATGAGTTCCTTGGCGATGTCAAGGTTGGTACCTTGCAATCTAACAACGACAGGAATGGTCAAAGACAGGTTCTTGGTGGCAGCAATCAGACCCTCGGCAACGTAGTCACATCTAACAATACCTCCGAAGATGTTGACGAAGATGGCCTTGACACCCTTCTCGGAGATGATCAGCTTGAAAGCCTCCTCAATGGTCTCTGGAGTGGCAGTTCCACCAACATCGAGGAAGTTAGCTGGAGATCCACCGTACAACTGAACAACATCCATGGTAGCCATAGCCAATCCAGCACCATTGACCAAGCAGCCGATGTTGCCGTCCAACTTGATGAAGTTCAGGCCAAACTTGCTGGCATGGACCTCGTCTGGGTCCTCTTGGGTCAGATCTCTCCAAGAGAAGACCTCCTCTTGTCTGAAAGCAGCGTTGTCGTCAAATCCGAACTTGGCATCCATGCACATCACCTCGTGGTCGACCGTTTCCGTCAATGGGTTGATCTCAATCTGAGTGGCATCTTTGTCCTTGAAAATCTGGTAGAGTTTTTTGATGGTATCGGCAGCCTTTGGAACTGCCTCTGGAGAGAATTTAAGTCCGGAGGCAATTTGCTTGGCCAGCTCGTCGCTAATGCCTTGGTTGTAGTCCACAGGGTACTTCTTGATGGCGTCAGGGTTCTCCTTGGCAACACCCTCAATATCGACACCACCCTCCGATGAGGCCACCACCAAAGTGGACTGGTTTTTCCTGTCCATGATAATAGACAGGTAAGCCTCACGCTTGGCGTATTTTCTCTCGACAACGTAGACGGCAGTAACCTCCTTCCCGGCAGCACCAGTCTGTTTGGTGATCAGCTTATGGCCAATCATTTTGGAAGCGAGGTCCTTGGCCTCCTCTGGGGTCTCAATGAGTCTGACACCTGACTTCAAGCCATTGTCAAAATGGCCCTTACCTCTGCCTCCCGTCAGAGCCTGGGCCTTGATGACCAGCTCCTTGGTGCCGAGCGACTTGGCGATCTCGTAAGCGCCCTGTGGAGTGGTAGCTGCATCTCCCTTAGGCACGGGCACACCGTATGATCTGAGCAACTGAGCAGATCTGTACTCATGGATGGACAAAAATCTTCTTTGCGACTAACGCGTTAGAAAGGCAATGGCTGACGTGGACACACTTACAGTCTTCGAAATGGACTTTCTCAATGCTCTGGTAAACATTTGGTCTAAGTAGTGAGTAAAAGAAAACAACAGTGTTGGGAATTTGAGAAATGGACAACTCTTTTCCTTTGCACAGCCGAAGAAATGAGAGCAGGCCGAGACGGCGGCTGGATGGGGTGCGAATTTTTTCAAATGAAAAAAAGCATGCTATTTTCGGCTGTGCGCACCGGGGCGAGGGAAAGGAGATGGTTAAGATGTTTCCCAGCGTATTCGTTCCTGTTGCCAACGAGACATACAGTTTTTTAGGTGTCCATGCCGCGACGGCCCCGTTGAATGTGACCCTGTTGGTGACCGATGGCGATCAATTTGAAGCGTACGAGTGCGCCAGCCGGATGGAGCTCGACAGGCTGTTTGCGCTGAACGACGCAGCAATCGGCGGCGAAAACGAAATCGACGCGTTTCTTGCCAAGCTCGCAGATCTACACGACGTTATTTTGCGCAGAGAGCCCGGGTTCGTGACCCTCTGTAAGCCGGATCTCGAATTCCGGTTTCCGTTGACGCGCTTGGCACACGATAAGCTATCGTCGGCTCGAAAACAGTTTCTTGGCCATGTGGCGCGGCTGGGCGCGCTCGAGTCGAGTCTCGTTGCCAGCCTTGCTCACGAGCTCAACAAAAAAAACCAAATCATCCTGAAACTCGCTGCCTCCATCGCACAGGACTATCTGGGCAACACCCTGGAGCAGGACGAGGCTATTTTGCAGAGCGACGAGATCCAGCGTCTCTTTCTACAGACTGGCACGCTACGCAACTCGCTCGGTACATCGTCCAGACAAATAAAGGACGAGACTGTGTCAAACTTCAAGCAGTCCACCATGTCATCGGCACAGGCCCTGAAAAATCTATTTCTAGCGCACGCAGAGCTGGAGCCTGCTAACCCGACCAAACGCCGCAAGCCGAACGTCCAGACGACGGTCCCCGAAACCAGCCCGAAAAAACGACTTCGAGACCACAGTTACAACTTCCCAATCAAACAGAGAAGAACCCGCTAATCTATTGTACTATATATACATCATGCCATCTGTGCCGTCTTGCGCCACGCATCAATGACCATCTTTAATGCCCCCTTCTGCTCGCTACTGCGCTTCTTATACAGCCCCTCCAACACGATGATCCAGAACTCGATAAACTCGGACAGCTGCTCGCCCGACTGAGGCTTGCTGGAATATTCTGCTATGCTATGCTTGTCTTTGAGTAACTTTAGCGGATTGATACCGACGTTGCGGAAGTAGTTCCCAAAGGTGGACACGCTGTAGTGTTTCAGTGTGTAGCAACAGTCTCGCAACGAATGCTGTTTCGAAGGGTCGTAGTCTATCATGTCGAAATCGTCTCCAAATTCCTGTCTTAGTACGTGCTCTATCGCCTCCACGACAAGAGTGTGTACCTGCGAGTAGACATTGTCCGCCGCGACCTGTCTGTCGTCCCTCTCCACTTCGAGCTCCATCACGTCGCCATTGACCCGCGAGAACTCTGCTACCAGACGGTCAATGATCGTTTGCAAGGTCATGTCTTTACGGTAGGACACAGTAAGCACGCCATGGGCCAGAGCCTTGACACACAGGTTTTTGTCGTTGGAAAAAAGCACAACCATGTTCTCTGACCCGAAAAATAGACAGGCGTCCAGGATAGCGTCGTCCTGGACGGCTTCGCGGTCAATTCTCTCGTGTAGTCGCTGAACCCGCAAGATATGGTCGTTGTTGTGCAGAAACCCGTAGATCCAGTCGATGGCCCTGCGCGCTGCCCCAGAGACGTGGGAGTCGGATGATTTGAGCCCGTCAAGCTCCTTAATGACCTGGTTGGGAATAATTAGCTGATGGGGCACTGGCACCCCACGAAAGCCGTCCACTATCGGGAGATGATCGAGCAGGAAATTAGTATCGAAGATTAAAACGAGGCTACTGGGAGTAGGTTGGCCCGGCCTCGCAATCTGGGACCCGACGCTGCTTCGTCGGTCCTCAATGTCCATCATATCGAAATCAGACATAATAAATAAAATAAATAAAATTATAATGAATTAAGTTTAAGCACAGGTTTATTTATTTGGCTTCGAAAAACTCAAAAAGTCGTCGTTCTGAGCAATCTCCCATTGAAGATCAGGCTGGAACTCCATGTAAAGGGTCTCTCTGTCACTGTTCATGTGATAAGTGTACGCTGCTTCCTCGTCACCAATGATCTGCTTCTTTCTGCCCTGGTTCTCTGCGGCATCGGCCAGAAGCTGACACTCGCAGCAGCGCTCCATCAGCGTAAACATGTATGCGGCCTCGTCCACAGTGTAGCCAACAGTGATAAGTCCGTGGTTCTGCAAGATGGCTCCATGGCCGTCGCCAATAGCAGCAGCGATCTCCTGGCCCTCCTTGGCCTCGATGGCAACACCACCGAAGTTTGCGTATACAGCGTGTGACTTATAGAAGTTGCAGGCGTCCTGGCTGATCATCTCGAGCGGCTTGCCGAAGGCAGAGTACGCTTTTCCGTACACGGAATGCATGTGACAGGCAGCGTTGACGTCTGGTCTGGCCTTGTGCAGAGCCGAGTGGATAGCAAAGCCGGCAGCGTTAATGGCCACTCTGTTTCCGCCAATGATGTTTCCGTCCTCGTCGACCTGGACCATGTCCTTGGCCTTGAGAAGACCAAAATGGATACCCAGCGGGTTGATCCAAAAAGTGCTTGGGTCCACAGGGTCTCTGACGGAGATGTGTCCCGCGCTTCCCTCAGTGTAGCCCTTGCGAGCGAAAACTCTGAAGGCCCCAGCCATGTGTTCTAGGAGCCATTCGCGCTTCTTGTATGGGTCGTCGAACTCAGGAATAGGGAAGGGAGGGGGAGCTCCCTTGGAGATGTTGTGCACGCCCCTCTCTGTAAGGGCGTATCCACGAGAAGTGACCGGTTTGATGGACTCCGGGATCTGGTCGGATTGCGTGGTGGTCTGGGTGACTGCAGGACTCATTGGCAAGACGGAAAACGCCTAAGCTTTATATATCCTCAATGAGATTCCACAAACGGCAAAAGACGAAGATAAAAGAAAAAAATACATCTTTGCACAAGCGCGTTTTCCCTAAAACATACTTCCGCTTCAACCAAGACCGGTAACTAATAGCTGGTGAAATAACATGTCAGGAAGCTTCTAAACAATTTATAGACACCGAAAACGTGTATACTGGCAATCTGGCTTATGGAATACTATTGCCCATGCTATCCAATTTGGTTCTCTCCTTAGGTCTGGCCAGACCAAAAGCAGGAGCAGGCTTGTTGTCGGTCTCTCCCAGACCGTCAAACAGCTTTCCGTACTTGCCTCCCTCGGCCCTCTGCCCTTCGAGCTGCTGTTGTAGCGTCAGTCCGGTCTCCTGGACCTTTTGTCCAAACTGTTCCATGGCCCTTCTTGCCTGCTGTGCGTAATCCTGTTCTGCAAGCTGTTTCACGCTGGGTTGGATCACCGTGTCGTTAACCTCCTTGACAGACTTTGCCACCGTCGTGCTGAACAGGCCCCAGCCCTTGGAAAACGTGCCCAACGGGTCTTTCTGCAGGGCGTCGAACGTGAAGCCAGACAGACTGGAACCGCGCTGTGCAGCCGGCGCAGGCGTCGATCCAAAGCCCTGGTATTTGCCGCCCTGGGACGGAGGCAGATCTGTTGGACGCGACTCGTTGGCTTGGCCCAGCTTGGCAAAGTATGCCTCGTTGTGCTCCTTGTTTGGCAATGCAGAGTTCCTGGTATTGGAGGATGGCGCGTCTTTGGAAGGCAGAGTCTCACCGCTGTGGTCAGGCTCAACGAAATCCCTGCCCTCGATGATGCTCGTTAGTCTGCTCTTGTAATCTTCGGCCACATAGTTGTTGTATTTCTGCTGCGCAGGCAGCGAGAGGTCCAGGCCGTGCGACTCAAAATACTGCGCGCACGCAGCGTTGCCACCCTTCTCCATGCGGCTGAGCTCTTCTGGCTTGAACTGGTCCATCGTGATGGACCTCACAAACGAGATGTGCACCCCAAGACCGCGGTGGACGCCTGCGCACTCCAGACAGATGAAGATGCCGAACTTGGGCGACGCCCACTGCGGGTTCGGAGCCTTGCAGTCGAAACACTTCTTGTTGTCGCCCTGTTTCTGCAGGGCCAGCAGCTTGCGCCGGTTGTCGGGATCAACGCTCCAGTCAGACATGATGAAATTAAAAACAAGTTGCGATTGAAATTACGTAAGAAACTGGTGGAAAACGCGGATCGCAAATTCTCTATGCCCTAGTACCTGTGTTCCTTGTTAGTCTATAGTACACACATAAAAGCCAGGAGCCCCAGAGTCCACCAATCGTTCTCCAACGAGCCCGCACCGTTCACAGTGTTAGTCACGGAGGACAGCGTCATGGTGTGCTCCGACTCGGTCTCTTCCGCATTCGAGATCCAGCTGTTGAGGTCGGAGTTGCTGATGGTCTCGTCAAAAGCGGTGGAGTTTGATAGAAACACCGTTGCAGTCCCGTCGCTGCCAAAGACCACACCGCCCATCATGACGGCGCCAGGCGTGCGCTCCAGGTAGCCTTCGTTGGCCAGCCCCGTCTCGATGTCGTCGGTGCCCTGGTAGTCGTGGATCGTCGAGTAGAAGTGCAGGGCCTCGGTGGTGTTGAGGATCTCGAAAATGTCAAACTCGCCGCAGCCCGAGCTCCAGCACGAGCAGTTGGCGTTGGTCGGGTATTGCGCCGTGCGCGGGATGTGCGCGTTCAGAAGCCAGATGGCGGGCATGTTGTAGGACGCGGTGTCCTCGCTGACGCTGTCTTCCTCAGGCGCGCGGAACTGGAACAAGAACATCTTGGTGGTTCCGTAGTAGCCGTGGTAGGCCGGGATGCCGTCTCTATAAACACCGCAGTCCTTGCTGAACCCAGAGTCGCCGCACGACACGTTAGACATGATGATGAGCTCCTCGTTGGAATGCAGCGTCACGTTGCCCAGCACGGTGCTCTCACTAGCGGGCGACACGCCGTCAGAGTCGACGTAGTCGAGTGCTTTTCCGAGGCACGTGACATTCTCACCCACGTTGCCGAGGAACGTCACGTTGTCTGCGGTGAGGTCGTCGGAGTCGTAGTATGCGAGCCGCGACCAAGAGCCGTTGGTCTGGCCGTAGGTGTAGTCGTCGGCGACATAGTATCCGAATTTCTGCAAATTTATTGGGCCTCTGATGTGCACCGAGACCTCGTTGTTGAGCGGCGAGATCGCACCTTCAAAACTGGCCGGCTTGTCTGTGTTGATCTCGCACGTGCACGAGTCGTTCGAGCTCGAGTCGATACTCTTCACGTTGTAGAAATAGCCCTCGAACCCAAAGTTCTGGAACTGCAGCACTCCGTACTCATCCGAGTAGACTCGCGACGAAGACACCGACGTCGACGCGGCCGCCGCGGTCTGCTGCGTCTGCTGGGCGTTGTTATTGTTGTTGTTGTTGTTGTTATTATTGTTGTTGTTAGCGTTGTCGGCCAAAGCCGTGGCCAGCAGTGCTAACCAGAGGAAATTCATTTTATTTGAAACTCTATCGAAAAAAGCCTTTTTATAGTGCGTTGCAAAAATAAAAAGTGCAGATCCCAGGCTTTAACGTGATGTCGCGAACGTTTCCAAGCGTTTGACCCCTTCCGTGCAAACATGTAATATATACTCCTGATAGATGCTTAGCCATGCAGGGCGCTACATGGCTGCTTCGCCACGATTAGGCCAAGGCTTAGCACGCTGTAAGTAATTTATAGAAACTGCGTGGCGGCGCGTCGATCGGCGCAGCCATTTTGCGCAATTATTTCAGTGTCCATCAGAGCTTCTCAGCACATGCGTTTGTTCCGAGCTACGTTCCGGCTCGTGCCCAATCCACGCTCGCAGAAAGACGCCTGGCATCTGTTTGACACGGTCCATGCGCTCACACTGCATCCGCAGCTGCAGCTTGCCCAGTTTACCGTCCCGCGGACCGCGTACCAGGGCACACACCGCTGGATGAACAAATTGGAGCTGCTCTACAAGACTGTAGACCAGAGGGATGTGGACGGCCTCGAAGAGCTGGATAGCGGGCTGCGTGCGCTGCGCAGCGACCAATTCGATATGCAGCTCGAGCGGATCGAAGAGGTGCCAGAACCTGGCCGGGGGCAGCCGAATCTGGAGGAGTGAGGCATGCAAAGAGCCTTGTATTACCAGGCACCACGTCTTGCTTCTAAAACCGCCTTTATCTTTCTCCTTCGCCCGTTTATACTGGGGCCCCCGTGTTTCTCCTATCAAGGCTGTGCACGTAAATATTCATGTAAAATGAAAACATTGTAAATACATGGAAGACGTCCAGATCTCGAAGCTTGCGGACCGGCTTCTGCGGGAAATCGATTTGCGGCTTGACAGCACGCTTTGTGGGGGCCAGATGGCTGACCCACGTGACATGAAGGCGCTGCTGGGTCTGATTGAACAGTTCCAGCCAAACCCGCAGCTTCTGGACTCGCAGTTGCGTTCGTTTGTGGGCCGTTTGGTGAATCGGTACCGTCAAGTGCTGGAAGATGAGCTGACATGTGGGGAGCACATTGGTGTGATATTTTACCATCTGGCCAAAATCAGAGGCATCAAGGTGGTCTCCAACTGTCTGACAAGCGATCTGTATCTGTTGACGGCAGTTCTTGACAGGGTGGAGAAATTAGACGATTCTGATAGTGCACAGTGGCAGGAGACATTTTTCCTGCTGGCGTGGCTGTCGATCCTGGTTCTGGTGCCTTTTCCGCTCGAGAAAATCAGACCTGGTCTTGCCAAAGCCATTTTTGATCTCTCTCGAAAATATCTCCAGTCTAGCGGTAAGGTGAGCGACGCGTCTGCGCTGCTGTTGGCGCGGCTACTTTCACGTGCTGACTGCGCACCGTTATTGCAGAGTTTCGTCGCCGAGAACTTCAACTCGCTCGCGTGGGAGCAAAAGAGCGTATTTGAACAGCTCGGCCTCCTAACAACGACAAACCACCTATTCAGGCTGTGCGCCCCACAGACGCTTGATAGCTTTGGACAGCGTCTGCTGGTGCTGATTGCGAACCAACTGGACACTCCGAACGCCTCGAGTTTGCGGTTTTTTGTGAAAAACCTCGGCAAGCTGGGCGTCCATTTCGTGCGGACGGGCAACTACGACGCCGTCGAGGAAATCTTCAACTACCTATTTGATTTTGTCGGGGACGCCAGCACGGTTATCCGGTACTCTGTGGCGAAGCAGCTGGCCAAAATCACAAGCCTGCTCCCGCAACAGCTGCGTAACGACGTGGTGGGTGCGCTGGTTGCACAGCTCGAGCTTCCCGCCGACGGCCGCGTCGATGCCGAGTCGATCGACGTCGAGCTCTTCCACGGCGTGTTGCTGGCCATCGGCGAGCAGGCGCGCACCAGACAGCTGGACACGGCGTTCTTGCCCGAGCTGGCCACTCTGCTGCACCAGACGCTTTTCCTGGAGCAGTACCGCGTGACCCATGCGGTCGGATCGAATGTGCGCGACGCGACGTGTTTCATCATCTGGTCGCTAGCCAAGGGGTACAAAACTGATCAGATGGGCCTTGAGCTGTGGCGGGCATTTTTCCGCGACCTGGTGCTCTGCTGCTGTTTTGACAAGGAGCTAATTGTGCGGCGCGCGAGCGCGGCGTGTGTGCAGGAGATAGTCGGCCGCCACGGCGAGATTTTCGATCGCAATGACAAGCACAGCCTCAAGGTGAAACTGATCGAGACGCTGGACTACACGGTGCTCGGGCAGCTCGACAGGGCATTTGCGTTGAGTTTGGACATTTGCAAGCTGGGACTTTTGCAGAAAGAGATCCAGACGGCGCTGGAGAATGCCGTTTTGCACAGAGATTATGAGATTCGCACGCGGGCAGCACGCACGTTAAGAAAACTCGGCGATAAACAGCTGATCCAAAGATATTTCCAGGAGAAGTTCCAGCCAGGACGGTTTTATGTACTTGCGGAGTTGCTTCAGGATGCAACAGAAGTGGAAACTGACAAGTACCACAGGCTTTTCAAGGACTTCACCTTCGACTTCCATCGAGACCCGTTCCACAAAGGCGAGGAGTATTTGTATCTACTAACGGTGCTGTGTCGCGAGGGATTTATTGCCAACGACCACGAGCTGGAAACCGTTTTCAACGTCATCAGAAATAGCAGCGAGCAGGTTTCGCAGCGGTTCTGCGAGCTCGCGGCCGTGCTCGTGCTACCAGAAAAATATATTACGAAATGGCTGCTCTATATCAAAACCGGCAGTTTGGTGGCTGCGCGCGCTGTTGGACATGCAAACTGGCTGGAAACAAGAGTTAACGACGTGCTGGGACTCGTGACGGGGCATGCTGATGCCGAGCTGCGCAGTTGTCTCATTCTGTCGCTCGCAGAGTATCTGCACCGCCACGACGTGGCTGACCACCAAAAACAGACTCTTATTGCATGCCTCGATGACTACACGGTCACTAACCGCGGCGACGTCGGAAGTCTCGTAAGGTCGGCAACAATGGATCTGATTGAGGCCAACAGAGACAAACTCGGCAATCACGCGCTCATCAACAGCAAGCTTCTGCGAATAGCAGGCGAAACCATGGAGCGGCTGCGTGTCGCGGCGCTGAAGCTTGTGGCAGACCTCAACGAGTGGCAGTTCGTCCCGCCAGAGTCCGACGTGGACCATTTCCAGGCACTCATGAGGATCTACTGTGCGCATGTCGTGCAGGACAGAGAGCTTTCTCGCGAGTTTTGGAAAGGCTACTGTTTTTCTGCCGGATCCCAGCAGTCCCTGGCACAAGCCACTAACGCGGCGCTACTGGCGTTTTTCCAAGCCTGGGAGCAGCTAGAGGACAGGAAAACTGTGCTAAGCGACATTCTGTCTATTTTGAAGCCGCTAGACACCGCACAGAGCCGCATAGAGCGTGCTACCAAAACACAGGACGCCTGCTTACGCTTCCTGTGCAATGCGCTGGAGTTGAACCTGCCGCTGCCAGCAGAGATTGCTGCACGGAGCATCTTTGTGCGTGTGTACAACCTCACGCTGGGTAAAACGCACCCAGGACGGCTCGCGGTGGCTATTCGCGTCTTTGTCCAGCTGGCACTTGCAGACCCGGCAGACACGAAGGGAGACTGTGTGGCACGGCTGACGTGGCTGAGCAAGAAGCATCCCACCGCAAGCGTTCGGCTGGCTGCCCTGGAAGCTCTGCAGGAGATTGAGTGCGACTCACTTTAGCACATCTTTCAAATTCACGTTTGCACTGCCGCGTGGTGCGGGCTGCGGGAAGTTCTCTCCGGGTTTCCAGCCGATCATAAACACAAACCGGAAAGTCGCCGGCAGGTTGCCCGTGCGTGGGTCGCCGTGCATGGCGTGGTAGATCGGCTGCAGCGCGATCAGCAGGTCCTTGCGCAGAGCAGGCGGCGTGCTCAGGATCGAGTTCGACTCGCCCATCAGCTGCAGGTCCTTCATGAGCGCCAGCACGTCCGGATACTCCACGACGATCTCCTCGACGTCGATCGTCAGCATCTGGAAGCCGGCTTTTTGCATCAGGGTGCCGACGTCGGAGGACTCGACGAACGGCGACACACGTGGAGAAAGACCGCCGCAGCGCTCCATCTCGGCCAATTGCAGCGCCGTGCGCAGCTCGAACAGCGTGTCGCCGGCAAACATGGACCCGACAAAGCACCCATTCGGCTGCAGCGAGTTGTACAGCTTCTTAAAGACCGTCGGCAGGTCGTTAATCCAGTGCAGCGACAAGTTCGACACAATCACGTTGAACATGTCTTTTTTCATCAGTAGCGGGTGCGAATACGCCTCCTCGTCTGTGTTGATGCGCTCAATGTTCAGCATGGAGTTGAACGGGGCACTTTTATATTTATCTAGCATATTCTGCGACGAGTCCACCATGTAAATTTTCTCGATCTTAGATCGCACAAGGTTTTTGTCGTCGCGCCATCGCTTGTCGTCGTCGGGGCGGACGTCGCACAGCTGGCGTTCGAAATTGCCCGCGTTGCAGCCAAAGTCCATGACTGTCGAAAACGGCGTTTTCAGGAACGCCAGCCGCTCAATTGTGCGTCTTGCAACCTCGTCCCTGATATATTCCACCATCTGGCTTTCCTCGTCGCGGGCGGCCCGTTCGCGCTGTTTGAGCTTCATATCGCGATTAAACACATGGATGTACGTCCAGCGTTTCAGAACCCCGTTTGGGCGCCTTTTGAGCGGCCATTTCGATGCAAACATGACAGCTTGCAAATAGCACAAAAATGTGGAGAAATAAATACCGTAAAATATTTGAATAAAAATTATGTCGCTGCCCAGGGCCACCAAGAGCCAGAAGACAGCGCTGTTCAAAAAACTCGCCGAGCTGGGGCCCAAGGAATCGCTGCACAAAAGACTCCCGCAAGTGTACGGAGTGATGCAGGAGGCCCAGTACGTGGCAGCAGGGTTTCTGGATTTTACACTAAAGGTGTTCCTGCGCAAAAATAATCCATACTACAACCATTTATTCTTCACATATGTCGAACAGAAGGCGCCCGACCTTGCGCGCGGATACAAGATCCGCGGGTTTCTGCTGAACGGCAGCTACGAGATGGCCGTGCTGGAATTCCGCCGCGCCAATCTCTTGGCGGACCCCCGGTATATGGAAAGACTGTATGCGATCACGCTGCTGATCGAGGCAAGCAACAGAAACGACACCGAGACAATCCTATTTATTTTGCGGAACCTGCCATCGAAGATGCTGACGCCTCTCAATTACGCCAGTCTGGCGGCCATTGCCCTCAAAAATAACAACTACGACGTCGTCGCGGCCGTGTATGCTGACATAGCAGATACAGAGTTTACAGGCGAATTTTTGCTTGGGCTGTGCCGGCTTTTCGTGGAAAACAACGACCTCGAGCGAGCGTTCGACGTGGTTCTGAAGGTACATGACCAGGAGGCACAGGTTCCCGTGGCAACCACGGCGGCATCCCTATTGGGACCCACATACAGCTGGAAATTCCTCGACGAGCTGGAAATCCCGATATCGTACGACGAGCTGGCGCCCAGAATGTTCCAAGACAGTCTTTTTGCGAGAAACAATTACCAGGAGATAGAAGAGCACTTTAACGAGATTGCCGGGCTCAAGCCACGGACTATCCAGCTGGCCCTGTACGCTGCGCTGCGCTCGATCTATTTCTGCGGCCATTTTGGTAGCATGATTTTTGTGCTTCGCTATTTGGCACGACATAAATTGCAGCATCTACTCGAAGACCGCCATTTCCATGTCTTATTTGAGGGAGCAGCCAAACATGCTGCTAAACTGTGCAGTCTCAACATTTTGGAGCTGGCCACACGGCTAGATATCCCACTGTCCGATAAAGACGTGTTGGCTCTTCTGCAGTGTCACGCGAGCGGCACAGAGCACGAGACCCTGTATATTGCAATTGCAGAGATCAGAAAGCGCCGGGCGCTGCCAGACAAGTGCGTCGAGTACCTGAGTCACGTGTCCGAGAGCACGAACGATCTCAAACTGAAGCTGGTTGCAGAAAGGCCAGACATGCAGATGATCGCGCCGCTCGAGCACATACAAAGCACGCTGGACAGTCGCCAGCACCGCACAGCTCTGGTCCACGTACGGCTGCCAGACCACCCGGAATACTTTTACGCGACGGACTACGGAAACTCACAATGGGAGATATTATAGTCTGTTAGTAGGTTTTAGATAGCAAGGTCACCACACACAGTGCGACAAGAGCCAGAGACGCGTTGCATGCAAATTGCTCTCTCCACAAACTCTTGGCCAAATCGGCGTCCTTGCGGATCTTCGTCTGGGCCAGCTCAGAGTACACGGTCTTGCGTGGCTCGAGACCCTTTGGCAGATGGCTTGGGTTAGGGTTGAGCTCCTCGATAAACTGTTCGAGCTCGCCGCATTTCATTCCGATCTCGAGATACAGCGGATCAGAAACCGGACACTTGTGATGAATCACCCTGAGGTATCTGGAAAACACGTTGAGCACGCCTTGGTACGTTCTGCATTCGAGGATCAGGCTGCACGTTTCTCCTTTTCTGATCTTGACGTTTCTCTGGAACACGTACGGGTTCTGGAACACTAGGGCCAGCGTAGCAATGGCCATCACCTGCGGAATCGCACAGAAACAGTATGTGGAGTGGTCGTAGACCATCGAAAGGTACACCAGGACGTCTTTGACGTGGTCCAGAACGTTGAGCACGAGCTCAGAGCTACAGTTCAGAGCCTCCTGGAGATGCTCTGGCTTCGCAAAGTTGGCGAGCTTGTCTGTGTGCTTGGCCCAGATCTCCTTCGGCCAGAAAGACCGGCCGTCCTCCAGGTCCTCGCGGAAGTCTCTGATGATATTCGTTTTTTGCAGGAAAAGACCCATGGAGTCGCTAAGGTACATTTTGTTGGCCAGATCAGGGTGTCCAAAGTCTGCTGCCGCAATCATCCGCGTGAGCCCTTCTCCCACCAGCCCTGCCACGTAGTGGCAGTACAGGTCATAGTCCTTCACGGTGGCCACGCCGTTAAAATTAAACTCCTCGTTCACCACGTAATCAGCCATGCCGTTACCCATCTTACGCGTAACGTCCTTGATGATGTCTTGGTACTTTGGCTGGAGCTTATGATACTCGGTCAGAATACTGTCAAAGTTGACCAGAACGATACGGTCTTTTTCATTCGGCCCGCTCCCGTGGAATGTCCACTCCTTGAGATTCAGCTTCGAGTCGAAAGTTCTCAACATCGGAATTTTCAGCTCAGTGTCGAGCGTCATGTCGTCTTCGATCGTATCGAGCGCCCGCAAAACCAGGTAGAAAAGCATAACGACATTGCGTAGCTCGGGATTCAACTCCATGATCACGGCGACAAAAGAACGCGAACAATGAGCCAGCATCTTGTAACACAGGGCCTCGGACGGAGTCTGCGACTTGGGATCCAGTGGGTTTTCGACATGTCTGAAAAATTTGCTGTGTGGGTTAGTGGATAGAGAGCAGGAAGCAGCTTACAATTGTATAACGGCCTTCAACTCGGCCGGATGGAGCACGAGATCTAAAAGTTTACCCATAATAAAGAATAATAATAAGATAAAAAAAAATGCGGCAAAAAATTATACGAGGGACCAGTTTTTGCCATGAGCTCTGATTTCGACGAGAAGGATTTGCACCAGGGCATTATTTTTGCGCTCCACCTGACTCCCACGCTACGTGGCCATGTGGCTAGGATCATGTCTTGTGTGGGCGGTTTGATTAGGGACCTTGCCAAGACACAGCCCAACACGGGGCTCGGGTGCTTCATCTTCAACTGCAGCAGAAAGGACGCGTCGGTCGACGGCATACTGCCCGTTTTCGAACTGCAAGATATAAGTATCGACCAATTGCAGACGGTAGAGCAGTTTGATGGAGACTCTGTGGAGATGCTCGAGGAAAATCCGGAAATCAATTATGGGGAGCAGCTTGCCCGCATGCTGCAGGTCGCACGCGACAACTTTGTGGCCCCCCCACGCTTCACCAAACCGTACACTGTCCGTCGCATCTTTCTGTTCTCGGACTGTGATCGGCCCTTTAACGGCAACACCTCGCGCAAAATCACCCTCTGGAACATCCTCAACGACCTCAGTCTGGAAAAAATCAATATCACCCCGTTTCTGCTTGCCAACAAGCCCGACTTCGATCTTTCTGAGTATCAGACTATATTTGAGACTCTTGATCAGTTCCGGCCCGCTGTCGAGAAGCTGGATATCGATCAGGTGGAAGACAAAATTCTGCGGACCAAGGAACTCAGACGCACTTCCTTCAGATGCACCATGGCGCTAAGAGACATCAAGATATCTGTCCAAGGATGCCCACTGTTCAAAGAGCCTCGGTTGCAGAGCCCCTACCGTTTTTTCGACGACAACGGCACGTACCGGTACGTGGAGTCGCAGTCAGTGAAGCTGGACACCGCTACGGGCGCCAAGGTCGATGACGACCACGTTGTATCCACTATTGGCTTTAACGACCAGCATGCTATGCTAAACAGAGACCTTATAGCAAAGCCGTTCGACAACGAGAACAAACCTGTGCTGCAGATTGTCGGGTTCCGCAAAATCGAGTACTATGTGCACCACTATGCGATCGGAACGCCCGCGCTGGTCACTCCAAGCGACTTAGAACAGTATACGCACTCACGTCGTTCTTTCTCGGCGCTGTATCAGACACTCGCAGCAAAACGCAAAATGGCTCTTGCGTGGGGGTCCACGCGCAAAAACCAGGCCCCCGCATCGTACTACCTGGTCCCCACCGCTGCTTCTCTGGGGTATACCACCGGCATAGAACCGTACCCTGAGGGCCTTGCGCTTATCCCACTCCCCTTCAAAGACGACATCCGATGCCTACCCGGATATTTGCTGCAGATGGAGCCGAGTGCACCAATTTTCCCTAATCAGATTGAAGACCTGGTTACAGAAATAATAGACATATGTAAGCCGCTACCTAACCCGCAGGTCGAGTGGTATTTCAAGGTGTTGGAAGACCATCTTTTGCAGCGTGAGGTTGATTACGATCCGCAGGTACCACTGGAAATACAGAAACAGCAGATGATCAATAGCCAGGACCAGCTAAAGAAAAAATGCATGGAGCTACGCAACCGGTTGAAAGACTCCAAGAAATTGAGCTTACTAGTGGCGGCGGTGCGCGCAGAGCTGAACAGAGTGGACAATTTCCAGCAGCTGAACATACAGCCCACACGTGAGGACAAAAAGGCCATGCTATTGACCGACGATATCGTGCTCAAAGCCTACAAGCTTGGACAGATGAACGACTTTACCGCGGACCAGCTGAAGGTGTACGTGAACTCGAAGGCAAACCTGATTCCGAAGGCCAAGACCAAGAAGGAGATGCTGGAGAATATCACGGACTACTTGGATCGGACGGTGGGCTGAGAATTGTGTAGACGGACCAGACAGCTTTGTAGGCTGGTGTGGCGTGGAAACCTACCTCCGCCGGAGACCTCTCCTAAAACCCCAAAAATTGACGGTGAAAAAAATTCTGGCTTGTGTTTTTGTACACGATGGAGTGGACGCGCGAGCAGACATTGTATCTGCTAAATCTAATATGCTACCACAAACCGCTTGGCGAAGAGCGGGAGGCGAGCTATGCAACCATAATCAAGCTTCTGGGCGAGAAGTTTCCCCAATTCAGTGTCACCAAGAGCGATGTGACGCGGCAGCTAAACAAGTACTATAATCTGAAGGGACTAGAGAAATTGGACGAGGACGAGAGCGACGAGGTGGTAGGCGACGAAGAAAAGCGCGAGGATTCGTTGGCGTCGCGGACAAGACGGAAGTCAAAGGACGAGTCGAGGGCGAAGGAGGCGCAGGTAAAGAGCGAGGAGCCTGAGAGCGGCAAGGAGACGCCCGAGACGCCGGCTACTCGTCGGCGCACGCGACGTAACAAGGCAGAGACAGCAGCAGAGCCGGAGGAGGAGACAGAGGCGAAGGAGGGCGTGAGAACGCGGCGTCGTGTGGCGGTGGAGCCAGCGGAGGCGAGCGACGACGAACGGGACAAGCCGGAGGAGGCCGAGCCCGAAAAGACGCCAAAAAGACGGGTTTCGCGCAAGCCACGGACGGACGAGGAGAGCGAGAGCGAGGAGAAAGAGAAGGCGTCGCGAAGCGGGCGTAAGAAACGGGTGAAGCTAAAGGAGGAGGCGGCCGAGACAGAGGAGACAATGGCTGCCCAGAGCAGCAGCGACGAGGAGGAGAAAAAGGGCATGCAGACGCGTCGCAAGAGCATGCGAGAGGAGAAGAAGCCGCGCACACGCACGACGAGACGGAACCTGAAGAAGGAGATTGAGCAGGAGGCAGATAACGATGCAGAGGAGGAGGAAAAGGCGGACGAAAACGAGGGGCCCGATGTGCAGGACGACATGGACGACGAGGAGAGTGCCGAGGACGAGGAACTGGACGAGGAGGAGGAGGACAAAGACGAGGCCGGCGGCGAGAAGGTGCCTGCAAAACGAGCTCTGCACGCGACGCCGGCGCCGCGCAAGCAGCGCAAGACGCCGATCTCAAAGAGCGTACCGCGCAGCTTCAAACCCAAGGACACGCCCGTGAAGGCCACGCCTGGCGGGCGTGGCAGAGCCCGTGGCGGGGCGTCGTCGGTGCCGTCGACGCCGTCGGTGAGACGATCGGCGCGGAAAAAATAATCCACGAAAATTTGTACATTATCATAAATTCATATCGTTTGCCACTAGACATGTCAGAATTGAAAATTCAAACCATTGCTCCAGGAGACGGCAAGACATACCCTCAACCAGGTGATCTGGTGACGGTCCACTATACGGGCACTCTGGAGAACGGCAAAAAGTTCGACTCTTCGAGAGATAGAAACAAGCCTTTCCAGTTCAGAATCGGCCAGGGTATGGTGATTGCTGGCTGGGAACAAGGGTTCTCCAAGCTGTCGCTGGGTGAGAAGGCCATTTTGACGATCCCGGGCCCATTGGCCTACGGCTCCAGAGGCTTTCCAGGCCTGATTCCTCCTAATGCCACTCTCATCTTTGATGTTGAGCTGCTCAAGATCAACTAGGTACTTAATGCATTTGCGAGTCTATTTCCCGTATATTACTTGCGCACATACAGACCGTCGGTGCGCGCCTGCAGCCGCTCACTTGTTGGCTGCGCGTTCAGGTAGATCTTGTAGTTCAGATCGTAGATGCGGAACTCAGGTAACTTGGTCCACTCCTCGCCGGCCAGCTGCTCGTACTGCAGTCGCATGACCTGTTTCATGAACGGCAGCACCGAGAAGTTGTGCTGGTTTCTGTAATTTCGGATTTTGAAGTTCTCGCTCGTCGACAGCGTCGTGCTGAACTGGAAAATGCGCGACGTCGGGTTTTCGATGACGTACGTCACATGGAGCGCGTCCTCGGCGTCGTCGACGCTTACCAGCGCGCGTGGGTCCATGTGTGGCAGCGTGCCTTTCCAAAGGAGCACTTTGTACTGGTTTGTCAAACTTTGCGGCCGTCCAAGCAAGACGTAATCAAAAGACAGATACAGCTCGAGCGCCATCGACCGTTTGAACACACCGTCTGCGCACCGGCACCGGAACTCGAACCAGCCGTCGCCAATGCTTTTTGCACTCAGCTGCGAGACAGGGATGTCTGTGAACGTCGTCTCCATGACAGTTTCCGGCGTCGTTTTGTTGATCTCCACGCAAACGTTGGAAATGGCCACGTCCTCGGCAGAAACGTTCTCGATTCCCAGCTTCGAGCGCCAGCAGCGGTCATGTGACGGCACAGCAACGACATCTGCCGCGCTCACGTCGAACAGCGACGGAATGTGCGACGCCAGAGACGGATAGATCTTGAAACTCGTCTTAAACAAGTCGACGACCGGGATCTGCAGAGGCTTGGTTTTGCGGACTACGGTGTTGTCGTTATTGTCGATGAGATAGTCGATTTGAAGGTCGATTTTCACCGTGTCACCATCTGTTTCTGCCAGCGGAAGATACGCAAACAATTCGACGTCTGTGGATTCCTGTGGCCTCAGAGGCTCAGGAACACGGTAATTAGTGCTGTGCGCTGCTTCGTCGCCCCACGTAACCCTTAGAGACGTTGCGGCGAGTTTCCCGGTGGCATGAAGTCGCAGACCAAAAGTATTTTCGTCGAGATTGCCGACGTGGACTGTGATTGGCACTTTTTCTCCCTTGTAAGCGATGCTGGCGTGGCTGACGCGGAAATCAACCTCGGGTGGCTTTGGAATCACCTCGAACCCGTTCTGCATTCCATTGACAATATCGTACTCGAATGGCTTGTTGAGTCCAGAGGAGGACGCCCTGTACCATTTCAGTCGGTCTCGCGATTCGCACACTGACACCAGCTGGTTCTCAAACGAAAGGGCGCCAGAACGCAACACTAAGCGCACGCCGTCTACCGTGAACTTGCCGATTTTTTCCGGGTGAAGCTCGAATTGCAGCACTTTGGCCTGTCTGTCAGAGAAGTCAAGGTTTGCACGGCCGTCCTGGACAATATTGAACGGCGTGCTCGGCAAAGCGTCGTTCTCGACGACAATCTGGAACTCGTCTCCAGCAAATGCAATATCCACGCGCTCTACGATGAGCTCCGACACCAAACTGTTCACCAGCGGGCGCAGATACAGCTGGAAATGCACTTTTTCGTGGAGCGAGACCGACCGGTGTTTGAAAACCACGTGACTCTCAAACAGCGGCTCCTTCAGCACAAGAGGCTCGTCGATCGGCACTTCCTGCGCAAGCTCGTCTCTGAACTGGGCCACAAACCGGTCTTCGAGCGTGCAAAGCTGCAGCCGGTGAACCTGTGCGTCCCTATTATTTCCCAGCTTCACACAGCATTGGAACAGCCTGAACAAAATAGCAGCCACGATCTGGTTCCATTTTTCATTCTTGAACACAGAAAGAGCCACCAGAAAGTTATTTGCGGCCATCGAATAGTTGTCCATACCAAAATATTCCTCTCCCAGCTGGAAGTAAACGTACGACTCGCTCCTGTTAAACTTTGTCTTTTTCGCTTTCGTGAACAGCTCCAGAGCGTGCGACAGCAGGCGGACGCGTGTCCCATGGTAATCAAACTGCTTTTCCTCGTCTGGACTCAAAGCCATGTATGTGTCGTAGATGTCGACGCCGCTGGCTGCCTGGATCTCGCGTCGGTGGACCAAAGAGCACGCCTGCAAGTATATGTATCCACCGTGTGGCATGGGAAGTCCGTCGGCAGCATTGCCAAACCATTTGGGCGACGAGTGCTGCTGGAACGGCCGCTCGATAGGGACGATCGACTCGGGACACTTTTCGACCAGTTGCGCGAGCCAGGTCAACTGCAGAGCGATCCAGGAAATCACGGGATACGATTTCAAAGAGCGTGGCGGAAGCACAGATAGAATGTTCTGCAGATGGATGTCAAACTTCTTGTACGCCATATTGGCATTTTCCAGCACGAGATACCCGCGTGTTATGTGTATTCCGGCAAAATCCAGCAACAAGCGACATTCCTGCCATCTTTCTGGCTGTGTATCAAGACTTATGCTGCGTATCACGTCGATGAGCTTCTCGTAGGAGTATTCCATCAATTTCGTGCTCTGTTCGGTGACGCCTTTCAGCTCGCCTAGAACAGCACTTTTCAGCGCCTGTCTCGCCAGCCAGAATTTTTCGTCGTATGAGGCGTCCATGAGCTGCTGCCTCTTCACCTTTTTTTCCTGCGAAGCGTAATATTCTATGCACCACGGCCGGATCAGTGCCATTAGCACGCCAGCAAATGACTCCAGCTCCTTCTGGCTGCCTGCCGGGAGCACAAGAATGCCCGTCTTCGAGGGCAGACTCGTTGTTTTGCGCAGAGTGGCTACTCTTTCCTCCAGCTCCGGGGTGCTGGGAGACGAACAGAGCAGCAGACAGACAAACTTGATCCCGTGCTTGGCCAGCTTCTCACGGGTATCGTTGAGCTCCAGCGCTAGTGTTTTGTCGTTTTCGTCCGACTCCGCGTCCACTTCGTGCACGGCAATAAATACAGACGGCAGCAGTTCTCTGTATTTCTGGATCCATTCCAGGGGCAGAATTGATCCATAGCAAGGAGAGTCGGGGTTGAATGGTGAGATGGGCGAGGTACTGTCAGCCTCGTCGGACCCGGCACTGTGGTCGTCCTCGGTTCGTTCGACGTGGTTGGGCAGCTGGAACGTTGATCCAGCGAATTTAAACTTGAAAGAGAGATGCTTTTTGTCGTCGTTTTTGTACCAATACTCCGAGTCCAGAGAGTGTTCTTTCAGCACATGCGCCAGTTCCAGCCCGGACGCAACCTGCACCGTCGGCAATCTGCGCTCAATGGTGTCTGGGTTTGACAATAGTCTGCTCAACGGATTATCTGGAGAGTCCGGATCGTGCAACCGTATCTGCTGGTCTTTGGGGAACTCCGGGCTGCTGGTGTGTTTAAACAACAATTTATCCTCCCCCAAACCCTGCACCACCACCAGTGGCGCCAGAATTGACGTAATTTCTGGAGGATACCGAAACATCAATAATAATAACCAGGTAATAAATTTTATTGTTACAATTATTCGCTTGCTGCCCCAGACTTTTAGCAAGAGTTTGCTTGCTCTTCAAGCTTCTTTACCAATTCTTATTTATCTCTTCTCTTCAAGATGGCTACAAACGTGACTCAGGTACGTAATTGAGTTTCTAGAAGCACTAATATCAGCAATTTACCAACTTCCAAGGCAGACTATCAGAAGGGGTCTCCTACAACCCTGATAACAACTCCCTAAGCTGGGTGGATATCATCGAGGGCAAGATCCTCAGAGCCTTCCTGGATAACCCAGACAAGGTGGAGGAGTACAAGGTGAGCACCAGCGTGGGTGTCATTGCGTTTACTGAAGACCCAGACATCTACGTCTGTGGTGTAGAAGACGGCATAGGCCAGTATAACTTGAAGACCAAGCAATTCAAGTACATGGCCAAGTACCCAGAAAAGGAGCACTTCAAAAAGGCGGTGCCATTGCGTTCGAATGAGGGTGCCATTGACTCGGAGGGCAACTTCTGGATCGGCACGTTCTGCGATTTTGTCGCAGAAAAGCCAAACCAAGCTACCTTCTACAAATTTTCGAAGGACGACTGGGAACATCCCAAAATCATCAAGGACAACGTCACGTGTCCGAACGGACTGAACTGGCATGACGACATCATGTATTGGACAGACACCGAAAAGGGCATCTACAAGTACAAATTTGACAAAAGCACCGGCCTGCCTGATCTGAGCACGGAAACTCTGTTTCTTCCTGTTTCCAAAATCAGATCGCTGATCGGCATCATGGGCGAGCTGGGTCCCGACGGCTCGTGCATCGACGCCTCAGGAAATCTGTATGTTGCATTGTGGGGAGGTGCCAGCGTCATCAAGGTCAACCCCGAGGGAGACATTGTGCACAGATGGACTTTCCCTGCGCAGAGAGTCAGCTGTGTCACGTTGGGCGGCCCGCAGCTCAACGAAATGTTTGTCACCACCGCAGACCTCAATCTTGACAATCCTGACAAGCTGAGATCTGTTCCTCTGGACGAGGGTGGTAAGCTATTCCACATCAAGCTGACCGGGGTCAAGGGTGTTCCGAAGAACAAATTCAAAGGCAAGTTGATTGTTTAACTATAACACAGGGTTATCACTCTCATTACCTAGCAAATTCAACACCAGGTTGCAGAACTCGTCGAACGCCGCGTTCTGTTCGAGCCCTTTATTGCGTAGATTGCTGATTTTGCGTGTAGCTATTTCTGTCCGTCCCTCTGCGTTGTACTCCTGTGTTATCGACACGTCGTTGAGAATCTCGTTTATTATTCGTATGTTGAGCTGTATCACGGGCTCTTTCAAGTACTGCACAAATTCTGGCGAGCCCAACAGCTTCTGGAGCTCCGGATCATCCACCCTGGGCAGAGATTTTAGGGGCTTCGGCTGGGGCGCTTGTGTTATCTCTGGGTCCTGGTGTTTTTCCGATTTGTAACATTCAAGGGAGCAGCTGTGTGTTAGAAAACGATCTTTTCACTTACTATTTGAGTCCACAGCGGGGGCATTTATATTTGAACGGGGCCTCGTTGCAGACTTGACAAGACATTATAGAAATAATTTTTAGAATTTTTTTTTAATTTATGGGGTTATTGAACGGCTATGAATCAGACGACGACGAGAGCGACCGGAACGAGGGAATAGTAAACGGAGCAAAAAAAGTGAATTCTGGACGAGTCCAGAAGCCGCTGGCGCACAAATCGTCGCTCGCCAAGCTGGATCTTGGCAAGGTGTTGGGTATCAAGCAGGTCGCAAAGCTTGAGGCGGCGGAAAATCGCATCGATGTGGACCAATTGCGAGTTGCCGAGAAAGTACGGGAAAGTATTGAGGATGAAGGTGCACAGGAGACAGAAACGAGGCCTGCTGACGAATCAGACTCGTCCAAGATGGTGGAGTTTGACATGGCCAAGTTCTATGCCGAGAATCATAAACTTATCAGTTCCGGTAAGCTCGACCACAGGAAGATCGTTCTACAGAACTCGCGTGCCACATATTACGGTGTCGGGAACAACAACCTGTCAAATGTGATTAGTTTTACGGAGAAAAACAGCGACAAGATTCAGCGCCAAATTGAGTCTGACAGGCGGAAACTGGCCGCAAAGGGCAGGCGTGGGGACAGATAGAGCGTATTTGACGATTAAATAATATTTCTATGTACAGTTAAACGTTTCGCAATCAGCCTATTTGTTGTGGGTGGCCTCATACTCCTTTTTCAGCTCTGCAAGCTGCTCGTCGCTGATTGGTGGAATAGGAATATCTTCAAAGTCGTCCTTCATCAGGAACGAGTATGTGTACAAGTAGACTCCGCCAGAGATGCCAGCAAGCACGCTGAATAGAGCCAGGTTTTTCCAGAAGTAGGGCTGTCTGGCGCGCAGCATGGCAGGCGACATCTGGTACGTGTACTTGTTGTAGTATGATGAGCCGCGACTGGATGTTAGCAATGGATATGGATCAGAAATACGTACTTGAATCTAGCCAAAGAAGAACGCATGTTTAATTTAAAGAAAATGTTTGAATATGCACTACAAAAAAAATAAAGAAAAAAATTAGAAAAATTCTATTACCATGTCTGTTGAGATACCTCCGCCCGACGAGGAAGAGCGGTACTTGGAGAAGCTTGTGTTTGGCGACAGCGAAGGGTTTGGTGAAAATCTGAAGCAAGTCGACAAACTGTTCGACTTTGAGCAACAGGAGGAGAAGGAGCTATTCACCTATGACGATACCAGTGAGGATGAGCATCTGGACCAACTGAAGAACAGGGACCTCGTTTCTGAATCTGAGGCCGAATCCGACGCCGAGAGCGACAACCTGGAGACCATGGCAGACGAGGACCTCTACTTTGTCGACGAGAGTGACGAGGACAGAATGGACACAGACTCAGACAACGAGCCAGCTTCCGATTCATTGAGCGAATACAGCGACGACGAGGAGGCCGCATGGCAGGATAGCGACGACGAAAAGGTTAGTGCGTCTCTTCTGGGTGCCGACAAGTTGCGCAAACTACGCAAGACTGCTCAAGACGACAAAATCAGAGGTAAGCAGTATATCCACCGGCTGCGGGAGCAGTTCGAGAGAATCCATCCCCGTCCTGTGTGGGCCGACGAAATTGAAGGAGACTCTGAGGAAGAGCACGAGCTGGATGCAGAGGCCGGCCACGCGTCCACAGACGTTCTGGTGTCGACGAACCCGCTGCTTGAGTTCCTGAAAAGCAACCAGACGCATAACATAAAAAGCCAGGACACGCGGTTTTTGCCGGCCAATAAAATTGATATCTCACGGCTGACAGACGCCAACATCAAGAAAATATCAAGGTCGGCCGTCCAGACACTCAGTTTCCATGAGTCGCAGCCGCTTCTCATGACCGGAGGCTACGACCGTACGCTCAGAATCTACCATATCGACGGGAAAATCAACAACCTCGTGACGTCGTTGCATCTCCGCAACTCGCCTATCCAGACCGCGGCATTCAACGGCGACAACATTTTCGCCGCCGGAAGACGGCGATACATGCACAAATGGGACGTGCTTGGTGGCTCCATCGAGAAAATCAGCAGAATGTACGGCCACGAGAAAACACAGCGGTCTTTCGAACATTTTCGCATCAGCAAAAACGGCAAGTATCTCGGCCTCATGGGAAACTCCGGCTGGATCAACATCATCTCCCCAAAAACGGGTGTCTGGCTAAAAGGATTCAAAATAGAAGGCACCTTAGTGGACTTTGATTTCTCGCAAAGCACCAGCAAAGACGCACATACCACGCTTGCCGCGGTCAACAGGGCCGGCGAGGTGTGGGAGTTCGACGTCGATGCCGGAACGACGCTCGACAGATGGACAGACGACTCCGGAACCGGCGTCACCAGAATCAAGTTTGGCGGCAGCAACAGCAGATGGCTGGCCGTCGGCAATAACGTCGGCATCGTCAATGTGTACGACCGCCTCAAGGACTCGCACAGACCCGCAGGGATACTCGAGAACCTCGTCACGACAATCTCGAGCATCGCCTTCACCAGCGACGGGCAGGTCATGTGCATTGCGTCACGTGATAAGAGAGACGCTCTGCGGCTGGTGCATCTGCCCTCGTGCCGGGTGTTTTCGAATTGGCCGACGAGCGGCACGCCGCTGGGCCGTGTGACAAGTGTGTGTTTCAGCCCGAACAACGAGCTGCTCGCGACAGGAAACGAGGCAGGCAAGGTGCGGCTGTGGAGGCTGAACCATTACTAGCAGATAGGTGTAATAATGCATGTTTACAATGATATATAAAAGCTCATGAACGATCGTACTGTTCGAAAGGTGCTATAGCTCTGGTCCTGTTTTCGAAGACCCGTTGATTTTGCGGCGCTCGAGGATTTTGGAGTGAGTTAGTTTCAGGTCAAACGTGTTGCTCAGCGTCGCGTCGAACGCCGGCGACTGTTCGCTTTGCACGGTGTATTTTTTTGCCGGCATAGGCCGTTTATCCACGGGAGTGGTGTCATCCATGGTGATGTTTTCCAGCCCTTCCTTGATCTCGTCGCTTTGATCACTGAGCTCGATAAATTGCGTTGTCTGCGGAGTACGCGGATATATCTTATGCGTTTCCGAAACGCTTTTCGTGATGGACGAGGACCGCGAGTCTCCCGCGTTGGCTATCGAGGACGTTGTCGATCCGCAGCTTCCTATTTTGGATGACTTGATCTGGAAGCACACCGACGACTTGCGCTTGTTTCCCGTGTAGAAGTCTTCTATCTCAGATGTGAGAATCGACGACTCCTCGTTCGCGGTCATGCTGGTTGTGTCTGTCAACGTTCCTCCGGATCGCTCAGTTTCGAGTCCCGACAGAGGATCGTCCTTGAGCGGCGTTGTCCGACGTTCCCTGTAGGACGGGGATTTCGAATACTTGGCGTACGGCTTGGGTGTCAGGTCTGTTTCCTCGAATTCCGAGTCCTCGTCGAACTCGTCGCTGACTTGTGAGGAATCCGAGTCTGGTCGTTTGCGGAACTCGAGGATCCCAATAGGCTCGTCCTCCTCGAGAACACCGAGATTTCCAGCTTTTGGAGCAGCCAGTTGCGGTGTAGCGTCTCTTTGCACGCCGTTGGCGGTGTCGAAGACGAGCCGAATCGCTTCTGCGCGCGGAGCCAAAAGGCCGTCGGCAAGATTATCTGCGGTGCGGTTCAGCTTCTTATACAGCGCCTCGTCGAACGTTGTTTGGGGAGCGGTTTCGTTGCTAGGGGTGGTATCAACTTGGTCCTCGTATCCTCTCACCATCCACGGATCTCTGAGTAACTGGTCAATAGAGTACCTTGCGTCAGGATCCACAATCAGAAGATTGGCAATCAGCCGTTTACAGTCGTCCGAGACCTCGTCGAACCACGGACTCAAAAACTTGTAGTCGCCTCTTGACACTTTAGTGCTGATATCCTTCGAATCCTGCGTAGCCGAGTAGAAAGGCGGGAACCCAACTACCAGAGTGTACAGGACACAACCAATGGCCCACATATCCACTTTTTTCGTGTATCCAAGATTCATGTGCTGTTCGGGAGAAGTGTATCCAACGGTTCCGCAAGGCGTCTTGGCCTGCATGTTTTCGTTGTACAGGACGGTGGAAAGCCCAAAATCTGCGAGTTTGACGACTCCGATACCGGCAGAGCCGTATTCAGGAATGAATTTGCCCTCGTCGAGTTTGTTGTTGTCGTCGGAACGCCGTCTGGCTTTGTTCTGCTCCTGTTTGGAGCGTGGTAACACCTCAGTCGGGACAAATAGTAAGTTTTCGGGCTTGATGTCGCGATGCACAATTCCCTGCGAATGCAGATACTTGACTGCGCTGGCAACCTGTCGAATCACGTGTCTCGACAAGTCCTCGCTGAAATAGGTGTATTTTATAATCTGGTTGAAAATCTCTCCACCGCTCACATATTCCAGGAACAAAAAGCAGTATCTAGAATTGTACGAGTTTTGGTAGTTGTACAGCTTGGTGATGTTCTTGTGATCTAATTTCGACATGATGCTGATCTCTTTCAGCACAGAGTTGATTTGTTCGGGTTTCATGTTTGTTTTGTCGATGATCTTGATGGCTACAAAGTCCTGTGACTCGGTGTCGAGCGCCTTCACCACCACAGAAAATGCTCCCTCGCCGATCTTTTCTAGCAAAGTATATCTGGGCGACAGTTCTGAGTAAAATTGGGCGAATTCCGGAGGGATCGCCGGAGGAGGGCGTGAGTCCGTGTTGTTTTGGTCCACAGGGCCCGTTTCGGGGCCTGACCGGCTCTTCTTGACTATATTCTTGAACAGCCCAAGCATGGCTAGCAATGACTAAGCAAAGAACCTTGACAGGGACCTTGGAACTTCACGGCTAAAGTGGCTCTGATAGCAGTAGAGAAGAAAACAGGCGACTGAGAAATAACTAAAAAAAATTAGGAGCCCCGCAAAAATGCTCCGTGCTACAGCAGCAGCACAGCATATTACTAAATATTCTGGTGAAGGCTATAGATGTATCCCCTCGTGGAGGCACACAGGCCGCTTGTCCCGACAAAAGCAAGCCTCGTGAGCACCTCGTTGCCCTCGCCCTGTAGCAGCGTCTTCTGGCTGTCCACCTCGACCACGCGGTCGCCGCCTGCCACCAACGTTTCTCCCGCAAATGCAAAATCGACCCGATATTTTTCTTGGTCAACCACAACGGCGTGCTGCGATGTAATCTCATTATTTTTGCAAACAAAGTCGATCTCCACTATACGGGCCACGCCATGCAGCTTCGCAAAACAGCGCCCGTACTTCCACGCCACCTGCGTCACGCTGATCCTGTCGAACATGTCGAACACGATCTCCGTGTCCAGAGCAACGTTCCTGGCACCGCGCAGATCGAAAAGATTCACCACCCCGTCGTTCCCGCCAGAAACAAACTGCGTGCCGCTACAAGCATAAATACTGAGCACGTCGTCTGTGTGATATCCTTGTAGACTGCCAATTGGCCGGCCTGAGACACGCGAGTCGTAGAAGTCGACGCCTGTCCCGCTGCAGCCTGCTACCACGCCGTTGTCCAAATACGCCGCCTGGACGACGTTGGAGCCGTGCATCTTCACGACGGGCTGCAACGTCTCGATGTCCCAAAGTTTCGCGTCTCCAGAACAACTGAGCATCCGTTGGGGCTGCACAGGGTCGAACCCCAGGAACGTGACCGGCCTGATGGTGTCGTTGGCCAGCTCTGCAAAGACTTCACCGTTCGAAATCGAGCTGAGTGCAACAGCAGGTGAGTCCACACATGCACTCACGCAAATCCGCCCGCTGGCTGACAATGCCAACGCCGTGACGGCGGAGGAGTGCGGTCGAAATGCCATGTATGTATTTTTGCGGCAGTGCAAAATATATAAAATTAATGCTGAAAAATATTCTCACCGAAATGGCCACCCCCAAGTATTTCAAAGTGACGCAGTTGCGGTCCGCAATCGCACTTCCCCAGAAAAAGAAGGATACGTTGCTCAGACTAGGTCTTCGCCGTAGACACCAGACGGTATTCCACAGAATATGCCCGCAACAGGCTGGTATGATTGCCACGGTCAAGGAGCTGGTGAAAGTGGAGCTTGCAGACGAGTCGCTAACCAAGGACGAGATGAGACAGCAGAGGAAATCGGACCCGGGCTTTACGATCGAAAAGGCCGTTTCAGGAACCGCCTCCACGTCAAACTAGGCAAAACAAGCTACTGTATATAATGACCACGCTAATATTATTGGATATCGAACAATGACGGCTATTCGTCCCTGAGAGCCGCTAAATTTAACGGAGTCAACGCTCTCTCCGAAAGCGCCAGCTTGAGATCCTCTGCGTCGATGCTGACGGTTTCCTTCGCGGACTCTTTCTCCATTCTCGACGCCCGCACGTTGGACGTTTGCGGCCGCACCTCCTGCAGTATCGAGGTGTACAGTTCCGTGTCGCTGGAGACGAGTGAGTCGTCGACCATGCGCAAAATTGCCCGCTGCGAAATCGTCATCGAGTTGTCGAGTCTGTCGTTTCTCCGTTTCTTTAGCGAGCCCAGCCGTTGCAGCACCACCGGCGACGGAGCGGTCGAATCGAACGACTCGTCCAGTCTGTCCAGCGATCGTTTCGAGCCGGTCGGCGTATATGGGAATACTGCGGCAGACCGCTCCACGCTAACCTTGCCGTCTGGGCCGCAAGTGATTGTCGAAACTCCAAAAGTCAGGCCGCTGACTCTGTCTTCCTCATAGTGCGCAAAGACCCGTTTCAGAGGATCACATTGAGCCTGCTGAGTGCTGGGAAAAACGGTGTATTTGATGTTGATTGGCTGTGAGTACTTCTGAACGTTATTTGGCTCGAAACGCACGCTGGTGGTGAAATCGATGCCGTCTTTGGAGTGCAGTTCCGGCTTGGTGGCCACCACAGGGAACATGCACTCGTACGGAGCAGCATAGAGAGTGGCAAACTTGTATGCCGGCTCGCGAGTAAGCACGCGGGGTCTGGTGTGTCTGGGAGGCATGAAGAAATGGAGAGGCAAGTTTGGTGCGTGTGGACTATCTGTAATATCTTGCTATTTACCTATTGCCGTTTCTGGGACTGTGATGAAAAACGCGCCGATCGACGCCAGCCGACGGCATTTGTCCTTTTTTGCAAAATTTTCGAAAAAAACCTTTTCCATCCACCATGCCTAGAAAAGCCACAAACCTGTTCTCCCTTACACGGGGGCGGGTGCGCATGGCACTGAACAAGCACAACCTGTTCAATTTTTACAAGGACCGTGCACCGATGTTCAAGGTCATGTCCATGTTCATGCAGAAATGGGACTCGAAACAAAAAACACGAGGATACCACGGAGAACACATCCCTGAAGGCAGATGGCTCAAGCTGTTCCAGAAAAAACTGGACGGTGTGGCCCAGATGGACGCGTCGCTCAGTGGAAAGGCCAATGACGAGACTCCGATGGTGCTGCAGACGTTTGCGGTGCTGGAAAAGCGACTCGATGTGGCCGTTTTCCGTGCCATGTTCGCCTCGTCGGTCAGACAGGCCAGACAGTTTATACTCGCCGGCGAGGTCAAGGTCAATGGCGTTTCTATCAAACAACCTTCGTATCCGTTGAGTCCTGGAGACGTGTTCAGCGTGGAGCCAGACAGGGTGTTGCAGGCTCTGGGAGAAAAAAAACCCAGCTTGAAAGAGGCATACAAGGTGGACAGAGAGCAGGTGATCCAATGGCAGAAATTTGTGAACCGTGCAAAGTCCGACCCACTCAAAGTGTGGCAAAATCAGAGAAGTAAGCAGAAGAAGATGAGAGAGACGTATCGCGATCTGTACAACCCAGAGCTGCCTCCTTCGGAGCTGGAAGATGTTGTGGCACGTTATGACTCGCGTCAGGAGTCAAAAATTAACGAGCTCGGCAAGAAGCTAAACAGTATCACGAGAAACACCATTCTGGCCGATATCGTGAACACAGCCAAGGCCGTCGAAGGAGAGGTGGATGCCAGTGTGTTCGAGCCCCAGTTTGGCGCTGCCCTAGCAAACAAATGTTTCAACATATACCAGATGGTGGCCAACAACAAGGCGTTGTTTGAGGGCGGCGAGAATGAGATGAACGAGGAGATATCCAAGATATTGCCCAAGTATGTGAATGGCCAACCGCAGGGTAAGTTCTACGATGATACCAAGGCCAAGAAAGTGAAGCAGGCGCTGTCAGAGCTCAAGTCTGGGTATCTGGAGAAAGTCAGAAAAGACCACAAGGAGCAAGCTCCTTCTGAGGATGCGATTGTGTCCACCTGGGTGAGCAGACTCATCAAGCATCCTAAACTTCCTTCGTGGTCTGAAGTGCAGGAGAAGGGAGCGTACAAGGTGGACCTGCCGTGGCAGAAATCAATGTGGGGTCTCGAGGACCCTTCGAAGCCGTATTTTACGCCATGGAGACCGCGTCAATTCATTGCTCCGTTCGCCGTGCTACCTAAACACATCGAAATTTCATTCCGCACGTGCCATGCGGTTTACATGAGAAACCCAGTTGCTAGACCCGGCGAGTCTGAGGTTATCTCTCCATTCAGTCACGAGGCCCACGAAAGAGCATACATGTACTATTCGAGAAAGGGGCTGTAATGTATATAGACGACAATACAGGAAGTAAATTATTTGGAAAATAATTCGAGGGAAAATTTATGATTTGATTATTCATGTCATGGTTACAGCTTCTCAAGTCCAAATTTCCCGCTAGCCAAGCCGCCCAGGAGCTCCGTTGGATCCAGCAGGAGCTTCCCAAGTCCCAATGGCACACAGCCGTCGAACTAAGAGCCCGGCTGGTCCCGTTGCAATACATTCTCGGGTCGCAGCCTTTTGGCGATCTGACAATAAAGTGCAAGCCAGGAGTCCTGATTCCGCGGAACGACACTGAGGAGTGGTGTGAGGAGCTCAAGCAGATCATTAGCAAATGCGGCGAGCCGGCCGAAGTCGTAGAGTACTGCACGGGTTCTGGCTGCATTGGACTGAGCATGGCGACACTTGCCAATGTCAAAAAAGTCATAGCGCTGGATATCAACAAACAGGCACTTGCTCTCAGCGAAGAAAATCTGCGAATAAATTCGGCAAAAATTAAGGCAAAAGTCGAGTTCCACTACGGCGATCTGCTGAAGCATCAGTTTCCGCAAACGACCGCTACACTGCTTCTTTCTAATCCACCATATATACCTCGAGAACACTTCAGCACCGACGGAGGTGTGGAAGAGTCTGTTCTCAAATATGAGCCAGAAAACGCACTAGTGGGGAACCTTGAGTTCTACAGCGCGTTGTGCGAGCTCGTGCGCCAGGGACCGATCGAGGGGTTTGTCTTTGAGCTTGGCTACCGCGAACAGGCGGAACACACCAAAAGTCTTCTCCCGAGCTGGACTTGCGGTATCAGATACGATTCTCGCAGAAACATACGAAACGTTATTGGCTGGAAACCAAGCTGGAATATTTTACAGTCTATGTGCGATGAGATTCTATGAAGCGGCCGACTCGTCGCCGCTCTTACGCTTCTTGCCCCGTCCAACAGCCTGTACACCCTCCGCCGGCAAGACTCTCAGGCCGTGGAACACGTACCCTCCACCAGCTCTGGAAGTCATCAATGGGTGCAACTTTCCAGGCACCGTCTGGTAGCGTCTGACTTTGGTTTCAGAAATGTTGGTCATGATCACTCGTTTATCTTTCTGCAAAACATGGTCGAGCTCAATCAGCATCTCCTTGTATTGGTGGTACGCAACGACTGGCCGCGACCCTGACAACGCTTCCAGAACACGAGGAATTAGAGTTGCCGGGTTCAAGGTGGAAACACTCACTACCGCATCCAGATCCTGGTTTGCAACCATCTCCAGTGTCTGTCTCAATTTTTCTGCCCTTGCCAGTCTTTTTGCATACATGTTCCGGCGCTGCGGCGGCATTTCCTCAACTTCCTTGTCTGTGAACTTGAAAACCTTGCCTGTGTCTTCGTCTGGCTCGAAAAACTCCAGGAAGCTGATCGGACGCAGAAGTCTGTCCAGCTCAGCGTCAGTGTATCCAGACTGTTTGAGTATCCATGTGTTCGGCTGGTCATTCTCGTGCAACCATATGATCGAGCCTTGTCCTTGCATTCTTTCCAGAAGGGCATAGACCAACAATCCTCCCGTCTCGTCCAACACTAAATAGTTTCCACCGGGCATGATATTTGCATGGCTCATCATTGAACCCAACGTCTCTTCGCTCAAATCCAGAACCCTTTGCGGGTCCTTTTCGTGGTAGTAGTAATTAAGTAAAGCCGAGGAGCTCAAACGGTCAATTTGGAACCGTCTGGCAAACTTCTTCTGTTTTCTTGTTAGATACTTCTCTTGAGAAAATACGGTTTTTTTCTCAAATGCTTCGTGGCTCTGAATCATCTTTTCGATTATTTGACGTGCAACCTGATTACCCTCGCCCTCTTTCTTCATATTCTCGATATCCTGTGTCGTCAATTTCTGGATTTTCTGTCCAATATCTGTTAAATCTTTGTTATTAGCAGAGCTTTTAACCTCTGGAATTGGGGTTCCGTCATTACTATCTTCGAGGTCTACAAGCAAGTCCTTGATCGGGGACACTTTTTTGTCCGCAACGATCTCGAAAGCTTGTCCGTAGGCGTATCCAAACGTTCCATCTACCAGAAAATGGCCAAATTTCCCGAGATTGATTGTCCCTCCAGGTTTAAGCTGAACAATTCTAAGACTTCCTGACGGCATAGTCACGAGACAGTGCTCGTTTGGCGAAATCACCTTGTTCTGGCCAATCTCGGGCATCCTAGAGGTATAATTTTCTTGATCTTGATTTTCTAATTTTTTTTTTTGATACCTCTGGAAACGGGACCAAAAAATTTACGTGAAAAATTTGAAAAAATATTTAGATAGTAACAGACATGGGAAGAAGGGCCAAGAATAAGCAGGGAATGCCTCCCTCACTGGAAGAATTCCAAAAATCTGAGAAGAAAAAAGTCACAAAGCGTAAGGCAGAGAAAGAATCGAAAGATGTGAGAAAATCAACGAAGAAAGCCAAGAAACCCAAACAGGAAGAAGAATATAAAGATCCAGAGGACCTGCCAGAAGTCGACCTTGAGGAGCTTTCGGCAGCCAAAAAATCTCTTTTTGACGATGACGAGGACCAAGACGCCGGTCTGGACGAGTTTGAACAGCTCGAAGACGACTCTGAGCCAGAGGTCGATGACGAGTTTGTTGATTCTGACGAAGAAGGCAGAGAAAGACCAATGTTTTCCGACGACGAGAGCGACGATATGGATGCCATCAATGCTGCTAATATGGAAGAATACTCCAGAAAGCTCGATGAGGAGGCTTTGATGGAGCAACAGGACGCCGAAGACGAGCTTCTGGAGGAAAATACTAAAAACCCAAGAGCTAAGGTTCTGCCTACACAAGAAGAGGAGGAGGAAATGAAACAATCAGGACCCGATCTGACGATGGTCAGAACTCGTATGCTCGAGGTGGTGAAGGTGCTTGAAGATTTCAAGAACCTTGCGGAAGAGGGCAGAAGCCGTGTGGAGTACGTGGACCGGTTGCTCAAGGATATATGTGAGTACTTTGGCTACACACCATTTTTGGCGGAAAAGCTTTTCAACCTTTTCTCGCCGTCGGAGGCCATTGAGTTCTTCGAGGCCAACGAAATTCATAGACCAGTGACGATCAGAACCAACACCTTGGTGACCAGACGCAGAGAGCTGGCCCAGACCCTGGTCAACAAGGGAGTTAATTTGCAACCAATAGGGCCATGGACTAAAGTCGGACTCCAGGTGTTTGACTCGCAGGTTCCTATCGGAGCCACCCCGGAGTATCTGGCTGGACATTACATCCTTCAAGCCGCCTCTTCGTTCCTGCCGGTGATGGCCTTGGATCCGCAGGAAAACGAGCGGATTCTGGACATGGCAGCTGCTCCGGGCGGAAAAACGACCTACATTTCTGCTCTCATGAAGAACACCGGGTGTGTGTTCGCGAACGACGCCAACAAAGCAAGAACCAAGTCGCTGATCGCCAATATTCATCGTCTGGGGTGCACCAACACTGTGGTCTGCAACTATGATGCGCGCGAGTTTCCGAAGGTCATTGGTGGGTTCGATAGAGTACTCCTGGACGCGCCATGCTCTGGAACAGGTGTCATTGCCAAGGACCAGAACGTCAAGGTCAACAGAACCGAGAAGGATTTCATTCAAATTCCCCATCTACAAAAACAGCTGCTGCTTTCTGCGATCGACTCTGTCGACGCGCATTCCGCCACCGGCGGCGTGATCGTGTATTCCACCTGTTCAGTTGCTGTGGAAGAGAACGAGGCCGTGGTGGATTATGCTTTGCGCAAGAGACCAAACGTGAAACTCGTGGAAACCGGCCTGGCCATTGGAAAGCCAGGCTTCATCTCCTACAGAGGCAAACAGTTCAGTCCAAAAGTGTCGCTCACAAGAAGATACTACCCGCACGCGTACAACGTGGACGGCTTCTTTGTGGCCAAGTTCCAAAAAGTGGCCTCCAGTCCTCACGACGTGTCCAAGGCGGGAGCCAAGGAGAAGGAGATGGCAGCAGACGCGGAAGCAGAGAAGGAGGGACTGATCCACGGCGACTTCGCCGACTTTGACGACGAAGCAGACAAAGAAATCATGAAGGAGTCCATCAAACACAATCTCAAGAAGAAGGGTATTAACCCAAACACCGTCGATATCGAGAAAAAGCTGCCAAGGCATTAAGTTGTGTGTATTTTATAGTCTAACACAGCCCATGTTATTTTCCTTCATGTACTCTGCGCCGTACTCGGCGTACTCCTGTCTGGTAACGTAGCTGTGCTTCGCCTCGTCTGTGAGCGACCATTTAGCCATCCCGCGCCAGGCATCTAGCAACGGGTCCTGCGCCCTTCTGACTCTCAAAGGAGAGCCCACAGGAAGCACGGCGCGCAAATCGGAATCCAGCCGCTCCTGGAAATTCTGGAACAACGACTGGCCACCAGTGAGAAACACGTCCTTCATCATCTCTGTGGAGTCGTCTCCAGAAAATCCCTTCTCCCCCGGCAGCCTTCTCAAAAGCGTATCTTCGGCCAGCTCCACAATGCCCGCCTGATCCACGCCTGCAATTGAGGGCTGGAACAATATTTCGGGGATCCGAATGCGCTCCACGTTGATGTGGATCTGGTGCTGCTGGTGCTGGTCCTCGGGATCGAAATTGCGCGGGCCCCTCAAAAACCGGTGGATCAGCGAGTTGCGCCAATCAAACTGTCTCTGTAACGTGTCTTCCACAGTGAAATTCGGATCGTACTCTAACAGCTCCTCCTCAATCTTGAGAATCTCCTGTTGCACCTCCTCCTCTGCATCGTCGTCTTCCTCACGGGCAATGGCCCGGTAAACTGCCCAGTCATCGTCGTTAGCACCAAACGTGTCGTTCGGGTCGTTGTCGATCGTCACATTGCCTGCCTTTTTGCGTCTGCCGGCACCCCTGTCCTCGTCGGCCAAGGATGCTATATTTTTCATCCGGTTCTGTGCAGCACGACTTTTTCTGTCCGTCAACTCCTCCTTCAACCGCTTGCGCTCCTTGACACGCTGAATCAGCTTCTCCAGCCGCTCCCTTCTATCGGAAATCCACCCGGCCAAATCCGACTCTCGCCATTTTCTGTCTCTTTCGGCAGCCTCCTCGGCCTCCTTTTTCGCAAGCTCTTTCTCTTGCTTTGCGCGCATCCGGGCGTCGTAGTTGGCCTTCATCAAGCGTTGTTTGCGCTTCTCCTTCATCTGTTCCTCGCTCAATTGCTCGTCAGGAACCTCTAACAGTGGGAACGAAGGCGGCTCCTCGGTGGAGTTCTCGCCAATGTCCTCGTTTCTGGCCTTTTTCAACGATCTCTCAAGATTTGCTATGTGCTTGTTCATCTCCGACTCGTCTTGGAACCCCTCGTTCCGCAGCACATCTATTTGCTCGCGCTTGTTCATGCTTTTCATCCGTTCTTTCAGACCGGTGAAATAGGCGAAATCTGCTTCTTTCTGCACCAATTTTTCCAATCGACGCTCTCTTGCCTGCTCATGGAGCCGCTTTATCTGCTCGCGTTTCCTCTCGGCCTCCAATTGTAGCTCCTCCTCGGTTTTTTGGTGTTTGACAACTTCCGTAAACGGAACTTCCAACACTATGTCATTCTTCTCCAAGTTATCCAGATCCAGATAGTGCGTGATCTCCTCCGAGAAGTCTTTGGACACATAGCAGTAGTCCTGTTTAATCTTCTCCATCTGGAAAGTGGACAGTCTGGTGGGGAAATACGGGTACTTGAGCCCAATAAAATCCATCAGATAGTTCGTCGCCTGTCTTCCGCCCCAGTCTAACCGTTTCGCAATGGACAAAATAGGCTTGTGTTCGACGACGGGGATTACGTGCGTCGCTTCGTGCCCTGTTCCAATGACAAGTCCCGTCGAGCCCCCGTTCTGGTAGTAGCTGAATAGACAGTCTGCTCCAAAAGCGAGTTTCGGCACGTTGTAGGCCTCAAAAAGCAGCTCCATCATACCTGTTCTCTGCTGCAAGGGCGTGGCCAGAACCTCGTTCATGACAATCGGATTATCCACTCTGCCCTGGGAAGACACTCCGCAGTGCAAAAACCCGTAGTCCAACACTTTCTCGATCACATCCCAATTATTAATCATGGGACCGTCAAAAGCAGACCGGATATTGGATTTCGACACATTGTCCAAATACATGTCGTTTCCAACCAGCGTAATCATTCTGTTGACTCGGCGGTCTTTGAACCGCGACATTACCGTCGGAAACACGTTGTTCGGGCTTGTTTCCTTGGCCAGCCCGATCCTGGTTGTCGATCGTCCCAGATCAATCGCAATAGGCACTCCTGTCTCGTAGGAGGCGTAGTATGGCTCCGGCTGCGTGGGCGCAGGGAAGTCGGGGATCGGAAACGCCGGCCGTGGCGGCAATTCTTCTTCGGTGCGTTTATTTGCCATGGAAAAGAATTCAAGTTAATTTTTCCAATCTATTTGGTCTTGACTTTGTTTTATTTTTTTTCTCTAGTTAATTTACTTGTCCTCTTGATGTCGAACGAATCGTTTTCCATCCACGGATACAATTTAGTGACATTGCTTAAACGGTAAGTGAAATTGCCGTGGAGACTAACTGTGTAGGCTGGAGGCCGCGGCGTCGCGACTCGAAGACGTCACCATCTTCCAAGAGAATGCAGTCCACTCGAAAACAGCACAGGCCGGTGGAGTCGTGGCAGATGGGACTGGTGTGCAGGCCGGAGCTGACGCAAATGCAATTGAGGAGCCTCAGAAAGAAGCACCGTCCATCGAAGCGTTTGATAAATTCTTGGAGGAGTACGTGACTCCCTTTGTTGAAATCTCAGATAAAATCGACCCCTTGGTTGCTGAACAGGCCAAACTGTTCGAGAAAGCGCTGCTGGAGGAGCGCAAATTTCTCCAGGCCGCCTCCAAATCTGCGCCCGTTGACGCGTCGAGCCCGGTGTTCCAGTCGGCGCTCGCTCCGATCAACGAGGTCATTGTCAAGGCGGTGGAGGTGAAGGACGCCAACCGTACCTCCAAGTTTTTCAACAACCTCAACGCTGTGGCAGAGGGTATTCCTGCTCTTGGATGGATCTGTGTCACCACGCCTGTCTCCTACATTCCAGACTACAAGGACTCTGCCCAGTTCTGGTCCAATAGAATTCTGAAGGAGTACAAGGAATCCGACCCAAACCAGGTCAAATGGGCCACCACGTTCATCAGAATCTTCGACGGCCTCAAAAACTACGTCAAGGAGTTCCACACCACCGGTCCGTCCTGGAACGCCCAAGGAGGTTCTTTCGAGGAGAATCTGGCCAAGGCCTCGTCCTCAGCAGCACCTGCTGTTCCGTCGCCCCCTCCAACACCTGTCTCTGGCGCAGGCGGTCCTCCTCCTCCACCGCCTCCTCCACCGGCCTCCGTCTTTGAGGCAAAGGAGGAGCAGCAGCCAACGGGAATGAACGCTGTTTTCTCTGAGCTCAACAAGGGCGAGAACATCACCGCAGGACTCAAGAAAGTCGACAAGAGCCAGATGACTCACAAGAACCCGGAACTGCGGGCGTCATCCGCAGTTCCTGCCAAAAAAACTGTTCCTGTTCCGCCAAAGAAGCCCGCTAGTCTGAGCGAAAAGTCTCCTAAGGAAAAAAAGCCTCCGAAAAAGGAGCTTGTGGACAACAAGTGGATGGTGGCCAACTTCGAAAACGAGTCCGACATCATCACCATCGACGGAGACATGCAGCAGAGCATTTTCATCGCCAACTGTGCCTCCAGCATCATCCAAATCAAGGGCAAGGTGAATGCTATCACACTGAACGAATGCACCAAGGTTGGGCTCGTTGTTGAGAAAGCCATCAGCGGAATTGACGTGATCAAGTCCAGAAACTTTGAGGTCCAAGTCACCGACTCTGTTCCGATGATCTCGATCGACCAGTCTGAGTCCGGCTCCCTGTATCTGTCTGCGTCGTCTCTGGACACCGAGGTGTTCACCTCGTCTACTACTTCGCTCAACATCAACGTGCCGGAATCGGACGACATGAAGGAGCTTGCTGTTCCGGAGCAGTTCAAGCACACCGTCAAGAACGGTAAGCTGATCAGCACGATTGTTGAACATGCTGGTTGAAAGACTATATACGAAACGCAAGTACACTAGCGATCTTACTCGGGAACTTCCAATCCGACCCTTCTGGCCGTCTTGCGCACCTTATCCGTCTGCTTCATGCTGATTCCCGGGTTATATCTTTCGAGTAGCTCGACGTATTCTCTCTGGCTTCTGACAAAGCTGGCCATGTTTTTAAGGTGTTCGAGTTGTTTTGGTGTCAGGCTGTCTGAATCCATCTCTTTCACCATACCGACATCGACCTCAGGCATGGTTACCTGCGTACTTTTCTTGACTTCGTCCACGAGTACAGCATCCTCCTCCGGACTGAGCACCTTGCCAGACCGGACGTACTGCAATCTCTTGTATTGTATCAGAGCATCCTGCTTCTTCAGCATGTCCTTCGAGTGTTTCTCGAAGGCTTTTTGGACGGCCGTTTGCAGCTCGTTCACCAAACTCTGGAAGATCTTGCGGCCAGACATGAAAATAATAATTATAAAAAAAAATTATTTATGTCCGACCTCAACGTTGACGACCTGCCCAAAGATTGGCTCGAGCTGTCGCGGTACTTGCACAAGAACGCTCACGATTTTTCTGCGTGGGAGCAGCTTGTCAATGTGGCCCTTGATTTGAAGCAAGACGCGGTATCCAGCAGACTGGTGGCCATCTCGTACGAGAACCTGCTGGTCAATTTCCCGTACTGCGAGCAATACTGGTGCAATTATGCCGACTACCTGTTCCATGCAGGTCGCACAGATGAGTCACGCGAAATATACGAGCGCGGCGTCGAGGTTGTGCCCAAGTCAATTGTGATATGGACCAAATATTTGGATTTTGTGGTCGAAACTGTGCACCAGTACGACCCGGTCGTTGCTGTGTTCGAGCGTGCGAGAACAGAGGTGGGGATGCATTTCTACGCCCATCTACTGTACGACCGGTATCTACAGTTTCTCAAAGCGCATCGCAAGGCCAGAGAGTACCACTGCCTTCTGAGACGGGTGATCGAGGTGCCATTGTACCATTACTCCAAATACATCAAACAGTTCTTCAAGCTGATTGAAAACGCAGATCTCGACACCATCAAGTACCTGATCACAAAGGAAGATCTGAGGTCCATCTACAAGTTGAGCTGGCCTGACCTTATAGGACGCAAAGACGACAAGGTTTTCGCCGATCTGAAAAAGGACATGCGCAAACGGTACATGGACATATATATCACGACACAGTACAACGTGTTCCAGCTCTGGCCGTTTGAGGAGGCGGTGAGACGACCTTATTTTGCTGCCAAGGAGCTGGAACGTCGCGAGCTGCACAACTGGAACAGATACCTCGAGTACTGCGAGACGTTGTCGCTCAAGTCGTCTCACAAGGACTCGGACTCGGCCATCACAAAAAACACGCGCAAGCTCATCGACACTGTATACGGCCGGTGTCTCATAGCCACTGCATACTATCCGTTTTTCTGGATCAAATACAGCAACTACTACCTCAATCTCAACCAGCTAGACAGAGCGAAAAAAATACTCGTTACCGGGATATATCACTGTGCGACAGAAAACGTCAAGCTTCGGCTCCGACTTGCGGACCTGGAGGTGCTGACGAGGAATTTGAGCGCTGCCAGGACCGTGGTGCTCGATCTCTTGCAGTTGTATCCGAACTCTGTGCAGGCCTGGCTGAAACTGCTCCAACTGGAGCATCTGGCGAAAAATAAAGATCTGCTCCAGTTGGTGGAAGCCAAGCTCGAGGAGGTGGCCGGGACCGAGCACGAGTCCCAATTCGATTACCTGTTTTTGGAGCTGCTGCAGTACAACGTCGACTTGGAGCCTTTCCTGCTCAAGTACCAGCACAAGACGAGCTATTTTTACTGGAAAGCATGCATAGATTATTACTATCTCTACTCGCCGGACACCACAAAACTCCAGAACATGTACCGTTTGGCGCTGGAGAACCTCGGAGACGCTGATAGGGCCCGAGTCGAGGAGTATCTGGATGGCGTAGTCGAGAAGGAGTACTTTTAATTTCTGTACATTAATCTTTACGCTATTTTATCACGTAGACGTTGAAAAGAGTGACTGCGATCCAGAAAAAAACGGCAACGTAGCCAACAAATCGGTCGACTCTCCAGTTGCGCAGCGGGACAATGGAGATGTATATGAGCAGAATAACCACGAGGCTGAAACTTGACATTTTCAAATGGTTGTCCACGGTAAATTCCACCGGGGAGCCTGTTTTGATGCACACCACGAGCGAGCTGAGACCGACCCCAAATAGAATGTACAGCAGTGGCGAGCCAAAACACGCGTGCAAGCCCGTGAGCGCGAGTCCCAGGGACGCGAGAGTGCTGTTGGTGATGAGGTCGCCGATCGAATTGCCCATGGAGAGCACTGTAAGCCCCAGCACGGACTCGTCGACGCCATAGATGGTGCCAGTGTTTTTCAGGATGCTGACGATTTCCGACGCAGCAGCCGTGATGAGATTCAGCACGTTGACGAAGCCGACAAGCGCAGAGAACGCCGGGAACAGACGACGGTAAAAGGTGTGGCCCAGAGCGCTCAAGACGATATTGGCAGCGAACAGCACCCCCGTCAGTTGCAGTGTCTGGAACGAAAGCTCCTGGAGGACGACAAGCGGCGTCAGCAGCAGCTGGACGTGGAAAAAGCGCACGTTGAGGTCGAACTCTTTGCGCGAGTTGGCGGGCGTGGGCACGGCGATGTTGATGCAGAAAGCGAGCGGGAGCGTGAGGATGTTGAAGAGCGACTCGAATGGCTTGTTGCGCATGGCCAGCCGGCCGTAGTTGGGAATCAGCTTGGTTCTCCACGAGACCTCGATGGGCTCTGCAGAGAGGATCGTCGAAATCGACGTTGCCGACGCGACGGACGACGTCCGCGAGAGTTGTGTTGGTAGCAGCAGCTGGTCGTCAGCAGAGACCGGCGACTGCGGCGTGTCGTCGTCGGCGGGCGTGATGACGATGTGCGAAGGGACCGGGACGGTGTGCTGCTGCGTCTGGACCGCCTCGTCGCCCGACTCGCCGCGATAGTAGTTTGCTATATGTTTGAGATCGCAAGTTCTGAAAGCCAACTTGATGGAGTCGGCCAGCGACAGCCGGAAGCTCTGGCCCGTCTCGAGACTCTCGATGTTCTGCTCAAACGTGTCGACGGCCGTGGCCTCTGTTTCTGCGCTTGTCTGGTCGTGGACCTTGGGCCGCGTCTCAGCAAGTAGCTTGTCCGGACTGAGGAAGCTGATCAAGATGTATGTTGCGTACAGAAGACACATGGCAATACTCTCGGACAGCCTGATCTTGCCGTCAACCAGAAAAAGCAGTGATAGCACCACCAGCGTGAGGAATAGCGTCACGTCACGGACAAATGAGGTATAGTCCACGGTGAAGGGCCGGACGATGGCCATGGTGCCGACCACGACGGTGAGCGCAAAATTGGCCGATCCGAGCAGCTCCCCAATGGCCAGGGCAGTGGAATCGGAGTTCATGGCAGTCCAAGTCGACAAGATGTCGGGAGCGCCGTTGGCAAAGGCGAGCAACGTGAGCCCCGACAATTTCTCGCCCAGATTGAGCAGCCTGGCCAGAAACGTGAGGTTGGGCGTGAGAAAATTGGAAGCCAGAAACCCAAGAACAAAAAACAGCGTCGAGATCAGCCCCATGAACATGCTCGCCACGAGCCACGCAGGCATCTGCGACAAGTACCCTGAACAGTAGTACAGCTCCAGATACTTGAAATTCGAGCGGTCGCACGTGTCCAAGATGAACTGGCACACCGCCTGCGCATCACCCGGCGGCACAGGACACGCATGCGAGGAGTTGGCAAAAGCGGCAATGGTCATTGTGTCAATACAGCCATAGGTTGCGAAAATATGACGGATTAATTTAATTTGATTCTTTTTTTTCTTACAATATCATTATGCTATGTACATTCACTGAGCCTGTTTGAGCAGCAGCGGAACTTTTTCGTTGCCGTAGAAAGGCAGGCCAAAACCGCTCAACAGTGTGCGGGCCTCATAGTCGAGTTGCGCGCTCGTGTGCAGCGTCAGCCAGAACCCGTAGGTGTTGGGCCAGGAGTCCTGGTTGTGCTCGATCTCCGGGAACAAACGCACGGTCTCGGCACTCAGTCCAAACGCGATATTGCCGTATTGGTCACCCGCTGAGGTCCTGATTCCCCTGAAGTCTCTGGCCCGAGGAAGAACCAGCTCGGTGAGCGTGCTGAGGAACTGGTGCGCCGGGGCGCCAGTGAGTCTAGTGCGGGCTCCCATCAGCATTCCCGGGCGCAGCTTCCATGCTGGGACGTTGGTCTTTGCGTAGATCGGGTACACCTTGGAGTTTGTGATTTGCTGGATTTGCAGTTGCGCAGCAATGGCGGCAGCAGGGTTGGTCTTGGCCTCCTCAACGAAACAGTTGATCGACACCCCCTCAAAAAATGGCACATTTTTCCAGCTACGTGCGCGGATAGTTGGCGACGGCACAACCTGTCCCTTTGGTTTCCGCAACGGTCTGTTGATGTGGTATGGCGACGACATGTCCCACTTTCTCCTCTTCGGACCCTCTATGTCCTTCTGGTCGTGCTGGTAGTTGATCAGCAGCAGGTCCGACTTGAGTGTGTTGTGGTAGTGTTCCTTGACTCTGTCCTGTCTCACCAGATAAGGTCTATATCTTGGCGAGCGGACGTCGGACGGCGGCAGCTTCAATTCCGGGAATCTTGGCGAGAGCAGCTGTTTTCTGATCCGCACGCGATGGTGCACAGGTTTCACCAGCGAGCAGCCGGGTCTTCCAGCCACTCTGCTGCTGCTAGAGAACTGTCTAAGCTGAACAAAAACCATGAAGAATAATTTTAAAAAAACATGTTGAAAAATTATTAAAAAATCGTTACCCGGTAATCTTTATTGACATGCGATTCACGCCCCATCGAAACCCACAATTGCAGTACGATTCTGCCGGGCCTGTGTCGGACAACGACTCCTTGACGGACACCGAGGACGAGCTCGAAGATTTGGGCGAGGTGCTGGACACACTGGACCTGAAAGGCCGGTTTGACTATGTGCGGAAGGTGTGCGATTACAGGGACGCGAGCCATGTTTCAGAGGTGGTGGACCACACGAGGGAGTCCTCTGTTGAGTGGGACGACGCTGAGGTGGCGACGAAGGACGATTTCGACCCATTGCGTTATTTTGCGGACATGTTGTCTGATCGGCTGGCGCAGAGTAAAAAGCGAGTTTTGCATGTTATAGAAGCCGAGGAAAAGCGCAAGAGGCTGGAAGAGGAGCGACGCAGGGAGGAGGAGCGCAAAAGGGCGGAAGAAGAGCGCAGGCGGATAGAAGAGGAAGAACGCAGAAAGAAAGAAGAAGCCGAGAAAAAACGGCAGCTTGAACTGGAGCAGGCGAGAAAGCGCATGGAGGAGGAAGAGCAGAGGAAGAAAGAGGACGAGCGACGCCGAAAGGAGGCCGAGGAGGCCGAGGAGGCCGCCAGGAAGGCCGAGTACGGTAAAACCAACTACGTGGCTGTTGAACAACAGTATCTCAAGTACAAGCAGGATATCGCAGACATCAAACGAGACGTTGTGGAGAAAATGAAGGAGCCGGCCAATAAGGAGCTCAAGAAGCTTGTAGGCGTGCAGAAACGGAAGATCAACCCGAAGTTTGGCCAGCTGACAAACAGCGAGCCGCAGTGGCAGCGAATCATGTCGCAGATCCACAGCCTGGTCACTGAGGCCAAGAGCAATGAGCTAGCATACAGGTGGCTGCTAAATTTCATGGCCAAAGCAATCATTTCGCAGGCAGAGACAGAGGTGACAGTGAAGCCAGACAGCGCTGTTCCGCTGGCGAAACTCGCTCTGAACCTGCTAATTGTGTTCCCAGAGTTTGAGTACTACCTGATGGCGCGGTTTGTCAAGAAATGTCCGCTTGTGATCGGCTACACGTGCACGATCGACACAGAGCAGGGCCGGCAGCGTATGGGCTGGAAACGAAAGGCAGACGGCAAATGGGAGGAAGATATTCAGTACGACGAACGGCTTTCTGGCATAGCGACAGTGTATGCTGTGATGTGTCGGCTGCAGATCGACGCGACGTTCCTGGGCTGCGACGCGGCCCAGACTAAACACCCGCTTCCGATCTCACGAGCATGGACAATGATGAGCCGGCTCGTGAACCTGCCGCTGAATCTGGCCACCAGTGTGCACTTTGCGGTGGCTGGGATGTGGTGGGACTCGTGCGCAGCGCAGATTTGCGCCGCGTACGGCAGACAGGGCGCAAAACTGCTCCGGGTCACGTGCGCCGACTGGACGCAGGCTGTAGCCGAGCGCAAGTACAGCGGGGCGGCCCGTTTGCGGCTATTGGGGGAGGACTGGCAGCGGGGCGGCGAGCTGAAGCAGTTCAAAGGCATGACGAGCGAGGATGTGCCTGATAGCTAGTTTTGCGGGCTGTGCAATTACTAATATATAAAAGCATTCTTATCTGCTGGAATTTTCACCAAGCATTTCCATTTAATTTATTTTATTCATGAGTCGACCACCCATTCCCGCCACGGTGCAGGCGCCTTTTCCGCTGGTGATCCGCAACACCAGTGTTGTTGCCGGGTTTGGCCGCGGCTCGGCCGAGATGGGCATTCCCACGGCCAATGTGCCCGTGGACAACGAGCCCGAGTTGCAGAAGCTGGTCACAGGGGTGTATTTTGGCTTTGTGCGGCTGCTGAGGCCGGAACAACCGCCGCAGAAGAAGATAGTGTCTCGTTCGGACGGAAAGAGCGAGGTCGAGTTCACGTACGGCGCCAATCTGGCAGACAGCGATTTCGAGGTGCTGCCGATGGTGATGTCGCTAGGCTGGAACCCGTTCTTCAAGAACAGCAAGAAGGCATGCGAGCTGCACATTCTGCACGAGTTCAAGTCGACATTCTACGGGTGCAAGCTGAACTTCATCATTCTGGGGTACGTGAGGCCTGAGCTGGATTATGTGTCGATGGAGGCCCTAATAAAGGACATCCAGCTGGACATCGAGACTGCCAGGAAGTACCTGGCCACGCCAGAGTACGCTAAGTACGCAGATATATAGAATAACACTCTACATGAGTTTCAGCTTGTCTTTTCTGCCCATGATCGTGGCAACTGCCACGGTCAGCATCTTGCTGAACCAGAACGCGTTCAGAATGTCAAGGACGAAATTTGTCGAAAGAATGATGATGGCCGTCGACAGCACGAACCGCGGGTCGTGTCGCGCGGCGTAGAGGTCCCCGGCCAGCCTGTAGATCTGGTACCATCCCCAGAAGATTCTTGCTCCGAAAAACGTTGAGATCAGCACGATATTGTTGGCCAGCGCGAGCCACTGAGGCACGAGCTCGGGGAACTTGAGCGCAACCCAGCGCAGGTTCAAAAACGGCGTCGAAACCTCAAATAGCAGGAAAATCGGGCTGTAGTAGTGGATCATCTGGGTGCGGATGCCAGACAGAAAGACAGTGCTGGCCATGACGCCGTGGATCAGAAAGCCCAGCCCGAAGTGCTGCAGATGACGCAGCGACATCGCCGTGTCCCACACAAAATAGCTCGCGGCCAGTGTGCTGTACATTTCAGAGTACGGCGTGGTCGCAAAAACACGGTCCTGGTTGAGGTATTTGTTGTCGAAGAGCGGGATTGCCAGCACTACAATCAGCGTAGACTGGATAAAGGACACAATCCGCATGCTGAAGTCGAGCTGGTCGGTTTTTTTCGGGACCAGAGACCGCATTCGGGGCAGCAGACAAAGCAACCGACACACCAGATACAGCCCGTGGTAGAAAAGCACGCCCAACACCAGCACATCCAGGACCTCGAGCAGTTTGCTGCCCGTGCGGTCGGGCACAATGGCGTCCAAAAACGGGACCCGGACGGCGATCGGGGCGCGGTACTCGCAGGATGCCCTAAATTTCGAAATGAGATCCATGGAAAAGTATTTCCGTGCGACACCAACTTACGTAAATGGAAAATCAAATTAAATGGTGGCATTTTATTTATTTATTTTATTGACTTTATTCTTACACCTGCGACACCGCGGCCTGGCTCGTCTTGCGCGCAATGGCGGCAACCTTGTCTCCCAGGGACAGGGCCAAACCCTGGCCCTTGGACCGGATCCGCACATGGCCCACGATCGGGCCCTCCGCAGTCTTCTCGATACACAGGTTGGCCAGAGCGTCCTCGCCAAAGGACGATCTCGAGTACAGGTTGGCAGACAAAAACTGGCACTCCTCGCCAATCACTGCGCCCGGAGTCAGGTTGTTCATGTTGGTGCCCTCCAGGAGCTCGTCCAGATACTCCTTGAGCGTCGGAAGGTTGGACTTCACGCTGATTTTGTTCTCCCATTCGAACTCGTTCCACATCTTTCTGAATTGCGCCTCTGTGCACGTTGCAGGCTTGATGTAGTCCATGATGTCCACGTGCAAGTCCGAGAGGATCACAATGGTGTTCTCGTCGGCGTGCTGGCCGTCGTAAACGATGTTTCCGAAAATGACACCCGTGTCCGCAGAGGTCACCTTGATCGTGGTCTGGACGCGGTGGAACGCGTGCGGACCGATGTTCTGGGTTGTCGGCTTGTCCACCACCTTGAGGTCTCCCAACGTGGCAAACTCGACACTCAGGTTTCTCAGAGTTTCTGTAGTCTGGTTCACCAACAGAACGTCCAACGTCACGTCGAACTGGTGGACCTTGACGTAGGCCTCCGCATACACAGGGTCCGAGAAACCTGTCAGCTGCTTGATCTTCTTCAGTCTCGACGACAGGTCCTCCTTCACGACGGTGGCCCCTGCGGCAAGCGTCAGGTCCTCCTCGTCCAGATCTTCCACCTTGTCCTTGGTGTTGAGCTGTCTGAACACAATCGCGTCGTCGACCTGCTCGGCGTTGTTCTGGACGCTAGCCTGCTCCTTGTCCTTGAGCTGTTGCGCCTCAGCAGCCAATTGCTGCTTATATGCCTTTTTGGTGTCGTCGAGGAACGCCTCGTCGATCAGCGACTCGTCTTTTCCGTCCTCGCTCAAAAACCTCACGCACGATAATATTCTCTCTGCAGAGTCCTCGTCAATGCGCTTCTTCACCAACGACGACTCGCCCGCTCTCAAAATCGACACCATTATCAACATGGCCTCGGCCTTTAGAGCATTCAGGAGGTCGGTCTTGCTAGTGATCTTGCTCAGTCTCAACACTATCTTGACCAGAGTGGAGGCCAGAACAGAGCCTAAATAGAAATCACCTTCTAAAATCAAAGCTCTGAGTGGGTGTTTGGTAGCCGTAGACACGGCAGTAGTTTTGGTCTCGCCTAGGGCAACCTCTGTGGCATAGGTGCCGTCTGCCAGGATCTTGGGACCAGTGTGGCCGTTGGTCTTGACCTCCTCTTCCTGGTCCTCGTCGTGGCCCTTCTTCTCGGCAGCCAGAATAGGAATGTCGCCGATGCTGGCCTTGATGGCCTTCCAGGCGGTCTGGATGTCCTTTTCGTCCAGCGAGTACTCTCCGATGATCCACAGACTGCCTCTGAAAATCTTGCCACTCTTGATCGTCTTGAGCGACACAATCAGTCTCTGAATAATGTGGCTTCTGAGGTCTGGGAACTTCTCCACCACCTGTTTGACAAAAGTGATGACCTCTGCCGCGGCAGTCGTGTTCAGCTCGCTTATGAAGTCCAGCAGCAGGTCGACAACGCTGGCGGCCACCTCGTGGAACCTGATGGCACAGGAGTGGATGGCAGAAATCAGGAGCTGCCGGTATTCGGAAGATTTCTCTTCGTTGGACGTGGTGGTTTTCTGGAGCTCTTTCTTCAGCAGTTTAACCACATCGTCGACGTTTTTGCTGGTCACCAGCGACAGAGTGATTTCAATGGCTTTTTGTCTCACATCGAGCGATGGGGCACTCAGAACCCGGAGGATGTCGAGACACATGTCGTCCAGCATGTCTTCGTGCTTGTGGTGCAGCTCGTTGACGATCTCGAGAGCAATTAGTTTGACGTTGTTGTCGGGCTCCTTGACGGCAAGCTCGATGAATTTCGATGCGGCACTGGTGATCGCTGCTTGGGAGTGAGACAGAACGCTCAAAGTAGAGGCAGCCTCGTAAATCACCGCATTGTTGGATGATTCAAGCAGCTCGGAGATGATGTGCAAGTACTGTGGTTTGAGCTCAGGGTTGGACACAGCGTCTTTTCGGATGAACTCGATGACAGCCAGCTGGATGATTGGATCGATGGATGTCACCGCCTGCGACTGGATGAACCGCAGAGCAGCTTCTCTGTCCAGATGTCCGAGACAAGCAAAGGCATTGCGTTTGCATGTAGGGTCGTTTTCGACCGCCAAAAAGTCTGTCAACAGTTCTGCCGCGTCTGGAATCAAATGATCGGACACCAGATGAATGGAGTAGATGGCAAAAACTGCGTTTTTGCGAACGTACGCATGACGGTGTTCCAAACACTGTCTGGCAGAAGGCACCAGGGGCTCCAGTAATTCCGGCTCCTTCAGCTTCGAAAGAAACCTCAGCGTGCTGCCGCGGATGTACTCGTTAGCGTGTTGCAGGTCGTGCTGGATGGCGTTGCACACAAGGATCATCTCGTGCTTGAGCTTGCCGTCCTGTTCGTATTTCGGACAGATCTCCCAGTAGAAGTAAAGCAGTTTCTTGAGATCCTTGTTTCTCGACGGCATCACATACCGGATGATGTGCATTAACAGCCCGGGCATTGGGTCCGAATTGAGCATCGTGATGAGGATCTGTTTCATCACCTCTATCTTGCGCTCGTCGTCACCCTTCTCAAGCTGGTTTTTGAACTCATTGACCGAGGTCTTATTCGCGGTGTTGGGCTGACGGTTAGTTTTCGGCGGGTCTCGTACTTACTTCGTAAACCAACGTATATGCAACGTCTGCAGACATAGGAGTGTTGTTTTTGTTCGACACGTATTTTTTTCCAAGCGCAAAATCTGAAAAGACAGATCGTCGCGACGGTGCGTCGATATTATACTATACAATGCTACTCGTCAGGGTTGGCAACAAACAGCTTGAGCCGCGGCTGCGGAGGCTGGACGCTGCTAACGCTGGCCATCCGCCTCAGACCCTCATCCGAAGCCGTCAGTCGCTTCAGCTGGTCCGCCACCTCGAGCACCTCTGCGTCGGGGTCCTGTGGAATCTTGGTTTTTCCTGTTGAATGACTGAGCTTCGAGTCCGGCAGCTCGTCGTCGTCGATCTCCGACGCAAGCAGCCCAGGATGCTGCGCACCGTGCTTGATGGCCGCCTGGTACGAAAAGAGCGACGATTGCCGCGACGCCGTGCGCGAATGGTGGCCCTTGTTTTTCCGTATAGCTATGGGCAGGATATTGGTGCTCGGATTTTTGTCCACATAAGTTGTTGCTGCGGCCTTGCGCAGCTTGTAGATGTACAACGACGGCTTGTGCAGCTCGCTGTCTTCGTCTTCTTTTTCAGCGTCGAGCCTGGCGTTTTTTGGCGTTGCATTTGGCTGCTTTATTGTCTCAAATAGCTCGGGCTGCGCAGTCGACATCGACACCGCCCTGGCACCGCGACCGGTCGACGGGTTGTCAGGAGGCGGTCTCCTCTTGGTCTGGACGGCTCCGGGAACCGTCTGCGCGGGCTGCGCGGGCTGCACCACGTTGGTGTGCGAAAGAGGTACCACTGTGGGGACCTCGCGCCGGTCGTAGGTCGGGTGCGGCGGCGACTCATCGAGAGACGGGTTGGAGACCACCATCTTCTGCTGTGGCTGTACTCCGTCCACATCGAAGTGCGTGTAGTTCAGCGGTTTGGCTATGAAACTGACTCCAGAGTCGTCCTCATCCTCATCGTCTTCTGTGATCTGTGTGGTTCTGGGCTTGGAGTCAATCGATTGCTGGCGATAGAGCGGGCCAGAGCTCTCGCTGGGGTTATATTCTGTACTCTCTGTGTCGGCGTTCTGCACACGCAATGTTGTGTTGCGTGATTCTGTAGGATACAACTCGTCGTTGATGGAGTCCTCTGTGCTGATATCCGAGCGTGTTTCGTGAACGTCGAAGAATTGGTCGGACTCGGACGACTGGTTCTGGAAGTTGTACGACGGCGGCGAAAAGTACAGCTCGTTGTCCAGCTCTGGCTGTTGCTGTAGCTGTGATTTTGTGTCAGCTGTGTCGTAATTGAAGAGCTGTTCGGCGGGAAGCTTGCCTGAAAATAACTCTTGCGTCGGGGTTTCCGACTGCTGCTCGTGAGGCAAGGAGGGTTCTGGCGAGGAAGACGCCGAGTATAGGAGGTCGATGTACGGTTTTTCAAGCTGGATGTTAATCTGGAGTTCCCTAGACGTCGATTTCCGGTCGTCCGTCTCAGACTCTGTGTGACTCTTGTCCTGTTCCTGGAAAGGATTCAAAGAAGAAGGTTCCTGCGTCAGGGTCTCAAGCTTCTTGTTTTCCATAGGCTGTGGAGGCGGGCGTCGACGGAGGGATAGATTTATTGGCGGCCGTTCCAGCGGTTTCCGTTCCGACAGCGTCTGAGAATCCGACAGCGACATGGGACTCTTGTCTATTGCGGACTGGGGAGGGTAGTAAGAGGACGACGTACTGACAAGGGTGTCGGCCCTGGACAAGTCCGGGGGCGGGCTTTCATCAGGTATCTGCACGGTGATTCGGCGGTTTGCCGAGGTGAGCATGGTTTCCAGTTTGCTATGTCTTCTGGTGGACATAAGAGAGAATAAGGTACAATAAATAAATAAATAGAGCAAAATAGGAGGTGCAGAGATTTCGAGGTGTAGGAGACTGAAAAATTTAACTAATTTTTTTTAATCACAATGGCCAAGAAAACAGACGAGGTCGAAGAGGTCGACAACTATGAAAAGCGGTTGCCTGCGCTGCTGCCATTTGCAAAACCGCTTGCCTCCAAGAAGCTCAACAAAAAAGTGCTCAAGACGGTGAAAAAAGCGTCCAAATCGAAACATGTCAAAAGAGGTGTGAAGGAGGTCGTCAAGGCCCTGAGGAAAGGCGAGAAGGGGCTCGTCATCATTGCCGGCGACATCTCTCCGGCCGACGTCATCTCCCATATTCCTTGTCTCTGCGAAGACAACTCCGTTCCATACCTCTTTGTGCCGTCAAAAGAGGACCTGGGGTCTGCCGGAGCCACCAAGCGACCAACCTCCTGCGTGATGATCGTTCCAGGAGGCGGAAAGAAAGATGCAAAGAGCGAGGAGTACAAGGACAGTTTTGACGAGATCGTGAAGGAAACGCAGAAATTGTAGACAGGTTACCGAATATAGCTAATAAATTAAGTTTAGTCTATTTATTGCTGCTGCTGGGCCTCTTTCTGCAGCTCAGACCGCACCCAGCCCTCCAATCCGCCCTGGATGATGATCTCCTGGAGGTTTGTTCCTAGCTCGCCCACCTTCTGCTCGAGCACCACGGCGCCTGAAGAGTCGGTCACGGTGACCAGCGATTTAGGAACGTTCCACTTAAGGAACCAGCCGGTCCGTCTCGTAAGCTCAGGCTCGTTGTCTCTGTATCTGTCACGAAGCATGTTGATGAGGTCTGGGATTTCAAGCGTTAGAAGCGCGTTGTTGATGCTGTTTCGCGAGAAAATGTTACCAAACGATCCTGCAACCACCAATTTTATATCTCTGGCCAAGATGCACGTGGCGGCCTGTTCTCTCGACGAGCCGGTGCCAAAATTGAACCCGGAGACGATGATATCACCCGCCTTGGTCTTTTTTCCAAACTCAGAGTCGTAGTTCTCCATACACACCTCGGCCATTTTCTCTCTTGGAACATCGTCCTGGTATGTGTACTTGCCGGGATAAATACCGTCGGTGTTGATATTGTCTGCATCACAGAACACCAATTCGCCGGTAATCTCTTCTGGGAAGCCCGGAAGGACAGCCCCCGACGATTTGGCAGCGTCGTCTGCGGATTTAGGCTTTTCGTTGACCACAATGGTTTTTTTCACTTCCCTCGTTGGCGGACATGGCTGTCCATCCACCTCTTCGGGAGCCGCAATTTTGCCAACTACAGCCGAAGCAGCGACAACCTCAGGAGATGCCAGGAACGCTAACGCGTCCTTAGAGCCCATTCTTCCCTTGAAGTTCCTGTTGGTAGCAGAAATCCCCACTTCTCCCTCCTCCAGCAACCCGGTTCCCAAACCGATACATGGGCCGCAGCCGGCTGGCAGCGGAATGCAGCCGGCGTCCAGAAGCGTCTGCCATGCGCCAGCAGCCTCGGCGTCGGCCTGGACCTCGGAAGAAGCAGCAGCAAGGTAGAATTTCACTCCCGGAGCAATTTTGTGGCCGCGGACGATATCGGCCGCAGCCTTGATATCACTGAGCCGGGAATTGGTGCATGACACCAGGTACGCCTTGTCGACCTTCATGTTCTTGGCAGACAGGTCGCTGAGCGAATTGAACACCTTTACGGAGTTTGGGCCCGAGATATACGGCGACAGCGTGGAGAGGTCGATCGTGAGCGTCTTTGCATAGTATGCGTCCGGATCGGCAGCCAGTTTGTTCTGGCGCAGCTTCTCGACGGTCTCGTGGTTGATTCTCGGGTGGTTAGGACCGAGTCTCAGCAGTCTATTAGTGTAGAAGTTGATGAGCGTCTCGTCGATCGGGAACAGCCCCGACAACGCCCCCCACTCGGTGGTCATGTTGGCAATCGTCAGACGGTAGTCTATCGGCAATTTGTGGATCTCGTCGCCAACAAACTCGATCGCATGGTTCAGGACCTCGTCGTTGCTGAAAAGTCCGCACAAAGAGACAATAACGTCCTTTCCAGTGACGCCCTTCGGAAGAGAGCCCTTGAGCTCGACCTTGGCCACGGGAGGAATCTGCCACCAGGTTTGGCCGGTGGCCCAGATGGAGGCAGCGTCGGTTCTGACGATGGGAGTTCCGAGCGAGGCAATGCCGCCGTAGGTGTTTGAGTGCGAATCGGACGCCACTGTGAGGTTTGACGGGAACGCATAGCCCTCCTCGATCATGATTTGATGGCCAATACCTCGTCCAGCAGGATAGAAATCGATGCCCTGTTCCTTGGCGAATTGCTCGATGTTGTGATATTTGGCCAGGTTTTTCTCTGTCTTGTTCTGCACGTCGTGGTCGAGCGTGTTGACAATCTGGCGGTTGTCCTTGACCTTTTTCGCCCCCAGTCCTTTGAACTTGAGCGCCACGGGCCACGAGTTGTCATGGGACATCACATGCGCAGGCCTGATGCTCACATAGTCACCCGAGTAGACAAGCTTGTCTGGAGCCAGGCCGACGGCGTACTTCTGAACGATCTTCTCGGTCAAATTCTGGCCGCGGCACCGTGCCAGACTGGTGGAAAAGTGTCTCGACATGCTGGATGACTAAATATTTGAAAAAAATTTGAAAAAATTATTTATTTTCCTACGCCAATCACCGGCAACGGAGATGTAATGAACGTTTTGTGAATTTGATATATGGCCGGTTTCGTGCAACACCTGTTCCTACCATAAGCTTGTGGTCCTGAATACTCTTAACTACCATGGCCAGTGACGAATACCGTCTTCTTGAGGCGAACAAAACCGCCATTTTTCATGCCCTCGACACGCACCGCACCGTGATCTTCGAAAATCTGGTAGGTGCGTACTCCGTTGCGAGGTTCCTCTTGGAGTATGGCAATCTTACTGTTACTGCAGTGGAAAACTCGTCGTTCGCTGCAGATCTGCTCAAAAATAGCTTATCTTCCCTCTCAGTATTGACTATCGACGATTTACTGTGGACAGACGTAGAGGGCGACTGGGTCGTGCTGGCAACGTCGATCGACGACACGGTGACACAATTGGCTATCCAGCAGCTAGAGACGGCGAAAAAGCTCATCATTGTCAATAATTATGGGTCGCGCTTGGACTGTTCGGGAATCAGCATTAATTTGCAAAACCCTGTATTCGAGGTCTTTTTCGCGACTTCTGAGCCACCCGACCTGCTTTCAGAGGTCCAGAAGCTGATAAGGAGCCATGATGGCAACGTCCTTGTTTTGCTACCTTCCAAGAAACAAGTCAAGGAGTTTGCAACCATGACTGGATCCACATCCGTGCTTTCTGAGAATGAATTAAGCAGTCTTCGATTCGTTAACCAGAGCAACGTGGTGGTCATGCAGAACGACAAAGAGCTGATCAACAGTCTGCGGTATTTTAATTTCTACAGATCTCCAGGCTTTTCTCTTACCATCCAGTCTGGCATCGAAAACCGGCTTGTTCACTCACCGCTAAATTTTGACTACACACTGCCAACGCCAATCCCGCAAAAATACCTGCGTGCTTTTCCTTGGGAGACCTCTGTCCTAATAGATGAGAAATCGCTCACAGACCTCTCTCTGTCTGACCCTCTGGTGCCACTTCTAGTCCTGATGAAAAAATACGAAAATTCTCCGGAAGCCATGTTCGAAGACCGCATATTTTGTTCTCTGGCAAAAGTATCGTCTTTTGAGCATTGTCTGGCCCAAATAGAAGGTTGGGACCTTGTGGAGTACACGAACGGGTTTCGGTTGACAGACCACGTCTTCTGGAAATACAAATTGTACCGCTTGGCTGGCCGTAAATGGCTGGGCCTGCTCACAGCGCTGGAGTCGTCACTATCGTTCGGTGCCGACGTCACCTTTGTCGTTCTTTCGATTCTGAGCATTTGCAGAACTTTGGACACGGCATCGTATAGTATTTGGTCGCTGCTGTATGATATAAACTCCAAAGTTCCGAGCCTGAAAAGCATAGAGTCTGATTTTGTTACGTTGGCCAACTTTTTCGTCTCCTCGTTCAAATTAATCAACAATTTTGTCGTACAGCAGAGCATGGACTCCAATTCTGAGCTTTCGCGGCTACTTCATCGCCATAAAATACTGCGGCAGATTCCAGACTGCTTCAACGAGCTAGCTCGCCATTTTGTGCTTTCCGACGCTTTTGGCGACTCGACCCTTGCAAACACACTAACGTGTCTCCGTAAAGGCCTACTGTTCAACATAGGGGTGATTGCTAGTGTGGTTGTGACCCAGAAGCCTTTAGCCAGGTTTAAAATTGATCCCCAGTACGACTCAAATTCCGGTCTCTTACCAAGTTTGCTAATCGAAGCACCTGTCGACATCGCTGCCTTCTACCGAACTGGAGACCTTGTGCATTGGTACACTCTCCATAATTCCTCTGACGAGAGCATGTACCCATTTCTGGGAGTCAAGGGCTTTAAGCAGGAAGCGTTGCAACGCAGCAACGGCTACTACGTTAGATCGCTTACATAAAATCCGAAAAAAAATGAAAAAAAATATTTATCTAGTAAAAAAAAAAAAAATTAGTTAAATTATGACTAGCGAACACCAAGTGTAAGTACTGCCTTAGTGCCTTACTAACATCTAGCAAACCTGTGACGGTTGAGAAACCTATCCCAGTTAACTATGATTTGGGTAACCTTGCTGTGTTCGACCCTAATCCTTTGGAAGCCTCGAAAATCACAAATGACAAAACAAAAAATGATTACTTGAGAGACGTGACCAGAGATAACGTGCAGCTGCTAATTAACCAGGTGCTTTC